CATGAGATAATTACATTGTCCACTTGATTTATAAATAGGCTGTTTTAACTTCTCCCCCTGATGTTTGGATAACTAACTTGCTAAAATGACGATTAACCAACCAAACAGTTAATAATTTCCCTTTTGAGAATAACTAACTCGTCAAACTAATACGATCAGTCTATCGAGTAATTAATCCAGCATCAATAATCTCAAACATTGGAAATTCAATATTCAACATAGATTTCTGACCGCTTCTGGAGGCTCCATCATTATGTGCATTGTGGTGGAATAATTATAATGTATAAATGGCACATATAATATCCAAAGATGGATATATGTGGTTTCTGACTGAAAACTAATATTGGGGAGAATATCTATAATGACCTATTTGGTCTTATGCATATAACTGATGCCTTTTATGTTTCAACACTTTCTCAATTATACATGAGATAATTACTTTAATGGAACACATGCAATAAACGATTCTACTAGACCGTTTCATTATTGCTCTAATAGGCAATCAATGTGCAACTTTCACTTCATTATTGCTCTAATAAGGCATTCAATGTTCAACTTCTATCATTCTGGTATTGAGTTATACACTCACCACAATTGTCAAATCAAAATTCTCGAAAGAGCAGAACATGAAAATCTGCAAGTTACCAATTTAATTCCATAATAAAATTTTTGCAAACTTCAGGTTGCAAATTAACGAGAATCATACATGTGGCTATCTCATCGACATATTGATTGATATTCTAATTTGTTGGAAGAAACTCTTGGTTCTCCAAATTTAATGCATATAAACTTTCCTGTTTCGTCTTGAAACCAGAATGGCTTAAATAGTTATGCCAAATTATAAAATTTCTCTTCTGGAGAAAATAGTGAATTAATTATTTAGATATACTAGAACAATTTCGCTCCACATGAGCGTTTACTCTAACAAAGTATTTGTTATTCAATTATTTTCATTCTACAATAGTGTTCTTGCTCTTTTAAAAATAAAGTATCGCTACTCTGCTGGAGACAACAATGAATTTTCAAATTCAAAATAGTTGTGTTGGTAGAGCAATTTATATCTTTCTTTGATACCTGGGAGAATATAATGTATTTCAATGCACTTTCTCCTTCTAACATTCTCTTGCTCTTTTAGGAGCAAAGTCTGTTTGCTATTGCTCTTCCAGAGGCAATGTGAATCCATTATATTTGCTCTTCAGGAGCATTTATTTAACGAATTCTCACTCACGGTGACTTGTAGCATTTTTCTTGGTTACCGTATTTACTTCAAGAAATGCTATAATCCAACTTAGACTACTCTAATAAATTTTACAACCAAAACTCAATAATTTGTTTAATGCTAACAAATAAAATAAATTGCTACTTCAGGAGCAATTTTATTTTATATTCATTGACCTTTCACTTTGGGTGAAAAATTATATTCTATGTGTGGCATTATAATAGCAGATTCATTGTCTACAAATTGGCTCATTAATAAAGTAATTGTTCCACTTGCTTCAGGAAGTGAAAATTCTCAAATTAAGAGACCTCATTATTTGCCTTAATAACATCATATTGGCAAATTTAAGAAAAACTACTAATCCATGAGCAATTCCAACTTTACTAATTTGCACAAATAGAGTGCATAAATATTTATCATCAATTCTTTGTATTTACTAATGGTAAATCAAAATTCCAAGAAAGATATATGGTTACATCAACTTACAAATGAAACTAAAATAATCATAAAAACAAAATCGTGAGGTAATTTCGTTTAATTTCTACATGTGAAAAACCAAATCATACTTTCATACTTCAAAAATAATTCACAAAAATGCATGCTATTGCATACCACTCCCTCGACAAAAATTTTGTTCACAAAAGATAAAAATTGATTATACCTTTAGCCTTATCATGATTTGTGACATTATTACCAACTTAGATTGTATTCTCAAAACTTAGGAACCATATTAGAGAAATTCAAAACTTAGAGACTGAAGTGAACAAATTAAAACTTTAGAGCAAAAATAAAATATTTTGAAAACTAAATTGGCAAAATTAAAAATTAACAAAGACATTAAGACAACATACATATTTGCGTACAATTACACATGTTGTACCTAGAAACAATAAGCATTAACTTTGCACATAGATTGTGCCCGAACTTGCGCACCGGAAAGTTTTTCTAAGGTCACGGCGCTTCAGACACTTTAGGTTACAAATTTTTTTATAAATATTCACGGAGACTTCAGGCCTTCAGAATCAATACACACCAACTTAGGTGGTGGTAGAATTAAAATATTCTAAAGCCTTCAAAATCAATACGCACCAACTTCAGGCGGTGGTAGAACCTCTTTGGCTAGAGTCTCGTGCTGATAACGTGTTATAAAATAAATGCTAAACTACGAATATGAAACTAAGAATAAGAATAAGAGAGAGATAAGATACTTGTATTCATATGTATTTTGAAGCATGAATGAGCTCCCTATTTATACAAGAAGTAGGTAATCAAATTGTGGGAAATAAATCACTTGTCATTAATGTTAAATATTATAGAATCATATCTTCTTGATTGTGAATAGAATAATACATGTTAATTATGGACATTCAATCAAATCAAATATTTCATAACTTTTTTTACTTTTTTTCGGTTTTTCCCACATAATCTAACTAGGCTTGGGCCTTAGACAAAATCAGAAAGTTGGGCTTTCTACAGCCCACTTGACGTATTTTATTTTAATTTTTTTCTTCCAAGCACAGGCGTCCGGGCTCATTTTGTTGCCGTTAGGCGTCATTAATCAAAAGCGGAAATTTCAAAAACATTAACGCTTTCAGTAGGAGGAACAAATTCTATCACATCTCCAATTCCTCCACCGGTCGGAAAATCGGAGAAATTAGAAGCCACGGTTGCAATTCAACATTGATGATTTGACGTCGACGATGACGACGTTGGAGAAGCTATTTGTACAGATTTTCGAGAGGAAAAATTAGATCATTCAGCAAGTGAAGCAGCAGACGGATTCACAGTCACAATTTATCACCTGATTGATGTAACGGCGACTGTAACCACGATGGAAATGTAGGAAAAGAGGTGAAAATTATATAGGTGAGGTGATTATTAAGAAGAGGTTGGGGTTTAATTTTCATTTGGGATTAGAGAACCACACAAATTGTAGGAAATAAAAGTACTGACCGAGTGATATCTATAGGCATAAGTTATGGTAACACTTTTATTGCGTAGAGTCTCTGCATATTATTTGTTTATATTTCTGCTTGGAAGCAATAGAGTATAAAATCTTCATTATAACGCTGAGTAATTTTATTATATTATATATATTATATATATATATATATATAATAAACAAATAATATATATATCATATATATATATATATATATATCTGTACATGGAGGTATAATTTAATTCTGATTCATGTCCGAACTTTACAGTAGTCCATGCCGTAATTTCCAGCAGGAGATTAGTTTTTGTGCTCGTCTCCTTCCTCCTCAGTGCTCACCCAGATTTATCCAAAACCTGCACCGAGATTTCCTCCCCAAATTTAAGCTTGATTCGATCAGAGATTTATTCGTCCAACTTTAGACCAATTTCCTTAAAGTTTTGTCCCTCCTAATTTAGTTTGCTTTTCAAGAAGGTTTCGACAATTTCTAATTATCAAGCAGCTTTCATAGACGCAGGCACACCTCCAACCAACCGTACTTGTCCAATTTGAGAAATTGTTTTGTTTTAATATGATTGTTGAAATTAAATTTACATTTTCAGTTTAAACAATATTAAAAGAGAAATTTCAAATTTGACAATTATTTTAATCCAGGAAATATTATATACTTGTAGTAGATTGCCTTTTATATATCGAAAGATCCAAAGACTAGGTAGTAGCTGGACTGCTGGAGTATTTTCACCCTGCATTGAACTCGTTGTGTACGTGGCCATCAGTGAAGAATATGTACAAGTTGGGCATAAATAAAACCACCATTATCATCGAGGGTTTACTTCTTCTATTATGAGGGTTACAAGAAATATGCATAGAAAATGTACATTAACCATCCTTGATTTATCGAGACACCGTTTTGGGCATTACAGGGATTATAATAATGTCTTTTTTGGTGGTTAATGTAATTACTTAATAATTATAAATATAGCAGGAGTACGCATATTCATCACACGATTAGGTTAGTAAAAATTTGGATTAGGGAAAATGATGACAAATAATTAATAAATACTTAATAATTATTCATATTTTTTGGTATAATAACACAAAAAATTACACCAAGGAAGATGAATAATTAATATTTTACCAAAATACGGTTTCAACCAATATTTAACGTCCAAACTCCAAAGTACATCAAATAACTCTAATTTTCAACAAATGGTAGCAGCTTGTGAAAGTGTACAGCCAAATTTGGGATGGAAAACAATTTAAATTGGCGGTACATTGTACTTGAAAAAACTTATAAATTGTATTACTCTTTCCGTCCCATAATTATTGTCCGATTTGGATTTTTCATTTTTAACCCAGACAGAACAATAATTATGGGACGGAAGGAGTATTATTTTTCTTTTCTCACAAAATTATTATCCTTGTTAACAATCCAAATCGAAGCATCATTACTACTAGGGAACAGAGGAAGTAAAAAAAAATAAAAAATAAATCCGTAAGTCTGTACGACTGTGCCCATAATGGGATAAAACACTAGTGTAAAGAACAAACGGTTAAAAAGGGTAACATACTTAGCTTGCTAATGAACACATAAAAAGCGTGTGCATGGCAGATTAGCCGCTAATCGCAGCTGGCATTTTGTTTCCCAAATTTTCAAGAAATTCTGTTGCATTCTGTGAAACCTAAAGAAATTCAATCAGTCTCTCTCGCTCTCTTCCTCCCCAATTTTCAAGAAATTCTGTTGCATTCTGTAAAACCTAAAGAAATTCAATCAGTCTCTCTCGCTCTCTTCCTCCCCAATTTTCACTCCTTTGCGCAGTCTTGGTTCCAAATCCGCCGACAATGGCATTTGATCCTGTTCTTCCACCCTTACCGGACGAATCACCCCCAATTACACCTCCACCGCCGGAAGGCACCCCTCCTGGTTCGTCAACAAATTCGCCGACGATGGATTCTGGTCCCGTTCTCCCAGCCTTACCGGACGAATCACCTCCAATTACCCCTCCCCCGCCAGAAGGCAGCCCTCCAAGTTCATCAGCAGAATCAGAGGCGGGCTTTGATGGAGTTGAAATGTCCGCAGAATTTAGGGCTCTCATAACAAAGAGGTCGGCTATGGGTGGTTCTGAAATTGATTTCGACTATGAAATGGGATTGCATGAGGATTCCCGTAATTCTAATCGCGAGGTATTATTTTTCGTGCTTTTACTCGAGTACTCTTTTCTTGTGACACTTTGTGATTATTTCATGCGAGTGTTTTCTTAAAATTAGACGTTAACTTCTTTATTATGCTTATTTTAGAATGTAATTGACAATGAGAAGCTGGATATTGGATCGATTGAGGTAATGTCTTTGATATGAACTCTATTTTATATCTTTGGTTTCTAGAAATAAAAATTGAAAACGTGCTTGATTTATTTCAGCTTATACACTATGAAGATTTAGTTGCTTTGGGAGACCTAGGGTCTGGATCGTTTGCTACTGTGTGCTCTGGCAAGTGGCGGACCTCTACTGTGGCTATAAAGATGATCCAAGATTGTTTGATTACTGGTCATACCGCTCAAATCCGCAAGGAAAATGTATAATTCTTTTTATGTTTTGTTTATAGCTACCATTTCAGATTTATTTGTATTCACTAATAAGAAAAGTTCGTTACAGGCACAACACTTTCTAAGGGAGGCTGAGTTGTTGCACCGGCTAAGGCACCCGAACATTATACAACTGTATGGCGTCGACCCTGGTGAACCATATAGGCGAGTGAGGTTTGCTTTGGAATTAATGTCTGATGGCAGTCTCAAGAAGCTTTTGGAAACGGGCAGGTAAAATTATTCACTTAAGTTATTTGTTTGTTTAACTTTTTCTTGAATTACCTTATGACAGATACCTTTTTTCGTTTTCCTTTTTTTTTTTGATAACAAAAGGTAAATATGCAAAAGAATAGAAAATGAGACTAACTTTAAAAGGAAACTTAATTCTATTTGTGTGCTAAAACCTAATTTGAGGCTACTGTACTTCCTCCATTATCATGTATGTAACTAAAGCATCTGGAATTACATCCAATGTGGGTCAAATTTTCTTTTTCTTTTCTGCCCAAAATAACTCACTGGATTGTCTCTTGTCCTTTATCTAGGAAATTTACCCTGTTGCAACAAACAGCAATAGCCTTAGGGGCGGCCAATGGTCTAGAGTACTTGCACTCAAAGGACATTATTCACTGTGACATCAAGCCGGACAATGTCCTATTGGATCTCAGGGATTCGCGAAATCCTATATGCAAGGTTTGCTGGTATTTATTAATTATGTTGTATATATTTGAGTCCCAAGTAATCTACTTAAATCATTGTCTTTGCTGATGATGCTTATGCCCTGCAGATTGGAGATTTAGGAATGTTTAAAACCAAACAAGATGCGGGCTCCATAAGCATGGGACCGGGGGATGACCCCGTCTTCACCGCTCCTGAGATCATTAAGAAGGCCACACACCAAATCTGTGAGAAGGTAATAATTTTCTCACTTTTAGACTAACAAAAGCAGCCTTTTGCAGGATATTTAATTGTTTCTCTCTTGTTTTTGGATAGCATAATTGATATTCTTCTAAGCACTGTTTTAATTGGTGCAGGTGGATGTTTATGCCTTCGCTTTTATTATGTGGGAATTGATGACACTTGGAGAAAATCCATATCCGGACATGCGATACCACGAAATCAGAGGTGCGGTTACAACACAGCCTTCTCTCTGATATATACTTTTCCTTAGTCATTTAATCTCATGTTATCACTGGATAGGTCCTAATCTCATGTTTTGTTCTCCTTGCAGCTGCCATTTGTATGGGGAAAAGGCCACAAATCCCGGACTACTGCAACGTCATGTGGGCACAATTGATGGGTAGGTGCTGGGATCATCTCCCAGAGCAAAGGCCAACAATGCAAGAGGTTGCTGAAACTTTAGATAACCTGTTAGTAGAGTTTGGTCAGCTTGAGTTATAGGTAATTGGTTGCCCCTTAGTTTTTCTAGTTTCATATCATGGACTCAGTTTTTTTTATTAGGTTCCTTGGTTCAATTTGTTGACGTCAGTTTTGATCTGTGGTTATAAAATTCTTGGATGTTACTTCTTTTGTTGCCTCAAATGTCGAAAAGAACAATACAGGTCAAAAGAAACTGTTTAGTCGGTTGCTGTCTGATATGTTTCCCCTATTTTCCTTCCCTGTTTTAATTGGTTAGTAGTTAGTGAAGATTTGAAAGATTCAAGAAAGATGTGGATCTTTCTCGTGTTTTAACTTAATTGTGAAACTGTAAATTTAACATTTTAGATTGTCTTAGTAAAATCCAGTTACATCTAGAAAAAAGTTCTGGAGCAAAAATGGTCCCAGCTCTTTATGTGTTTTTGCATTGACGAATCTCGAAGCTGGATTTGTGCTATTTGCATAGTAGCTTAATAACTCCTGCTTTATAGCCTCTGAGTTGATAAACTTATCTGTTGAAGCCTTTGCAGAGGACAGTTTTCGATTCCCATATTGTCATGAAAGTTTTACTCTAAGCCTAGAAAACCAGAAATTTGGTAGAACTATTGAATTAAACCCACAAGGACACTTCTGGTTTTGAAGAAATAGGTACTCCGATGTTGTCTGTAATTTTGGTTCCAAAGGAAAATTCTTTTTGTGGTTTCTCAGATTTTAGACTTGCAATGTTACTCTGAACTCATGTTGACACTTAGCACCAGTTTCCAAAGAACAATAGATTATAAACGATATTTGGTGAGACCATGAAGAAAGTTACTTCTTTGCAGCAACAATTTTTTGCCTCCATCTTATAGGGAAACATACCGTGAACGATTTAGGTGTAATCAATGCATATACTAGCACCTCTGCATCTTTACATGTGTATTATGGGAATGGCCGGAATCGATTTTTTCAGGTGATGTTTTGCTTGAATCATCTGTTAAGTGTTCGCTGTTGAGCAAATATAAGATAGCTTAGAGTCAAGCTCAACTGTGCTGATTTTAGAAAGGTGTTGAATCAGTGTGAATTGGAATAATAAGAAAGCTCAAAATATCAGTGAGTTGGCGGAGTTGGTGCCTTGGCGGCAGAATTTGTAGGTTGTAATGTTCATTCTACCACTTAAGAGAAAGAGAACATAATGAATGGAGATTAAGAGCATGGGTGTTGGAAATACATGAAATAGACTTCTTTCGTTCTGACTGATATCTATCAAAGCTGCTGCTGCTACTACTTATACCATGCTGCACTGTCTGACTTCTCATGCCACCTATATTCTACAGTTGTTTTCTGCTCACACTCCATTGCATAATGAAACCGCAGAAAACTATCACATCATTTCATTCGTTAATGGCAATCTGAGTTGCAGGCTATTTAGCCATTCTTTACTTTTTTGGTGCCTCTGGAAACCTTGATGTGATGGATGTTTCATTTAATATGTTACTGGCTATTGTAATTATTCAGTAATTGGTTTGCAAGTTTGGGAATGAAGCTTTTTGGTATCATCTGTCTTGGCTTGTTACAATAGGCCCAATCTTTATTTTCATATCTCTTTCTTGCAAATTATTACTTCGTATTATGTTTGATTCTGATATAATGAACACTTGAAATCTGGGTTCACGTGATTTAAGTCCACCCTGATTTTCAGTTTGCCTCTGAAAATTATCTTTGGCGATTGATTGTATATGGTGCTCACTAGCTAAGAAAGTGAATTATCTATTCTTGCCTTATTAGATTATTTAGTAGTGCCAGTTTGACCATGGGAAATGGTTCATGCTCTAATCCACAATAGTCGGTCAGATTGTATTCTGAACAGTTTCTCTATGCTTTTCTGAATTGGTTTTAGAATTATGTCATGAAATTTTTTTACCTGGTATCTAAATTCTAATGTGTCATTGATAACAGGGTGATGCAGCGAACTTCCTTGAAGATCTCGATCAAGGTGGGCAGCTAATTCAATTAATCACTGTGTCTTGAGCTGTAGATTTTCCATCCCAAAATGACCAGCACATGTTACACGTTATGTAAATCCAAACAGATTACTAAGATTGTGTACTAAATCACCCCGCTTTGAAGTTTGGAGTAGACTAAAATTGTGGCGTTTTTCCTATTATTTGAAGCGGAGAATTTGTTTTGGCTTCTTCGTGTAGTGAGCTTATTAGTCTTTCATTTCTAGATATAATTTTGCTCCGACGAAATTCTTGTGTCCATTAAGTTCATCGAGAATTTGTTTTGGCTTCATTTGGTACCTGAGTATATTAGTCTTTCATTGCTAGATATAATTTTGCTTCGACTCATGTTTGAAGAGTGTTTGAAATTCTTGTGTCCATGAGGTTTATCCAAACTAGGTCCTGTACTTATCTGGCAGGACCTTTGCAGTTTAAATAATTATGTAATTACTTGTCCTTGAAACGTGACCAGTGCTGCTGGAGGTGGTTGCTATCAGAAGTGAAGAATAGCAGTTCCCAGTGTAGAATCTAATTTAATTTGATTTATGGCTTTAGCAAGTGAAATTTTGACAAATCTTGTATTGATTCTGGTACCTAGTGCATGTCGCATTTGGGAACATGTAATGAAGAGTGGTTGCTAGGTTTGCAGTTTCGTCGATCCACTCACGAGAAACCATCAGAGAATCCTAATAACAAACTCATGTGGCGAACCCAAAATAACATCAAAGAAACAAACACTAAAAAGGAGGGTGCAAATATATCAATAGAACAACTGAAGCGGCATCCACGAAAATAAATAACATGGAGAGGATCAACTCACAAGTCACAACCTTATTCGGATCCAGGAACGTTCAATCAAACTGAAAGTTTAAAGTGAAACAAGAAAAGACTGCTCACAAGATAGACGCCCAAATCATATACACATGCATGTTAAAGAGAGTAGCAGGGGCAGGCACTCCATAATTACTTCAGCTCTCATGAGCTGCTGCACCACTTAACACATCATCTAATGGTGTAAAACGATTATCTTGTAAACATGATATCCAAGCCAAACAAAAGTGCCGGTGACGACTTCGACGAATGCCCCGAGCAACGGGATGAGGATACTCCCCAGTAAGAAACTTGAGATCATTTAAAGGGAGCTTGCCAATCCTGAACCCATCAACTTTTTTTGTGTGAGGATTATAAGACAATACAGGCATGTGGTTGTCCCGAATCACCCTTAAAGGATTTATCAATAGCAGCTCACCTGTAACAAGGTTTCCTGTTGCAATGGTTCTACCGTCATGAAGCCATTTGGGCACTGGGAGACAGATCTTACTCCATCTTTTACCTTCCCCATCTTCTAACACAAAGAGCCTCAGGCCATTATCTATACCAGGAGGAACCCAAAGAGCCAAGCGCCCCATCCACTGAACAAACTTCCAATACCAACATGGAGAGTCTGACAACAAAACAAGGTCTTTCGGGATCTTTATCCATTGGAACTTTTCTTTATTGAGATCAAAAGAAAACATAAATTGCGGCCATAGGTACCAATACAGGAACCCATCCATAGCAAAGGTTTTGGCACCAGGTATATGGGAGTTTCGCTTCATCTGTTGGGGATCAATACAAGGAGCATTTTCCCACAGCAAATCAGCTAGACCAGATGCATCATAGTCCAGCTTCCTCCATGAGGATAATTCAGTGGAAGGTCTCAAATTCATTATCTCCGCTTCTAATATTTCTCCCATCATCAATTTCAATAATTTGTATACCCTATTAACTGGATCATACCCGAGATGAAACGTTGATATGGAATCGCAACACAGAGGGCCTGGGAGACTCATCCTCTGTCCTGTACAAATGTTATGCAGGCTCAATATCCGATTATCTTCACAAACACAGATGAGACCATTGACAACTTGTGTCGTTCCATCCAGGCAAGAGTCAAGACTCACTTCGTATAAGCAACTGAAGTCTTCCTTGGGCTCCTTAAGCTGACTCCTCCAAAGAGTGGAATAAAAAAAACGGAGTCGAATACAATCATGTATGTTTTTCCTTGCCGATGAGTCAACTACTTCGGTGGAACACAGTACCAACCCGGGTTGTCGACTCTGGTAAGCCTCTAAAAATTCACGACTTTGAATTATTGATCGCCACGACTTGCACACACACTTGCAACGTCCTATATCCTTACCCGGAAGCCATGTCAAAATTTCCACCACCAAGTCATCTGTTAGTTCCATTACTGGAGTTTGGGCTTGTATTGCTGTTGAAGAGGACCTTGAGATTGGAGGAAATGTTCTTCCTTCCCCCCTAGTTTTATTCAAAAGAAGATTCTTACTGCGGCGATGTTTTGATCGCCTTTTACCCAAAATCCTCTTCACGATCTTCTCCCCCCAGCTTATTTTTCTTTGTATCTTTCGACTATTATTACAACAATGATAAGCACAAACAACTGCTACAGTTGCTGTCTTCATCACTCAATAAATAAAAAGCATACAAATTCAACAACTATGCAAATAAATAAATAGACTGATGATATGTTACCTAATCAGGAAGGTAAGGGATTTGGCCTTCTCGGGAATCCAAATCGAAACCAGTTTTAAACTGGATCCTCCCATATACATCCTTCTACACAAACCATCATCCAATTCGAAGAGGGCTTTTTCAAATTCTTCTCGAATTTATTCAAAAGATAATCGAACCCTTGAAGGAAAAAGATTGCACCTTTGGAAGCAGAGAAAATTGCAGATCGTTAAAATTAGTTCCATGCCCTTAATGGTCACAGCCTCAAAAAATAATCTGAAATTCATTCAAAATCGAATTAAAAATTTTATTATCCAGAAGTTTCATCAATACATAAGGCCCCCAAAAATTATACATGTATTGGCATAAAGAGCAACAGAATCTTAAAGATCGAAACTTTTAGAGACAGAAGAAGGATAAGGGACACGATTATAAACAGAATATACCTGAATGAGTCGGCGAACATTTATTGACACAGCCTATAGTCTAAGATGATAGAAAAACTCCATATGGAGGACGGTCGGCAGCTACCACAATCGCAAACCTTTGTTATCTGTTCGTCCGAACATTGCGAACTGTTTAACAAACTGAACAAAAGTGAGGCTCTGTGGTCTGTAATTCTGTATGGAGAAAATTGCAAAATCACCCCGAGGTTTTGAAAATCTTAAAAATAAGCTTCACCTTTTTGATAATTCTACAAAAATACCCTTGACAGAGGTTCAATGTTCCAAACACCCATTACTTCCGTGAATGATGGAAGTATTATACTCCATAGTCCTGAAATCATTGTGTAGTTCGATAATCGTTTTGGGATAGAATCATTGATCAGAATCGTTCAGATAGGTAACTTAATTACATCGTGTTATGTAAGAATTTTTTAAATCATATTTAATTGTTCAATGTATGCTTAACCATGTAGTAAAATTTAAACATTTCAAATTCAGTTACTTTCAAACGTATGTAATTCCTTAATTGGTCTTATGTAAGTGAACAAATAAACCGTATTGCATAGTGAATAAGTGTGTTTTAATTTTCCCAAGATGTTTACTAATTGTTTTGGTTAGGGTCTCGTTGAATATTATGTAAAACTCTTAATTTTTCTATGATTAAATATATTATATCTTAATTATGGCACATGATTTAAAAAATCCTTTTTTGTATATATATATATTGTGGAAAGCCGAAACTCGGAATACAAAAGCAACTCTAGGATAGAGTTGTGTCTGGCCAATCTAACAAAATCTTCTCGTAAATTTCAGAGGCGGGCTAGAGAGCCCCGAATCCCGAAGAAAACCCAACTTGGCTAGCGAGTCCGTCGGCTCATTCCCTTTCCGCATATGATTTAAAAAATCCTATGCGAAATATTCTGTTTTTCCAACACAATCTAACTAGACTAACAAGGCTTTGTGTTAAAAAAATCTAACAAGGCTTGGGCCTTAGACATAATGAGGAACTTGGGCTTTTCTACAGCCCACTTGACGTCTTTTATTTTCATTTTTTAGTTTCCAAAGCACATGCCGCCGGGCTCATTTTGTTGCCGTTAGGCGTCATTAATCAAAAGCGGAAATTTCCAAAAAAATTTGAAAAAACAAACACCGCGCTTTCAGTCGGAGGAACAAATACTATCTCGTCCCCAATTCCTCCCCCGGCCGGAAAATCAAATCGGAAGAATTAGAATCCACGGTTGCAATTCAACACCTGATGATTTGACGGCGACGATGACGACGTTGGAGAAGCTGTTTGTACAGATCTTCGAGAGGAAGAATTGGATCATTCAGCAAGTGAAGCAGCAGACGGATTTATACAACCAACACCTCGCTTCGAAGCTCTTGGTTAACGGAATTACTCCGCCTTCTTGGCTTTGGAACGAAAATCTGCGCTCGGAAGTTCGTAAAGGTAACTCAATTTTCTCACATTTTAAGGTCAACTTTGTTTCTGAATCTCGTCTGTTTTTACTTCTAGGGTTTCCTTGGTTGCTCAGGTCTGAGCTCGCAAATTTTAGTTTAACTTTGGGGCTTGTGTAATTTGGTTACTTTCGTGGATGATTTGATAGTTTATGAACCTGAAATGACCTAAATTTTGCTGATTTAAAAGCCCAAGTCTTGTCTTGAACTGATTTGTTTGCATTTCTTATGAGTTTTCTAGAGGACGTATTACTTGTTGGATGAGGTTGATATTTATAGCTCCCTATGCACTCTCTCACTCTCACACACACACAACCACTTGCACGCGCTCACTCACACACTGGTTGCTTGACAATATAGTGTAATACGTTCACATTTTCTGGCTTTTGTACACCGAGGTCATTCTGTGTTCATTCATACTGTTAAAGAGGAATTTTTTGGGAGCTTTGAGTTGAAGAAAACTTTTCATTGCAGAGCTGAACAAAGAGGATCTGATTTCTGAGATATTACTGCCACATCCTCGACCGGTGATACACTACCCTGATGCTTGTTGCTCTCTCTACAGCAACCCATTTGGTGAAAGAAATGAAGAAGTACAAGTTGATGGAATCTTTACGGATACCCCTCATTCCAACAATGACAATGCCGATGTTGGAAACATGCAACATGTTGCATCTGGTTGTACTAAGAATACTCTTAGATGTGACATGAATATGATACACGAGGTTGATGTTAGCAATACAAATCATCCACAACCTATTATCAGCTTCCCTGTTACTCGTGACTCTCCCTGCAACAAGGCAGTTGGTGAAGGAGATGAAGAAGTGGGTAAAATCAGTGTGGACACTAATTCCAACAGCAAATTCTCTGATCGTGTAAATGACCAAGGTATTGCATCTGACCATATTAAAGATGATACTGGATTGGGTGTGAACATGGTAACTGAGAGTGGTATTAGCCGGAAATCTCCCAATGATGGGACTGAAGCGAGTATCTGTAGCAGATTCAGTGCTCCAGAACGATCAGTCATTAGAATTCAGAGGTCCAAGTCTAGACAGAAGGCTTTGGAGCTTCGCAATAGTGCAAAGACAGAATCAAGAAGTCGTTTGAACCAGCAGAATGGTTCCGCTGGTTCTTCTTTAGCAAATAGGTTGTTTATGAGTAGTCCAGCAGAGGATCCAATAACCAAAGTGCACGACTTGGTGGAACTTGTTTGTTCAAACCATGAAGAAAATGGGGAAACGCATGAAGGAAAAGAGAAAATTAATGAGGAAAAAGATTTCAATTCTTGCACTGGTGAAGTTTCTGGTTTGAGTTGCAAGAAACATCCAATTTCTACAACTGATTTGGTGAAAAAGGACAGTTTGGCAAATACTCGTAAGACAAATGATGGACCTGCTGCTTTTAATGAGGGAAAAGAATTTTCACCAAGCTCTAAGGTTCTTACCTTGTCAACGGAAGTTATCAACCCAGATGTTGCTGCTCAAAGTATTAGTGGTTTCCCTGAAAGAAGAGAAGAATGCTTTAGTCTTATGGAGAATATTTCTGGGAACTGTGGAGATAGAATTATAAGTCCAGGTGCTTCCATAGATGAAGATTGCTTCAGGCATATGGAGAAGAAGTCTGGGGTTCCTGCGGAGAGGACTTCAAGCCCAAGAGCTTTCCTAAATGGAACTTCAGAAAGAGACATATGCGATGACTTTGGCATGGTTAGTGGTGGTATAACTTCTTATTGTCCTGGCAAATCAGTTCAAGAGTTTGATGAAGCTAATGACTGTCTTGGACCCACTGATCATTCAGGGGGGTTAGTTTACGGAGTGAGATCTCAAACTATGTCTGGTAATGAATCAATGCCAAAGCTTCATGATACGCCCATGGTTACGGCTCATGTAGATATAAAGTCAGTTTCTTGTGATATGGTTAATTCTCAGACTGTAAACCTTGTGGCTTGGAGCAGCTCAGATGGTCAAGTTATTTTGACTTCTCGCAATTCTCCCAATACTCTCAACAAGCAGAGAAACTTTCAAAATGTTGTTAGTGGTGTCACAGTCAGAGACGAGCCTGCATTTTCAAGGGTAATTTCGCGTGATGCTAGTTTGAACTGTTTACTAACAAGATCATCCTCTGATTTTTCGGTGTTTGTGGAACCAAAACAGCTTGACTTCGATGAAAGAGAGGAGTGCAATTTCAGAGACAATAGTCTCCCTGTAGAGTGTGAAAGTTCACCTAGTAAAGTGTTTGATGCTTCGCTACATGCTCCTTCCTCATCATGTCATGATACAAATTCTGGTGGTATAATTTATCAGATGTTGTCGACAGAGGAGCGAGAGGTCTTAGCCACGGAAAAACTGGAAGTTGGTGGATGCTCTCTTGATAGAAATAATTGTAGTCTCTCAGGAGAGCGTGAAAGGTGTGAAAATTCACTGGATAAGGTCACTTCGCTGCATGCTCCTTCATCGTCAGATCATGATACATATTCTGGTGGCATGATTCATCAGAAGCTGTCAACAGAGGTCTTAACCAAGGAAATGGAAGTTGGTGAGTGCTCCCTTGATGGAAACAATTGTTGCCCCCCTGTGGAGTGTGAAAGGAGTTCACTTAATAACGTCTGTGATGCTCAACTACATGCTCTCTCATCATCAAATCATGATACAAGTTCTGGTGGCATGATTCATCAGAAGCTGTCAACTGTGGAGCCAGAGGTCTTAACCAAGGGGATGGAAGTGGGTGAATGCTCTCTTGGTAGAAACATTCATGAGCATGGTTACATGGAGAAAATGGAAAAGGGATCCGGTTCGAAGGAATATTCTGTACTGAAGAATGTTTTGGTTGACTCTGAAGCTCTGCCATATGTTTCAAATTCTGAACCTTCATGTTCAGTGGGTATTATACAGACAAACGATGGGAGCCCAGGCACAGAGAATCATTCAAACCACAACATAGCAGTATCAGAGCTTCAGAATGAAGTAAGCTTCTGTTTTCTTTTGTGTTTGTATTTTTGACTGATTGTGTGATGTAATTTTTCTTTTAGTGATATTCAGGTAAGGCTTGCATTTGACTAACCTACCAGTTTGCTGTGTACCTTGTTTTTCCTTCTTCTTTCCTTCATAGCATATTTCCAAACATGAACATAACTTTCCAGTGTAGATTACATTAGAAGCCCTAGTTTTACTGCGAGTAATTTTTACACATTGTATCTTTCGAATTTTCAATTAAAACTTCTTTCTGTGAAAAATAAGATTTCTGGAAGTATTAGCAACTCTTGACTTTCAGGCTAGTTGTTTTGCAAGGGAGTTTATGGGATTTCTAGCGAGTGTGAAGTATCACGATTATCTCACAGTCTGTTACTTTTGGAGTTTTTAAAAAATACTCTTATTGTGGCTTCGATTTTTACCTTTTTTGATAGGGCGATTTCGCACATGAGAGCACGTCGGCCTTCCACGGCTCTAAATGCAATGTTTCCAAGGTATCTAATGTTTCAAGTTCGGCTGAGAAAGCTATCGAAGATTGCTCAATCAAGGAGGTTGAGAATGTGGGTCTAACTAATGTTCTCGTTAGTCCAGACAGACAATTTCTTTTTGAGGAAGATAAAAAACTATTGGACCTTGGATCTTCTGGATATGCATGTAATGTGTCTGGCACACAGCATGTTTTGGAGAGCTCTAGTTTGGAAGTGAATGACTTGCTCACAAGAGGTTCAGTTGGATCTTCACATACTGGCCATGAGATTTTTGGTATTTCAGAATCAAGGGAACTCCAAATTTCAGAGAAGCCTGTGGTTCAAAATGTTATATCCATCAAGATGGATTCGTGGCCAAGGAGTAAGAGGAGAAAGATTCAAGACAATGAAACTGATTGTTTCTCTGCTTCGCCAAGCTTTAGGATAAGGAAACATTTCCTTACTCAAATAGAGAGTGACACGGTAAAGAATATTGAAGATAATAAAGATAGTGTCTTGGGAGTTGCCTCTCCAGTTAATGAGAGTGCTCACAGGGAAGTTTACCAGAATATGACACTTCAATTGACTGAACATCAACCACAAACTGGAAAGGTATCTATTTATCGCCTGGACTCTTGGCTTAGCATACAACCATACTTTGTCCTTGCACAGATATCATGAACACATTACTCTGTTGAACACACAATCATTCTTCATGAGTTATAATAAAATTTCCTTGTTTGTAATTTCTCGTCTAATATGAGAGTTTTGTTCCTTGACTCTTCCTGCAGTTTGTATTGACCTCTGAATACCTAGGTGACAACGTTGAAATTATTTCCTCATCTTCACTCAACCAAGTTTGCGATCCTTTAGTTTTTAATTTGACTAAGGGGCTTGCCCGGTATTCCCACTTGGCCGAGGAGAAAAAGAAGTTGCCAGGGAACAGTTCTGATGGAATAGAAAACACAGATGAGGTGCATCTTGAAGGCCAAAGTAATTTAGCAGATGGTGAAAGTTTGATGATGGATAGTAGGCATCGAGTTGGAAAATGTAACTTGGCGTTGGATGGCAATCTTCCAGATGGTTTGAGTTGGCCTCATTCCAAAACAGACTTGGATAGGACTCCTACTGACCAGACAATGCCAGTGCTTGAAGGCTTCATCATTGATCCACCAACAGAACTTGAGGAAGCTAAAATCCCTGGACATGCGATCAACCTTGATGAATTCGAACTCCCAAGAACCTCAATGGAACGTGCTAGCATTCTGGAGCAGATGTGCGCTTCAGCTATCACGCAAACACCCTTTACCCACTTCTCATCCGCACTTAACTTGGATGATTCTAAAAAAGTTTGCCACTCTGTACCAAATGGTGTTCTTGAGTGCATGGATCTTAGGAGCATTTCGTCTTTCAACAAGGAAGTCCAGAAACAACTTAGGGGCAGTTATATGGGCAATACAGATGATCACTCCTTTCCAGATATTTCACAGTCTGATTCTCTACTTGACCTGGGAGCTCGATATGGTTGGTGTTCAAGGAACCTTTCTACATCACCAATCGGAAAGCTTTGGGAGAGAACGCCCCTGTATGGCGGCAGCAGCTCAGAGAAGCGATTGAGTTCAAATCCAGAGCTGATGTGCTTTCCAATTGAAGAGGACCCCAGTTTCAGTGAAGAAGAAGAGAATGCAAGTGAGTTGACTGAGAAAATTCAGGAACAAGATACTTCATTCGATGACACTTGCGCAAAGAGAGAACCTTTAGCTAAAATAACAGAAGAAAATGCTCGGACATCAATATTTGCTATAGAGAAGTCTACGAACCGAGATAGTGTAGATTCTATTGCTACAGAAGTCAGCTTTAAGGGTACGTGTAAGAAAGTGAAGGCGAAGGTACAGAGTCACAGCAAACATAATGGTGCGAATAAAGAGAATGATATATTAACCTTTGCTGCAAATGCTGTCAAGAAAGGCAAGGAATCAACAACCAACAGGTTCCGGAAAACAACCTCATCACGTAAAACCAGTTTGAAGAAAGAGGTGCAGAAGCTGTCAGAATATGAGCCAAAGCGCAATAACATTGTCTCAAATGTAACCTCTTTTATTCCACTGGTCAAGCAAAAACAAGCTGCAGCTGTTTGCACAGGTAAATTTTCTTTCCACCTAATTTTGACAAGGTAATGTTTAGTGGATAACTGATATTTGGTTCACTTGTTTCGGCAAATAAATTGGATAAAATATATTCGTACTCGTTATCTTCTTCTTAAATTATGATGGGCCAGTGTGAATGAATTTTCAACTGATCCAAAGGCAAGTGGTTTTGATCATTCTTTAAGTTATTTATACTGCAAGGACAGTTGGTGTGATGAACTGTTTTCTGAAAAGTGAGGATTTCGAAGTTTGCAACTTTGTTCCTGGAAAGTAAATCATAGAAACATTATCGCTTTTACTTTTTGCTTGGAACTAAGAGTTTCATTTCATTGCATTACAGGGAAGAGAGATGTGAAAGTAAAGGCTCTAGAGAAAGCTGAAGCTGCAAAGCGCCTGGAAGAGCAAAAAGAGAATAAGCGTAAGTTGCGGAAAGAAGCATTGAAACTTGAAAGAGTAAGGGCGGAGCAAGAAAATTTGAAACAAATAGAGTTGGCCAAGAAAAAGAAAGAGGAAGAAAGAAAGAAACGGGATGCTGATGTTGCTGCCAAGAAAAGGCAGAGGGAAGAAGAAGAAAGAAAGGAGAAGGAGAGGAAAAGGAAAAAGATTGAAGAAACACATAGGATGAGGAGAGAAGAAAGCACACTGTGCACTCATAAAACAGAGAAAGAAAGACAGATGTCTGACATTGTAAGATTGATTCACTTCCCCAGATCCCTCCATTATTTTTTTTCTCTAAAGCATCGTTCATGACGTGAAAATTTCTGCAGGGTGAGAGAGGATTGAAGGCTAAGGTCTTAGACAATCGATTGCAGAAGAATCAGACTTTGGTGAAGGGAATCAAAGATGGTACGATTGCGGAGAAGCCAGAAGATATTACAATTCAAACTGGCATTTCTCTGGAAACATGTGCTACTTCTGGTGATCCTTGTGACAGTGAACAGGTATAATCTTTTACTATTCTGTGCCGCAGAGGTCCCTACTTGTTCCTTCGACATAACTTTTCTTACCCTTCCAGACAAGTGCTGCCTTGGAAAGATCAGGAAACACCGACAACGTGAGAATAGAGAAATCATATGAGATTTCACCGTACCACTGCTCAGACGACGAAGATGATGATGGAGAAGTAGAAGAGGAAAGAAATAAAAAATATATCCCTCCATGGGCCAGGTGATCTATCATTTCACTCCCTTGGAAAGTGCTTGAATATGCTAGAGATATCTGAAAACATTGGCAGGTTGCTGTATAGGGTTCTAAACTAAGGATTATCTTTCTTGGAAAAAACTTCCTACTCTATATTTGCTCCTCTTCTCGTCACTTGAGTAATGTTAATTTGCAACCTGTCCATTGCTATAGTTTTCAGCTTATCTTTATAACGTAATACTGTGTTATCTTTTGATACGCATTCCATTATTCAAAATCTTGCTGAAAGTTCTTTCTAATCTGCAGCAAAAACTGTGTGGCTTTGGTGCTACCGTTGCAGCGACAAATTCAACCTGATTCAATCTTCCCTAAAGACAGCTTCTGCAGATTAGATGAAGGTATCATAAGCTTCTTAAGTTATTCCTGAAAATTGTGGAGCAACTGATTAATGAAAAAGTGTATTTCCCTTCCTTCAGTTTGTCCGACACAATTCAGAAGAGTAATCAAAATGAAAGGCCCAATGCAAACAGGATAGCAAAATCATCAGTTGATTCGCCACCAAAGTGGGTTGCACCAAGACATTCAATCTTGGCTTTAGGTGTTTCTTTGGTGAGTGTTCTATTTTACCTGGAAATCCAAAGGAATAAAGTTAAAAATTTTGCTGTCTCATGGTTGTTCCAACCTGCATAGCCCAATTCATACACCGGTCAATGTTTTGTATTTAGTAACAGCCTCAATAGCTTAGGCATGTGATTAAGATGTTGTAATTCATTTGAACTCTGTATCTTGTATTTGGTTGTCATCTTTACACTAGCACGTGTCTAATCTAATACAAGTATATTAAATCATTGTTCAAAAAGAAATTGTAGATTCTGTCAGATCTACAATACAGCCGACTTTGCTGTTTCTAAACTCCCCCTACATTGCTTAACATGCTTTTGTTTCTTTATGTTGAATACAATAATATATGCTGCACTTTTCTCCAGTAACGGCTCCAAGAAGATTCATTCTGGTCAGTTTTGGAATGGTTTTAGTGTGTGTGTGTGTGGGGTGGGGGGTAAGGTATACTACTAAAAGTTCAATATGGGTCTGTATCTCTGTGTTCTGTAAATTTCTGTAATCACATTGTTTTCGGTGACATTTCGCCGACACTCCAGATGAGTTCTCACTGATATCTCTTCTTTTTACAATGTCATTGATATTTTCAATTTCCAAGAAAGAGCACATTCAAAAAGTAAGCATAAAGCTGAACGTTCGAATAATTACTATCAGTTCGCTCGAAGAAAAAAATTACTATCAGAAAACAAAGCAAACATATAATTCAATTAGTTATTCATCAGTTCTTGAAAATCTATAGATTTAGTTTTGACCAGTTCTTCAACTTGTTTATTTATACACACTTTTGAAATTATTTACCATCACTAACTTACTAAAGTAGTCCGCCAAAGGGCCCATTGAGCAACGGCTTATTTTGAACTTTGTGGGCGTCCAATACGGCTTAGTACTTGCAGACCTGGTCATGACTCCAGCTCTTCCAAAAGAGCCATTGCCTGCTTATTTTGGTTTCTTTCTGCTATATTCCCCTGCTCCTTTCTTTTGAATATAATCCTTCGTTAACTTTTCATTTTAGTAGTAAAAGTTTATAATGCGAGGTTCTATTATGGGAAAAAAAAAATTGTATGAATGGAATGGTGATAGTATTCTTGCATTATTTTAAGCCAAAAAAAAAAAAAACAAAATCAGTGAACAATTTCTTAAATCAATCATGTGAGATGAGGTCAATTGACCAAAGCTTACATTACCGTTACAGATTTGGACTACAATAATGCAGATAATGTTATAAAGAATTTGTCCATAAACCATAAATAAACCCTTCTCTTTTTCAGTGTATTTTTATTTTTTTATTCTAGTACTATATTCTTTCTTCTGTACTTTCCATTTATTTTTTTATTCAAAGAATAAAACCCCCACGCGCCCATTATCCCCAACCGTTTAAACCCCATTTTCCCACCATCGCCACCTCCACCTCTTCTTCTTCTTCCTCCTCCTTATTGAAAACTGAATCAGAAAATAAACTTCATCAAGAAAACTCCATTTTATGCCCTAAATGAACTCAAAAAATCCATCAAGACTTCATCTTTCTCCCTCTGATTGATTAATTGATACAATCCCACAACAATGAATCATCCAAGAAAGCTTCTTGTTTGTTCGAGTTTCGTTCTTGTCTTCAACATCTTGTTCTTCCGGCCATCTTCTTCTGATGGGCTGAATTTCGAATTCCAGTCATTAACCCTCAGGAATCTGACCCTTCTTGGAGATTCTTATCTCAGAAATGGCATCGTGGGCCTCACCAAAGAGCTTGGAGTCCCATCTTCAAGCTCCGGAACAGTAATCTACAACTCCCCGATTGCTTTCTTCGATCCAGATTCCAATATTACTGCATCTTTCTCCACAAGATTCGCTTTTTTCATAGGCAATGTAAATCCTTCTTCATTTGGGGATGGATTGACTTTCTTCTTGTCCCCTGATAATCAGACCTTGGGGAGCCCTGGTGGGTATTTGGGCCTGGTGAATTCCACTCAGTTGACCAAGAACAGGTTTGTTGCAATTGAGTTCGATTCAAAGCTTGACCCGCATTTCAGTGACCCGGATGATAATCACGTGGGGTTGGACATTGAGAGTCTCGTTTCAATCAAGACTGCCAATCCCATGTCGGTGGGGATTAATTTGAAAAGTGGGAATTTGATAACAGCTTGGATTGATTACAGGAATGAAGAGACGAAGTTGGAAGTGTTTATGAGTTATTCCAGTTTCAAGCCTGAGGAACCAATCTTGACGGTTGATGTTGATTTGTCAGATTTCCTTAAAGAGTTCATGTATTTGGGATTTTCTGCTTCTACTGAAGGAAGTACTGAGCTGCATTTTATTGAAAATTGGAGCTTCAATACATATGGGTTTAAGCCTGTTAGACCAAATATCCATCCTCATAATGTTTCTGAAAGTTCTGTTCCTTTGAAGCCTCCAATCCCAGTTTCTGATTCTGGAAATAGGCATCACAGGAGGCTTGGATTGGGTTTTGGGATTGCAGGTCCTGCTTTCTTTTGTGCTGTTCTTGTAGTTTTTGGCTGGATTTCTGTAAGGAGATGGAGGGAGACCAAGAATGATAGGAACCTAAAAGCCGAGCTTATGACAGGACCAAGGCAATTCAGCTATCAAGAACTCAAGTCAGCCACAAGGGGATTCCATTCCAGTAGGGTCATTGGAAGTGGTGGTTTTGGAACAGTTTACAAAGCGTTTTTCACTCACTCGGGTGCCATTTTTGCTGTCAAAAGATCCAAACACACACATGAAGGCAAAAGCGAGTTCCTTGCTGAGTTATCAATCATTGCTTGTTTGAGGCACAAAAATTTGGTTCAGCTTCAGGGGTGGTGTGTTGAGAAGGGTGAATTGCTTCTGGTATACGAGTTTATGGCCAATGGAAGCCTTGATCAGATGTTGTACAGAGAAAGTGAAGATAATCCTTTACAATGGCCATACAGGTACAATATTGCTGTAGGATTGGCATCAGCTTTGACCTACTTGCATCAAGAATGTGAGCAGCAAGTGATTCACAGGGACATTAAAACCAGTAATATAATGCTGGATGGGTGCTACAATGCAAGGCTTGGGGATTTCGGATTGGCAAGACTTATGGATCATGATAAGAGTCCTTGTTCAACACTTACAGCAGGAACAATGGGATACCTTGCTCCTGAGTATCTCCAATATGGGAAAGCTACCGATAAAACTGATGTTTTCAGCTATGGTGTGGTTATACTTGAATTGGCTTGTGGGAGGAGGCCAATAGATAGAGAAGGGGCTTGTCACAAAATGGTCAATTTGGTTGATTGGGTATGGAGACTCTATTCGGAAGGGAAAATTACTGAAGCTGCAGATGTGAGATTGAATGGTGAATTCAAAGAAGAAGAAATGAAGAAACTGTTATTGATTGGGTTGAGCTGTGCAAATCCAGATAGTGCAGAAAGGCCCACAATGAGAAGAGTCTTTCAGATTCTCAATAATGAGGCAGAGCCTATGCCGGTGCCGAAGGTGAAACCTACTTTAACTTTTTGCAACAGTTTGCCATTGAGCATAGATGATATCATTTCAGATGATGATGATGGATGCAGGAGCCCTGATTCACAATTTGAGATAGTAGTTGGCTGAAGTACAAGTTAAAAAGTCCCTCCTGCTGTTATTACTGAAACATTATGTTTAGGATTCTTTCATTTTTTTTCCCACTACTAGTAGACTGATTGTGTACTGCTTAGTTCAATGTATCTTTATACTATCTGAAAGCAAAATTTTTGAGTTCAAATTCATTCTATTGAACTCTGCACATATTCCTGATGTATTTTGAGATGACATTAGATGAGTGTTGCACTAAGGACATTTGATTTTACTGTAGGAGTTAACATCAGATACTGCTGTAATGATTCTTTCAATATCTTCTTTGCCTTTTTCATGTTTGCTATCAAGTATCAACAGTGAGTTTTCTCAGATTTGTAGCTTTCATTCTGCAGAGGCTACTAGTCCGATATTCGAACCTCTTTCTCATTTAGCAGCTTCTGTGAATGCTTGATTAGTGTCTTATACTACAAAAGATGGGGAGTGATTGTGGCGAAATACAACATGAGTGTACCAAGATTCAAGAGACCTCCCCCCTTACATATGGATGATCAGAAAGAAATCGTGTTAAGCCATGAGATGACAAAATATACCTGCTTTACTACCTGAAAAGTAACTCGATCCATAAGCACAAACAGATAGTTCATAGTTCATTCCTCTATTTTACTGGAAATGGTAAAAAGAATGGTTAAGTCATACCAATTGGTTTTCAGACTAAAAATGAAGAAATTGCTGTCTTCTTTCTTATGAAGCTGAAAACTTCAACCTACAGTACAACCAAAGGTAAAACAAATTCTGCATTCTGCAGCATCAACTGGTTCATTTTCTAGGAATAAACTGGTTGATAGAAAAATACGAAAGGAAAGCTGGTTATAATCAGCCCCAGAATAGTAGTACTAAATGCATCAGCTGTGAAATTTGACTCAATTTAAAATCATGCAGTGAAACAGTCCAATATAAGAAGCATATACATCATGATATTTCAACCTACTAAGATTCAGGGAATCAGGACAAAGTAAATTTTTTTATGAACTAAAACAAAAGTAGAGTTATGGTTCAAACCAGAACAGAATGCTATAATCTGGGATTTTTGTTGAGGCAAAAAAATAAAGGTGGCCATGGTTGGCAGAAGAAGAGCGAGCACATTCCCACAAAAAGCAAAACACCCTTTCACTAATGGCGGGCTGTGCTCACTCTCTTCTGTCAACATAAATCACTCAGCCCCTTAATCCAAGCAAACCAATACCTCCTGCAAAAAGATGATATAAAAGAAAAGTATGGAGAGAAAACAAACTGATCAGATCAAACAAGTGCTAAAAAAATATGGTCTAAAAAAAATGTGAGATTTAGCTATGGAATCTCTCGTGAAGTGGTGATATTTTAGGAGCCTTTTTGCATATAATGCATGTGTTTTTTATATACAAAGGTCAAAAAAGAAAAGCAAATTCAGGTAATGTGATTTGGAGAGAATGAATAGAGAGAGTCGTGGTAGAGTTGAGCAATGGAACAGTGTTGGTTGAGGAGTTCATGAGGATCAATAAGATATGTGTAGCCCAATTTATAGAAATTAATGGCATTTCATCCTGATGAATAGTAGTACTAGTAGTTGGATATCAATTCTATTTCTATGTTTGCAGTTTTTTTGGGCATTTCCTGGGATTGAGAGAATCTGCCTACTTTTGGTAACAAGAGTTCCGTACCAAAACGTTGTTACTCCACTCGAGAAATGTCACCATTATTTCCACCGCAAGCAATCCGATTCTTTAATCAACTTTTCGAGATGATAATTTGTGACACGATATAAATATAGAGTTACATATGTTAACATGCAAATTTTCGCAGCATTGAACCGTGAATATTAAAAATACCACCCAATTACGTCTTCATATTTGGCGTATCCAGTTAATGAGACGTGATTGGTAAACCTTATGCAGATGATGTTAGAGTTATGAGGGTTTGAAACTAAGATTGTGGATGAGACGGCCATAATTAATGGTTGGTTAAAAGAAAGCCAAAAAAAAAAAAAATCTCCAATTCAATTTTATTTGAAAGAATCAATCACCCATACAAATTTGACGATTGAGCATTGTGATAATGAACACACTAAGCACGAATAAATGTAATGTTACACTAAAAATAGAAAAGATAATGACGCTGTGCTGCAACTTTTGTGAGTATTGAGGAAGGGGACTTCCAACTCATTTTCAAAATGGACTGTACATTCATTAAGCAATACTGTGGGGAAGAGTGTTATATTTCTTATTTTATTACCCATTTTAAAGTAGAACATGAACCGAAAAGATCCCATAAATAGATTGCCAGAAAGCAATACACAACTGTAAATTTTTGTGTGACCACAGCTCTCCGTGACAGTGAAATCTTCATGAAAGAAATTGGATTGGGAACCAATGGGGGGAACTGTGGAGGGTAGAGGCACTTTTCATCTTTAAATCACATGTAAAGATTAGCTGTTTTGTGGGGGGGTTTCGTGTAACATCTGTCATGAATTCACATGGTTGTGAATCTGATCACCTCTAGTCTCCCTAATAACAAAAGAAAAGATTGTAATGAATTTAAACCCATTTCATGTTGGCTCAAGAAACCAACCAAAAAAATGAGGTTTCATCACAATCACCACGTTGTGACTAAATCACAGAGTTTTATACTCCCTCCGTCCCGAAATTATTGTTCAGCTTGGATTTTTATTTTTAATACAAATTGAACTGAAAGTGAAATTCTAAATCGAAAAATAATTTTGGAACAGAGAAAGTGGTTTGGAAGGAAATGCTAATGTTCACATTCACCGTGGGACTAAAACAGCGGTTTCCCGGAATGTGAACAAAAAAATATATCATGTAGATGAGAGGGGAATTCAGGATTCTAACTGGCTTTTATCTTTTATTAACGTTGATGATTAAGGTCTGGTCACATGCGCAAAATAACCTCGAAGCGAAGATAGGAATGGAGAGAGCAACTGAGTCGAGCAATTTGCAATTCATTGAGCGAAAAACTCTATTTGAGATCTCCTTTTGTGAATACTCTCAAGTTAACAAAAATCTGATTTTCATCTTTACAAATTCCCAAGGAATCTGAGCTATGTTATACATTGCTATCTCTTGAACTAAATGAGATTACAGATTACCTGAACTATCTACTTCGTAACTGAGCTGCTTGAGCTGGGAAAAAAGAATCCAGTTCATCGCGATAGTTATTACCATTTGACAGAACTTCCTCCACATTCTCTGTTTGATAGGGAGAATCAGGCAACACTTTATTTTTGTTGGGCACCATTTCGTCTTCTGGAACAGGTCCCAGGGACTGTGTTTTCCATTGGATACCAACCGCATCAGCCTGATCTGCGAAGAAGACTTTTGAAATAGATGAACTGCAGATTGATTTGTAGGCCTCGTAATTACCAGCACATGTTTGCCCACCTTCAAGAACTTTCGACAGGGGGTGTATAACCGATATAGGATCATTACTTCTTTCTAAGGTTTTCTTCAGTACCAAAAATTCTGACACTAACTCTTCTTTACTGAACTGGATAAACACAGCAGTTTTATCCAGGTAGTAAATCATTGAGACAGAAGTTGAACCAAAAGCTTTAGAAAAGCATTCTCGAATCTCACTTGCCTTGAGTTTAGATGGAAATCCCCACAGCACAACCATATTTTGATATAGAATCTGCGCGCATCGATTTTTCCAGTTTCTAGAACTGGTTAGTTCTGGTTTGCAATTCCCAGATCTTAGGTCGATAATATCTCCATTGATCCAGCTAAGATAGAGATGATTGACATACCCCTGAAGCTTCTCATTGTGAGGCCAAGAGGATGAGGGTGGATGGCAATTGAAATCAACACACAAATAACTGCATGCCTGAGCGAAAACACAACCTGTCATGAATGCATCGTACCCTGCCTCATGCTTGGCTCCAGAATTCCAGTTTTGGGACCTGGGAATTACACAAACATTAAACCTTCTGGTAAACCAATAGAGACAGAAAGATCTACGCAGTTCAAATCACGGTCACCAATGCTACCTTTATAAAATCTCAGACAGGTTACAAAGCCAACATACATAGAAACTCTATGTTTGCCAAAAGATATCCGAATTACATTATGAAACACTAAAATAATTTAACATTTTATAAAATGAAATTAAAATGAATGGGAAAACTAACCTCTTGTCATCAACTTGAACTTCCACTTTGACAAGATACTTATCATCTGACCCAGAAGGTTTTTCAACAGAAGCTATTTGAGGGCAGAGCAACGCAAATGCTTTAGACAATGATGTATTGCGACTACTTCTCTTAAGAAGGGTTTCAAGTACGGAGTTGGTATTCAACATCACTTTCGTATCAATTATGAACGGGAAATACTTCTGGACAGCTGCTACAAAATTTTTGGCAGTTGAAGGAAGAGGGCCGATAAATTTTCTGTAGACGTGTGCCACATCTGCATAATTAAACCAAATTAACTTGACATCAAACGCAGACATGGAAAATACCAGAATAAGGTTTAAATTACAATAGCATACCCAGAAAACTATTGTGCCCAACAATCAACTTTTTCTCGGAGGAGAGTAGATCAATAACTTGCCGGAATCCAATGGCTCCTTTAATCTTCATCTCCGATTCTTTCCTAATGCAATCCTTCACCTCTCTCTGAAAAATGAAAATTGATCCACATGAGCTACCCTATCTCTTTTACACGCAATTCAAATTCATAAAAGATAATCCTATATCGGGTAGTTCACACAGGAGATGTATCGACAGTAATACAATGAACACTTTGAAACACCAATTTAAAACACTGGAAAGTGGCTGCAAGTAACTACTGATACCCATGCTAAAGTTTATATGGAAAATTCAAACACAAGTAATGAACAGAAGGCCTAATACCAACTCAGCCCTTAAGCCTCACCAGAAGTAAGTCCTGATCACTTCTTGATTCGGTGTAAACAATCAGGTGCTGTTGGCAGGAAGCTTCATTGGTCACGGAGACAAATACCAGATCTTTAAAATGTTTTTTAACAATCTGCAATATGTCAATTCTTGAGTGTTAGATACCACACTGCATGGCATTGGTAAATTTGAAATTGATAAGAATTTTCTAAATCATCAATAAAGACAAGGTAAAATCCTAAAAGAGAGGCCCAGTCCCCGATTGATACTTGAAAATATTTTGTTTTTTTTTTTCCCTTAAAAAACTACGAGTACTGACGACAGGGGAGTAGCAGATTCACATTACAGATGCTTAAGGCATAGGCAAAATACACTTTAGTTACACATGGAAGCCACAAATTTGAGACAAACCATATGACAAACATGGAAGTGTAAGTAAATAAAACACTAGGCACCAAAGAAGCAAAAAGCACACATTACCAACTGAATCAACCTTAGTTGATGCAAGGTAAATCCACTGAGATCAATGGCAGGGTGCATTTTGAAGAAAATAGTTTTCATCTTCTGACTTGAAGCCTTTGACCTGTTCTCAGTCTCTAATCTTCCACTATTCCCCTCCCGTAACAATCTATCAAGCCATTCGGCAATGTTATTCTTTAATCTCTCAGTAAAAAGAATGTCGGCTACCCTGTCTAGTTTCATGTCTAAGACTTCTCTCACACTTGTCAATGAATCAGGCAAATCGTCCTTGTATCTTTCATTCAATCGCCTCAAGGCTTCCTCTTCTTGGTTTCTGGACAAATAAGATATTCCTGAGATTAAAAAAGCATAAATCTCAATGAATATATTGTCCAAGGGAAATAAGACAGGACGATGCAAATTCAGTTTTAAGCCATAAAACATTAAACATTTCTAGTTTTGACAACAAGATAGAGAAATGCAACAACAGCTTACCATCACGAATACATGTATTGAAATCGAACTGGTATCTAGCTAAGAAATCAATTGAAGTAGTCTGGCAATGGAATTCATACAATGAATCATCATCTCCCTTGATTTCTTGCCGTGGAAAGATGTAAAAGTTGTGCCTGCCCATTTAGTAGAAACGTCTGCTTAATACCACTTACAGCATTTAGAAACAAAAATTAAACTCCCAAAAAACAGATGGTTTCTTCATGAAGCTCCAATTATGAATGAAAATAGTAGCCATTAACTGTGCTTACAATTTAGCAAAAACATTTCAATCAAGTTCAGTTCTTTACAAGCTCCACAAAGGCTAAAAAGAAGCTTATAAAATTTTAAAAAGAGCACCAAAAAGTAATAAACCATTCTATTAGTACTAAGTTTTGATTCCTTACGGATGAGCAATGAAGGACTGCTTGTGAGGATCCCAGCGGAAGGGGCAAACGCCAAATTGAACGACAGCGAATTTGTCAGCGGAGTCCTTAACTTTTAGATACTGAATATCAGAGCGATCAAACCCAAAACACTCTCTCCAAGGAGCGCTGGTGACGCCGGTCATTTCCAGGTCGACGGCGACGAAGTCGGCGTCTCTGACGTGACGCCGGAGCTCGACGAGCGTCGGCTCGAAGTTGGACCTCGTGACATTTTTAATGGCGAACGAGGAAGCAGTGCAGAAATGGCGGGTGGAAGGTAGGGTTTTACGAAAAGCCCGGATGAAGATACAGAGTCTCTTCATTGACAGAAACCTCTGTGTCTCTCCTCTCACGGCGTAGGAAGACGATTCAGCTCATATGGGCTTAAATTAAAAGTAGACTGCTGCTGCCAGTCAGTTGGGCCTGTCGGAGTTGGTTTAAAGCTTTGGGCTGGAGCCCTGATAATCAGGCTTTGTTGTTTGCTGTAAACTTCTGTCCCATCAATTCGACAAAATGCATATACTTGTTTTTCGTCTCATTTTTACATTTTAACTCATTTTATCTCTTAAATACAAAATTCAATGGAAAAAGAATAAAATCCAAACAACTTTCTAATTTACATTTTAAAATCAAACTTTCAATATTTTACTAGTGTAATGACCATTTTTGGGAACTAAAATTAGTGTAGTGACCATTTTTGGAACTAAAAATTAATTCAGTGACTAAATCCAAACTTTGCACGTTTTTTGATCTATTGTTTAGTGATCATTTTTTAAAATTTTTTTATAGTGATTAAAATTGACACTTTTCTATTTTTTAGTGATATTTTTCGTACTTAATATTTGAATAAAAAAAATAACTTTTTGCTAAAATACCATCCAAACAACTTTTTTATTTACGATTACGTTTTTCACTTTAAACACATCTCACTTTCAAGTGGCAAAATGAGATGTAAGATGACGTCCAAACAAACATGCTACTCCATTTTTCTGGTGTAAGGTTTTTTTTGCTGCAATCACAGAGAGAAAGCAAGTTGCCCTTCCCAGTTGGACAACCATTCTGCTTCAATTAATAATGCCAATGCCACAGCTCTCCGGCTCCATCAAACCGTATTTTATGTGGAATACAGAACAAAGTATTAGCAGAGTAAAAATCTGAAAGTATTTCGCTTTGGATTACAATTAAATGCGACAAAATAACAAACCAAACACCACTGTCAAATTGGAATTGAAGAAATTTTGCCCGGAAGGATGGCTAATGATGCTAAATCTGGCTCCAAAGTCCCAATCACATCATCTTTCTCCTTAAAAACGTGATTTAGTCTTTTCTAGTTTGATTATCATTTTTATTCCACATAAAAAAAATAAAAAACCACCATGGCTGATTTAGGTAGTGTAAAATAAATTCAGATTTCACTATAGGTCAACCCCCCAAAAAAAAAAAAAGGAAGAAAAAAGAAGAAGAAGAACGCTTTCATGATAGTATATCCGTGGTAGCCTAAAGTAACAAACAATTTCTACATTAACCAAAAAAAAAAAAAAGGAAGATTTTTTACAATAGAATTTTGAAGGCTCAAAATTAGGATTAAGAAAAGTGATAGGGATTTCCATGTTCCAAGTTATTCATAGACCTTTTAGCTAAACGAAATTGTTTAGGCTGTTGATGCAAGAGTTTTATATTATAATTTACTTAAGTCTCTTTTAATGTTTGCCATTTGGATTCTACAGATCTAATTTACCATCTGATTTTGGATGTTTTATAAAATATTTCATGGCTTTGTGATCCTGACAATTGTCTGAATTTCTAAGCTGGATATATTCTTGTGGATTCTGAGTTTAGTCCGACAAAAAAATATAACTGTAATAACCTTCTCACGTTTGTTCATTCATCGAGATCGAATAAGGCGAGCTGCGAATGCTCCGTCCATTGAATGCTTGGCAGGATTTGAACGATAGAAGCCACGTTCAGTTACAAATTCATGCGGCACATAATTGTCAGCTGCATCAACAACAAATTCCTGCATGCATAAACACCATAGCAGAATCTCTCTCAGACTTAGCATTACGTTTCAACTATAATGTGGATGTTTGTGTGGAAGCTTGTTAGCATGATTTTGGAACAATGATGAAAAAAGGTAAACGTCAGGGGAAAAGAGCGAATATGAATCAATACCGGATGTCTAAGAAGAAATGACGCTATTCTCTCCTCATTCTCTTCTTGATCAATGGAACAAGTACTGTATATAAGAGCTCCTCCAGGCTTCACCATACTATAGAGAAAGACTCCCTCAGTTGTCATACAAGAAAAATCAACACATTTCGAGCTAGAAACCTTAATAAAGAATAAAACACCCTGCATAGGGTCATCCACTTAGATGTTCTGTTACAAGTGCTCAAAATAAGCAAATAGTGACCATTTTCTTTTCACTCGTTACCTTGATGCAGAATCAAGAAGTTCATCTTGTAAGCTTTTAAGCTCTTCCATGTCTTCTAATCGCCTATTCCAACGCAAATCCGCTCTCTAGGGCATTGGGAGAAACAATGTTCAAGACAGTTAACAAGAAGAATGGAACTGAAAAAAGCAGAAACATTGCTGAAGGTTAACATGTTTGGTACCTTAGAGAGAACCCCCAATCCAGAACAAGGTGCATCCAGTAGAACTTTGTCATGCTTGATGTGGCTATTATTCTGAGATGATTTATATTATTAACCAAAAAAAAAAACCCACCTTAAGGAGCCAACAAAAACCACTAGAATGGTAACTTTGAGGAAATTCTACTACTGCAAATTCTGAAAATGAGGAAGAATTGGATGAAGGTCCTCACAGAAAATATCCGGAGGTCAGAATGAATGGTAGTGACGACATTATGAACTTGATGCAACTCAGCAGTCTCTTTAAGGATTCTCAACCGACCAGCGTTTACATCAACTGCAGTTACCATACCTAAGAAGATACAACATCAGTAAGTTGAAATGTTTTTTGCCATTAAAAGAAGATATAAAATGCAACTTTTGACATCCTCGAAGATTGAGGGATGATGTTCATCATCAACGAGGGAAGCCAGGTGATTCCACCCTTCCTCACTTCCCTTCAATCTTCAACCCAAAAAATGCGAAATTATTGTGACTGTAGGTATATCTTTCTTAAGTTAATGCATCATTTTTCACTTAAAAATCATTACCTTGCCCATTCAAAAAGGTCGCCAGGAATAGTGCCTTTCCTCCAGGTGCAGCACAGCAGTCAAGAATACTCTCACCGGGCTGTGGATTCACAAGGGTGACGACCATACCTACAAAACAGGTTTTCCATGCGAATCAGATGACACAATTCACCATGGAGTTAAAGAAAGAAACTAGCCACATCAAAAATATAACACAGTTTTATAAACAACAAAACTTTGTAATATGAAGTGTCTTGTTAGGGGGAAGAAGAGGAAAAAAGCCATAGCCTGCTGAGTATGTGGAGAGGAGAGCATAGTTAAGGGTATGTGGTGAAGAAAATTACCAGCACTCTCATCTTGGACAGAACACAAACCATCTTTAAGTAATCCTGATTGTATAATGAGCTGAAACATTATTTTATTCAATATCAGATATACAATGTATAGGTTTTGCATCAAAATAGTTTTCATAACACCCAAGATAGACAGATCTGTAATAGTTCACAAAAAGTTATCAAAAGAATGTGGACAGATACCATCAACAGACAAGAACAAACAGATCATGGCACCAATTTGATTGTACCTGCATCCCAGTTCTGATGCGGACAAAATCATCCAAATGCGCAGAGAGCTCATGTGGGACCTAAAAGTTGCAGATATGAAGATATGTTTACCACTAGTCCTCCACTGAAATCTCTTTTCGATGAGATAAGTAACAGCTAAAGGTTGGCATTCAGTAGAGTATGCCTACACTATTTAAGATGTTGAAAACCCAGCTAAAATTCTTTCAGCAATCAGACCAAGACAATTTACGAACCATCAATATCAAAAATCACCTTTAACTTTTCAAGCTGCTCCACTAGGTGAGACCTCCTGAAACCTTTAGCAACATTTGCCCTAAACTTTTGTACCCCAGATGATTAGAACAAGCATTAGACTTTTAAGTTCAGATACAAATGAATTACTCACAAACCTTAGACTGAAAGTTGGATCTTTGTTATTCCACATCATCAGTCTAATAGCTTCTTCTCGCCCAAGATGTTTTATCCATCGTCTCACCATCCACTACAAATAGATGATGGAAAGAGGATACATAAATAAGAAGACAAAAAGGATTAATATGTCAGTGCTAAGCACGAACTTCAAAACAATTTCTATCATATTTCAAACATCAATGCCTCAACAAAAACATATATCATCGATTAAAAATAATAGACTGAATATCTTCAAGAATGACGATTTTACATACAACTAAACTGGAACTACAACATGGAGAATAAGAGAAAAGATGGTACCACTGGATGAGAATAAATTGTGGCAAGTGCACGCGCTTGCTGACGATCATCGCCGTTCACTTCTGGGGAAGGGAAGGAGTTACTTTCCTGTAATAAACTTACTGTGATGAGCATCAAATATATAGAGGCAAAATAGGTTTCTTTGACTAAAGAGAATGGGATACCTTAAGTAAAACTAGCTTTCTGAGAATCCCATTGACCATGTTCCCCGCACCTGGTCTGAGGGCAACCTTGGCTAGTCTTACATTCTGTAAATTTGGAACAGAAAATTCAAAACTGTTGTATTTAGTCTGTTCGCTTCCAAGCCAGTAAAATTTGAGTTTAAATCATAACAAATATTTGCCAGTACATGAATTCAACATTACACACCAATCTTAAATGAAAGCTAAACATATTACTTATTTGAAACTAGTACAGTAAAACTATGGGAAAAAAAATAGCCAAGCAAGATTTACCTCATCGACGACAGCATATGGGGGCATCTCTAGCTTGATGATCTCATAGAAACCAATCCGAAGAATCTAAAGACAAAAGCAGAAATGTCAAACTCTACATAAAACCGAGGAAGACACATTTGAAGAGCTATGAGGTGGATCTTGATGTGTCCAAATGCAGCTAAAAAGAATAACTAGAATGTCATCACACTCCACATTTTAGGCCGTTTTCTTATAAGCGAGCTCAAGTGCCAACTTTTTCTGTTACATTGCTCCAAGAATGCAACTATCACGCTGGACTTCTAACCGGAAGAAAATGGTCCCACCACAAAAATATATCACCTGTAGAAGAAGAGGCTCCATGTCTCTGAACGTGCCTTCATCGTGGCACAATGAAAGTATCAAATAATCCAGATATCTTCTCCAACGAATGGTACCTCCAACAATTTCAGTTACCTAAAGTTTGAGAGAAAATATATTATTATGCTCCAATATAAATATTATTCTCCGTTTAATTTCACTATATCAGTTAACTACATAGATCATATCTAGAAACAAGTTACATATTAGTTAGAAAATATAAAACCAAAAAAGGAAGTAACAATCAAGCAGCTAAAACTGTAGGAAAATACCGAAAATTACCAGCCTCAAATCCCTATCCTCCAAATCCCTGGTACGAAATCCAAGAGTTCTTTCCACGTATCCCATCTCATTGCCTCCTGAACCTTTTCCTTGCTCATTCAGTAAGTCGGCGAAAGCACCACCAAGCTCTATTCGCATCAACCTCACAGCAGACACTAAATAGAAAAAAAACACACAAAGAAAGTGGGAAAAACATGTTCAGGAAATCAAGAATAGTTCTGAATTCCAGGAAAGCAATATCAACTATCAAGCATAGATAGCACAAATTCAGGATTTACCAGCTCTGTGGGGTGATACTTCCAAATTCACTTTCTGGGTCTTACTGGCAGCATTTAAATGACCTGAAAGATGCAGCTTCTGGAATCAAAATCCAAACTTTAAACTCAAAAACGTGATTATTATTCTTTGCTAAAAACAAACATTTCCAGACGAACGGAGACAGAGAGAACATTCTGCACTTTCTTGCAACAAGTATTACTGAAAGCAAAAGTTGAAGAGAGGGAGGTAACAGAATACAGAACCTTCTTTACTCTTGAGAGTAGCAGTTCTGCTTCTTGTTGAGTTGAGATATTTCTTGGCACACTGGACAGTGGAAATTGTTGCTGAGTTGTTGGGTTTTCTTCCAACATTCTTAGCTAAATTAGTCCTAACTACAAAAGTGTCAGCAGGATTGACGGGCGGAATTGAAAGTGTTTGCGGCAACATCGAATTCTCTACTTTTAATCTTCCGTTCTGCAACCGTTCCCTTCGAAGTTCATCCAACAAATGCGTGTAAATTAAATATCAAGGATAAATTCACAATCAGTAAACAAAGATAAAAAATAATTCATAAGATAAATCAAAACCTCCATATTTGGGCCTTTTCTCACCTGAAATGAATAGAGCCAATATAATGGGCTTTATAAGCTTGAACCGGTTCGAAACAAAGAAACTTTTGTCTAATTTGAACTGGGCCACATCGTTGAGATAGTATTTTGCAACTAGGCTCCATTTGGACAAGGTTTTAAAAGTGTTTTTAGCTTAAAAAAAAAAAAAAGAAGTAAGAAATGCGTTTAGGCAAAGTTCTTGTTTCATAAGCAAATTAAGTCTTTTTGAAAAATCGGCAAGTAGTATCTGATTCGGGCATGGTTCTCTCGCTCTTCGAGCTCTAATTCCGGCGACTCTGTTGGCTTGCTGCACTGAAAGCTTTTCGTAATCATCGGTAAGTAGCGATCATGGGCTTTTCTCCAGACCCCAAAATTATTCTTGGTAGGATTCTATTTTTTGGACATTTCAATTTGTTTCGCATTTCTTGAAATAGAATTGGGTTAATGCGCCCTGGGTTGAAGGATTTATGCTTGCTAATCGTTGGTTGATGGTCTTGGTTTTTGATGATATTCTTCGAAGTGCCATTTCTTAAAAGGGTTTCGAATTAACCATCCGTTGAATGATTCTCTTTTTTTTTTTTCGATTCTTTACATTTCCGTCTTTTGTTCTTTCTTTGTGGATCAATTTGGCTTCCCGTCTGAACAGTATGGAAGTTGAAATCCTTATGTGGAGCATGGTTTTGTGAGCCACTAGGCCTGATATGATGGAAACTGGCCCCATAATTAAACTGGGTCTGAATGCTCTTAAAGTTGAGTGTTAACATTCAGTATTGGAAAAAAAAAAAAAACAAAAACAACAGAGAAACAGATTCTCACTTGCTAATTAGCTTACATCACCCGGCATTGAATGTTAAACTTAGAGCAAGGAAGCCGTAAGACTGGGGGTGTGGCTTTCTAATGAATTCTAACTCATTTACCCACTCTGATGGACTTTCGTTTAGAAACAGTGAAGAGTATCATTTAGTTTGGGTTCAAGGGGTCATGTCCCTTTGAAGGATATGCTACTTTTTGTGAGACCAAAAGCTAAGACAGAAAGAAGCCGAACCCTTTCTCTCCTTTTCTCTATGTTTATTGTACTCAATTATATTGTTTGCCAGACTGGTGAATACAAATCCCACGTTTTGTTTTCTTAGAGAAGATAGTATGATGTATTTGGAGTTTATTGAGGTCTGTTAGAAACCCAAAGTTGTTGATTTTATTGGCTATGACAACCCAGTTGATTTTTTCTTTACTTTTGAGTCACTGTAGTTCCAACTTGAAACTGGAGCATTGAACACTTCGGCAGATAAGCTGAAAATGAAATGTTTGGTTATTTCAGTTTTGCCATTATACTCGTGTTGGAACTTGGAACTATTAGACACTCTCTTAGAGACTACATAAATTGACCTTTACTATTGCTTAAGTGGATCAAATTGTTCTGTTATGATGAGTACTAATTCATGTTGATAACTGTTTTGGACATATTTCTAAGTGGATTTACGCTTGTCATGGCAGGTCCAGAAGCAACACCCTTATGACTGCATCAAACTCTTAACTGGACCGTGAGCCCTGCTTCTCTCTTTACTATTATAGTATTTTTTATGAATTAAGATTTCTGTTGATGGATTTTTCTACTTACAATGGTTGGCATACTTGGATATCAGATATATTGCTTTCAGTAAAAGCTAACTTTGATGGTGTCTTAAAAAACCGTCTTGGAAACTCTTAGAATTTGCAGAACCAGAAACATAAAGGAAGAACTTTCTTCCTATCTTTTGCTTAAATTTTTGGATTTCATATTTGACTTGACAAAGATGACGTAAATGGCAAAGAATCTTTTTTTTTTTTTTTGGTGCTTAGTTCTTTTGTTCGAGTTCTCTCTGTTTATACCATATGAATTGGTTGTTTCGAATGCTATCGCTTAATCAGGCAATGGTTTCAAGGAAGTTGAAATAGAAGAGCTGTCGAAATGGGTCATAACCTCAATTTCACTTCTTTTAATTTAATGCTTGGTTGTGTTTTATTTTCCCCTCATTTAATTTGTGAAATTGTAGTCTGGACTTGATGCTGGGTAGTGGAAAGATGTTCACGTACTTGGAACTCTGAGAGTAGTTTTGTATTTGACAAGTTGAAACTTGGTTATCTTAAGGAATGTCTGTTTGTCTGCATAGAGGTTGTACAAATTGTTACACTATCCATTGTGGCCTATGATTATTAGTCGTAGCTCGAGATGCCCAGTTTTCACTTTCAGTACTTGCTTAATTGCTTTGCTTTAAAGTTTCGAATGACAACTTTGCAGCAATCAGCACAATCTGCTTAAGCTATTTGTTTGGCAAATTTTCAGGTTAAAACGGTGACAATTTTATCAATGGCTAGTTGACATGTACTTGATTACTTATGAGGTTGTTTCAAGCATTATTAGAGCAGAGCAGTGAACTGAGAGAGGATTCGGAAATGTCCCTGTTTTAGCCATATGCTTTGCCTTCATATGATTTTCTACAGAAATGCATCTCATTCCTCGTTACCCTGGCCACAAAACTCTCATTTTAAACTTTCGAAATTCTTTGCCTTATCTTCCACTTTTCTCCTATTACTGTACGGAGAGCTTTGATAAACAGGGTGAAAAACAAAGCCAGAATGAGCAACAGTTAATACAAAAGAAAGAAACTTCACTGGGCTCCCCAGGTAGATTTCAGAAGCTGATATCCTCCCAATCTGACCCGCTCCTTGCTCAAGAAATCTTTGAGTTGGCTACGAGACAACCAAATTTTCGCCACTCTTATGCGTCTTGGCATATTCTCATCCTCAAACTTGGCCGCTCTGGTCACTATTCTCGTATGGAGTCCCTTCTGTCATCCCTCAAATCTCAAAATTATTCTGTTTCCACTAGCCTCTTCTCCCAAATTATCAAAATTTATGGTGATGCTGGACTCCCTGATGAAGCCCGGAAAACCTTTTACACAATGCTCAAATTCAAGATGAAACCTCTTTCCAAACACCTGAATCGCATTCTTGAAATTCTTGTTGCTGACCGTAACTTCCGTCGCCCTGCTTTGGACCTCCTGAAAACTTCTCATTTGTACGGGGTTCATGCCAACACCAGATCGTACAACATTTTGATGCACGCATTCTGCTTGAATGACGATTTAAGTGTCGCATACTATCTGTTCAGTCAGATGTTCAAGAGAGATGTTGTGCCAGATATAGAGTCATACAGGACTCTGATACAGGGATTTTGTCGGAAGAGTCAGGTCAATAAGGCTGTTGATCTGTTGGAGGATATGCTGAATAAAGGATTTGTTCCTGACACTTTAATCTATTCTACTCTTTTAAATAGTTTGTGTAGGAAAAAGAAGCTTAGGGAGGCCTACAAACTACTATGCAAAATGAAAATTAAGGGATGCAATGCTGATATAGTTCATTACAATACTGTTATATTGGGCTTTTGTCGGGAGGGCCGTGCTTTTGATGCATGTAAGGTTCTTCTTGACATGCGCAACAATGGGTGCTTTCCTAATTTGGTGTCTTACCGTACACTTGTTGGAGGATTGTGCAGTCAGGGCTTGTACGATGAGGCAAAAATGTATGTCGAGGAAATGCTTTCGAGTGGGTTTTCTCCGCATTTCTCATTAGTGCATCTAATAGTTAAGGGCTTTTGTAATGTTGGAAAGCATGAAGAAGCTTGTGGAGTGTTGGAGGCAATATTGAAACATGGAGAAGTTCCACACATCTATACATGGATGGAAATTTTGCCTAGAATTTCTGAGGTGGATGACCAAGATAACATGAGCCGAATGTTGAACGATATTCTGAAGTTGGAGATAAAGCCTCACACGAAACTAGTTGATGCTGGTGCCAGTCTTGGGGCCTACCTTCTTAAAAGAATAGCAACAAATTGAACAAAGTGTTAGTAACTGTTGAAAATCCTATATTGTGGCTGGATCGGATTCGACGTGAAGCTGTTTTCAGGTCATTAATCCCTCACAGCTACTTGCAGGCCAGATTTTCTGTAATTGTGACCGTGTTAAAATTGCAAAATCAACTGAGGTACGATGTTCATGGGGTGAGATTCTGGATGAACTGTTTATTGTATTTTACCTTTCAGATTATATTTTACAATCTTTTTCCAGATGTCTTGCTAGCTTAACCCAGTACTCTTGTCGCAGAAGAGTTTGAGAGTGCGCATTTTAGTTGCTTTCAAGAACGGAGGAAGATTAGGGTCCATCCCCTGAAGGGTATGTTTTCCGTTGCTTTTACTTTTTATTCTTTGTTGAGGTTTCAATAGTTTGTGAGGCTGCTGCACATTTTTAAACTAGATGGGATTTTCAACTACCCTGTTGGTTATGTTACATTAGATAAGGAGGAGTTATTGCTTTACCATCTTTCAGAATTATTTCCTCTCAATGGGGCTTCGAAAGGCTGGTTTGTTCATGTTACACACTGAAACAGATGGTTTGCTGAATGTGTTGCAATTAGATCAGTGATATTGGAGATAGATGTGCTTCTTCAGAGAAATCAAGTATAGTCATTTCTTCTCCAAAGAATGGCGAAGGGTGAAAAGAATGAAATGTAAGAAGGTAAGATAGTTTCTTCGCTTCAAGACCGCATTTTGGAGGGTTCCAAGAGCTGTTTACTGTTTGAAGAGGAGGAAACTGACCCCCCAAGTACAAGGAAAACATTTGAGTCTGGGTGCAATTTATTACCTTCTGAAGCTCAAGTTACTGAGAATTTTGCAGACTGCTCTGGATAAGGCACATTCCGATTGTCATAGCAATTTTTTCCCGCAAATTGAAGCTCAAGGGAGGAAAAATTTGCTTTATATTGCTAAATTTCAAACTGCACCATGCATCTCCCTTTGGCCAAGATCAAGGAGAAAGAGGGTAAAGAATCCACTTTTTGTACAACATTGATCACCATTGGTGGGATTCCCTGTAAAACAAGAATTTATGAAGTAATACTACTGTGAATACAGTCCAAAAGATCTCTCTTTTTGTTGTGAGAAGATTCCCATGGCACTGAACTATATTATACTACTACTTCAGTAGTAAGAAATCTGCCCTTTTTTTCCTTCAACAAAAGTGGTTGATGGAAAGTTGGCAGCTAAAGGCAAGTAACAACCTCAAAAAAATTTACACCAAGGGGGAGGGAGCTGAAAAGGCACATTGGTAAAGTCAGAGATTTACAAAAGTAGGAGCGAAAATGGGTAAAATATATTTTTCCCACAAATTCAAATCCATTCTCTGGTTTTTAGCTTTTCAAGTTTCTCTCGATATTTTGTTTTTGGAAATAAGGTTTTAGTACAAGAAAAATTGTGTATTGTGATTTGATAATTTAACATTCGATTTATCGACACTTTTCCATATCCATTTCCTAAATTAATATTTAATAATTTCATATTCACTTACTACCTAATTATTAAGTATTAATTTAGGAACCCTATTTAAATTTAGGAAAATGATAAATATTGTGAAATACTATAGTGACTTTTGTGTAGTGACTGATGTGTAAAATGTGTGATTGGTAGTTCATGTGATGATAATAACTATTTCTTAAAAATTAACTAATGAGTGATTTACACATCAATCATTATACCAAAGTCATTATGGTTTTTCACTTTCTCTATCATTACTCTAAAATTTAATAATTTCATATTCACTTTCATATTCTCCTTACTAGCTAGTCCATTTCAAATCATAGTAATAATTTTCTTAACAATAGAAAATATAAGACTGCGCCTATTAAGTTGCTTGTACCATTTGTAAAAAGAAAACAATGAACACGTTATGTTAGCATATTGTTCAGTTTAACTTTAAAGTTTATGCCATATTAATCGTGATTATTTTTGTATTGACATAAAGGTTATTCGATATTAATCGTGATTTAAAGTTGTTTTTTATAAATTTTTACTTATATTTGTCTTATCCCCTTTCGAATATTTAGAACTTATTAATATTTTGGTATATTTTTGTTCACTACCGACTCAATTTTCTGTTAAGTGTGGGAAAGAATATAAACAGAGACAAGAGCATCTCTGTATGTATTTTTCTTCTAAACAATTTCTTGCTTTTTTCCCCCTTTTTTTCTCTGTATATTTATCTCACAGCGATCACCATTCGCCAATCGTATCCCAAAAACCCTTCTTCAAAAAACCCTAGAAATTCACGATCGAACCGAATTCATCTATTTGGTTTGAATTCCTGTTCTCTTTCAATCTCAGTTTAATCCATCACCACCCGATCATTCCCCATTCCCTATTCTTTTTATACACTAATTTGGCTCAATTTTTATTTATTTATTTTGGATAGCATCCAGTCCGATCGATTCTTGCGTGTAGAATCGGTCGCTTTTGTGGTGCTTTCATCTAATCAGGCAATGGTTCCAATCCGTTGATTGTTTTCATTATGAAGTTGAAACGAAGGAGAGCCGTTGAAGTGGTTCGTAACCTCAATTTCGCAATAACTTGATTTAATTCTTGGATTGATTGTGTAGCTTTTGTTTCTCTGAATTTGAGCATGAGCTTTTCTTCCAATTTCAATATTTTCCTTTTCCTTTTTTGAGGATGTGCTGTGCGTTTGCTACTGTTAAGTAGACGTGCCTGAAACACTGAGAATGGTTTTGTTTTTGAATGCAAAAAGTTTTTCTTTTTAAAATTCGCAATGTTTTTCATTGGGGGGAGGACTAATGGAGTTTGTGAAAATTGTCTCTATCCATTGTGGCATAGTAGAGCTAACTGTAGATTACCATGTTGATCATGCATGATATTTCTTCACCGGGCTCTTTAAGAATATGTTGAAAAACCTTCATGATGGGTCTCTGTCTATTTAGTAAAACGGGGCGTGTCCTTCCTGTAAAAGCAGAAGGAAAAGGGAAAGAAAACTAAGTTTTTCTTGTAGTAAGATGTATATCTCCAGAGACCTCTGTTGTTTTGTTAAGTTCCATATACTTTTAGTTGGATGGAATTCGGATATCATTTCGCATAGATTGAGATGTTCTAGTTGAGGATTTATTATCCTGTTTTATTCCTGAGGGTGTTATCGCAGTGGGTCTTTGGCATCCATTAACTGACAATTTTTGTGGTTTTTGATTGTCTGAAGTTGTGTTTCTTTTTAAATTTTTTAGGGGCGGGGTTATTTGGTTCATTTGTGGTTTTGGATTATGTTGAAATTCTGTTACCATAATTTGCTGACAGCAAAGCTTAACAGAATTTGATAGAATTATTACAAAAAAAGAAGCTAGACATCTGGGACGTTTGATTACGATAGCTTTGTGTTTTTATTTTGGTGAGTGAGTGTGATCCATCTTTGTAGAATGACTATGATATGTGTTTCGGTTGGGAGAGTTGGAGTTCGTATTTTTCTCGATAAGTGCAATTTAAATTTTGCATATGCTTGTTTTTCATTCTCATGTTTCTTATGGGCTTATGACATATGTTGACGTTACTACACTTAAATGGTCTATTGATTAGTTACCTCTTGTTTATATTTTCAGCCTCCAAAGATAAAATCTATTATCAATGATGTTACTTCTACTCCACTTGAGTTTATTGAGAAACCCCTGAAGAATTTTGTGTGGGAGTTCGAGAAGGTACCGTCTTTGAATTTTGTTTAAATGATTTGTTTCAGTGTTTGATAATCAACATCGATTTTGATTTGCTTAACTGTTGCAGGGAGATTTTTATCACTGGGCTGACCTATTCAATCATTTTGATACATTTTTTGAGAAATGTATAAAGCCAAGGAAAGATTTGCACCTGGGTGATGACTTTGTGGGCTCTGATCCGCCCTTCCCCAGGGAGGCTGTTCTTCAGATTTTGCGTGTTATAAGGATTATATTAGAGAACTGCACAAATAAGCACTTATACAGCTCTTGCGAGGTATGCAACTCTTTAGTTGGGAAGAACATCACGTTTTCTTGAAAAAATCCATTTTTACTAACAATTGGTGACATGAGTTAACAACAAATCTCATGACTGCATGACTTGGTCTATTTATGACGTGATATGGTTACAATAATAGGTTTGGCAAATTTGACATTTTCCCTATCTTGTGACGAGGTTGGTTTATGCTTCATATTATAGTTGCTGTGCTCTCTGTGGTTAGCTTCTGTTAACTCATTAACTGGTCAACGACTTGGTTGTTTGGTAGTATGTCATTCTATGAAATTTTGATGCATAGATTCTTGCTTGGTTGACCCACCTGCAATGTAGCAATTGTCGTGGTTAACCAACTAGATCTGTAAAAGGCAAACATTGGCAGATGGGAGATGCATTCTGTATATAAGTATTCATTTGAATAATAGTTGGTGTCGGGAGATGAGTTTGTATATAAGCACCGTTTTGAATTATTGGTTTGGTTGGGTAACTATAGTGTCAAATAATTTTCGATACCTTTTTTTTTAGAGATTATGAACTTGCCACATTTTCCTTCAGTTTTAGTATTAACTTCGAATGGTACTGCAGCATCATTTGTCAGCTCTGCTAGCATCAACGGATGCAGATGTAGTTGAAGCTTCCTTGCAAACTTTGGCTGCATTCCTGAAGAAAACTATTGGAAAATACATAATAAGAGACAGTTCTCTTAAGTCAAAGTTATTTGCTTTTGCTCAAGGTTGGGGAGGGAAGGAAGAAGGACTTGGATTGGTGGCCTGTGCTGTCGACAATGGGTCTGACCATATTGCTCATGAATTGGGTTGCACCTTACATTTTGAGTTTTATTTGGTAAACGATTCATCAGATGAAGTTATTACTGCAGACCAACAAGCCCAGGGATTGAAAGTAATTCATTTGAATGATGTTCACACAAGAAAAGAATCAGATCTTGAACTTCTGAATAAGTTAGTCATAGAGTACAATGTTCCCGTGAATCTGAGATTTTCTCTCTTGACAAGGTTAAAATTTGCAAGGGCTTTTACTTCCCTTGCTGCTAGACAGCAATATACATGTATCCGCCTTTATGCTTTTGTAGTCCTTGTTCAAGCATGTACAGACGCTGATGACTTGGTTTCTTTCTTTAACACTGAACCAGAATTCATCAATGAATTGGTTACCTTATTAAGCTATGAAGATGCAATCCCTGAAAAGATACGAATTTTGAGTATTCTTTCGTTGGTTGCAATTTGTCAAGATCGTGCCCGTCAGCCCACTGTATTGACTGCTGTGACATCTGGTGGGCACAGAGGCATTCTCTCCAGCCTTATGCAGAAATCCATCGATTCTGTTGTGACGAGTTCATCAAAGTGGTCAGTTGTTTTTGCAGAGGCTTTACTATCACTTGTCACTGTTTTGGTGTCATCCTCTTCGGGTTGCTCAGCCATGCGTGAAGCTGGATTTATACCAACACTTTTGCCTCTCCTTAAAGATATGGATCCGCAGCATTTGCATTTGGTCAGTATGGCTGTACATGTGCTGGAAGCTTTCATGGATTACAGCAATCCTGCTGCAGCACTCTTCAGAGACTTGGGTGGTTTGGATGATACAATATTGCGTCTGAAGGTGGAAGTCTCTCATGTTGAAACTTGCTCAATCCAACAAAATACCTCCATGGTTGACCTGGACTGTTCTGAAGCTAGCAGTTCTCAAGTAGCTACAGAAGCTTCTGATCTAGATGACTCACAGCCTCTTTACTCTGAAGCTTTGGTTGCATATCACCGGAGGTTACTGATGAAATCCTTATTGCGTGCAATTTCCCTGGGAACCTATGCTCCTGGGGCAACTGCACGTATTTCTGGTTCTGAGGAGAGCTTGTTGCCACAATGTTTGTGCATAATCTTCCGGAGGGCAAAAGAATTTGGAGGTGGGGTCTTCTCTCTTGCTGCTACTGTCATGAGTGATCTAATTCACAAGGATCCTACTTGCTTTGGTGCTTTGGAAACTGCTGGCCTGCCTTCCACATTCATGGAGGCTATAATGGATGGTGTTCTATGCTCTTCAGAAGCTATAATCTGCATACCTCAGTGCCTTGATGCATTGTGTCTGAACAATAATGGCCTTCAGGCTGTGAAGGATCGCAATGCTCTGAGATGTTTTGTGAAAATATTTACTTCTCGGGCATATTTGCGGGCCCTTACAGGGGATACTCCTGGTTCCTTGTCCAGTGGTTTGGATGAATTAATGCGCCATGCTTCATCATTGCGTGGACCCGGGGTGGACATGTTGATTGAAATTCTTACCAATATAGCTAAGCTTGGGTCTGGGCCTGAGTCCACTCCCTCTGCTGATTGTCCAAGTTCTTCTGGGAATGTGCCCATGGAAACTGATGCTGAGGAGAAGAGCCTTGTTTTAGCTGATTCAAGAGATTTAGACAAGGTGGAAAAAACTGAGCAAACCCCTGATGCTTCTATAGTAAATGTTGAGTCTTTCCTTCCTGATTTAATAAGCAATGCTGCACGTCTTCTTGAGACGATTCTACAAAATTCTGATACCTGCCGTATATTTGTTGAGAAAAAGGGAATTGAGGCTGTCTTGCAGTTGTTTACTTTGCCTATGATGCCTCTGTCTGTTTCCATTGGGCAAAGTATATCGATTGCTTTCAAGAACTTCTCCCCCCAGCACTCGGTTTCCCTTGCTCGAGCCGTATGTTCATTCTTGAGAGAGCATTTGAAGACAGCAGTTGAACTTTTAGTTTCAGTTGGGGGTGTCCAGCTTGCTCAGACTGATGGTGTGAAGAGGTCAAAGGTCATGAGATGCCTTTCCAGTCTTGAGGGTCTTCTATGCCTCGCCAGTTCTTTGTTGAAGGGTACAACTACAGTTGTTTCTGAATTGGGTACTGCAGATGCGGATGTACTAAAGGATCTGGGTAAGATTTACAGGGAAACTCTATGGCAAATATCTTTGTGTTGTGACTCGAAGGCGGATGAGAAGCGAAATATTGAAGCAGAACCTGAAGTTGCAGAGGCAGGTGTTTCTAATGCTGCTGGGCGTGAGAGTGATGATGATGCCAACACTGTCTCATACAGGTATATAAATCCTGTAACTGTCCGGACTAATTCTCATGCACAGTGGGGTGTGGAGCGTGAGTTTATTTCTGTTGTTCGTTCAAGTGAAGGCTTTAATAGGCGTAGTCGGCATGGTTTGGCGCGCATACGTGGCGGAAGGGCTGGTAGGTACTTGGAAGCTCTTCAAATTGATCCCGAGATTTCCACCAATGCCTCGGAGACAGTTTCTCAGGATTTAAAAAAGAAAAGTCCTGAGGTTCTTGTGTTAGAAACACTTTCTAAACTTGCTTCAACTATACGGGCCTTCTTCACAGCCCTTGTCAAGGGATTCACTTCACCAAACCGTCGGAGGGCTGAGACAGGATCTCTGAGTTCAGCTGCAAAGATCATTGGAAGTGCGTTGGCTAAGGTTTTTCATGAAGCTTTGGGTTTTTCAGGGTATTCCAACTCTTCTGGGCTTGATTTACCCCTATCAGTCAAGTGTCGCTATCTTGGTAAGGTGGTTGATGATATGCTAGCTCTTACATTTGATGGTCGGCGCCGCACCTGTTACACAGTCATGGTCAACAATTTCTATGTTCATGGCACTTTTAAGGAGCTTCTCACTACATTTGAAGCTACAAGCCAGTTACTGTGGAATATGCCATTGTGCCGTTCAGCAGCAGGTGTAGATCATGAAAAGAAGGCAGAGGAAAGTGAACTGCATCATAGCTTATGGTTGCGTGATACATTGCAAAGTTATTGTCGTTTACTTGGGTATTTTGTTAGTTCTTCTTTGCTTTTGTCTACAAGCTCCGCATCCCAGGCTCAGCTTCTTGTGCAGCCTATTGCAGTTGGTTTGTCCATTGGGTTGTTTCCTGTTCCCAAGGACCCTGAAGTTTTTGTTCGCATGCTGCAATCGCAGGTTCTGGACGTTGTACTTCCTATCTGGAACCACCCTTTGTTTCCTACCTGCAATCCAACTTTTGTTAGTTCCATAATTTCACTAATCACTCATGCCTACTCGGGTGTTGTTGACGTGAAAAGAACCCGTAACGGATTGTCTGGGAGTACAAACCAACGTCTTGTGGCTCCTCCTCCTGATGAAGCTACCATTGCTACAATTGTTGAGATGGGTTTCTCCAGAGCAAGAGCCGAGGAGGCATTAAGGAGAGTAGAAACAAATAGTGTTGAGATGGCTATGGAATGGCTGTTTAGTCATGCTGAAGATCCTGTACAGGAAGATGATGAATTGGCTCGTGCCCTTGCTTTGTCTCTTGGAAATTCATCAGAAACGTCTAAAGGTGATAGTTCTGAGAAATCAGTTGATGTATTGAAGGAAGAGGGACAAATAAAGACACCTCGGGTAGACGACATCCTATCTGCAGCGATGAAGTTGTTTCAGGGGAGTGATTCAATGGCTTTCCAGTTGACGGACTTGCTTGTGACTCTCTGCAATAGAAACAAAGGAGAAGACCGTGATCATGTTATATCTTATCTTGTACAGCAGCTAAAGCTTTGCCCCATGGATTTCTCGAAAGATAATAATGCATTGTGTACGATTTCACATACTTTGGCGTTAATTCTTTGTGAAGATGCTAGTGCACGGCAAATTGCTGCAAAAAGTGGTATTGTCTCATTGGCTATTGATGTCTTAATGGACTTTAAAGCTAGGAATTTATCTGGAAATGAGACCTTCAGCGCTAAATGTATTAGTGCTCTGCTTCTCATCCTGGATAATTTGCTTCAATCCCGACCCAGATTCTCTGGTGAAAGTGCAGAAGAGATTCCAACAGGCCTATTACCAGTTGCATCAGAGGAACAAGTTTCTTCACCAGGTTCTGAAGTAGAAGGAGACAAAAAGTCATCTCCACAGGCAAGGGGTTCCTGTGATGGCCTAGAGAAAATATTTGGAAAATGTACAGGCTTTTTGACAATGGAGGAGAGTGGTAAGGTATTACTAATTGCATGCGACTTGATAAAACAACATGTTCCAGCTTTGGTTATGCAGGCTGTTCTTCAGTTATGTGCTCGCTTGACAAAACAACATGGTCTGGCAATGCAATTTATTGAAAATGGAGGCTTGATATCTCTCTTTGGCCTTCCAAGAAGTTGCTTTTTCCCAGGCTATGATACCTTGGCTTCTGCCATTGTTCGGCATCTTATTGAGGACCCTCACACACTGCAAACAGCTATGGAATTGGAGATACGGCAAACCCTGGCAGGAAATCGTCATTCTGGTCGTGTATCTGTAAGATCATTCTTGACATCATTGTCGCCTGTTATATCTAGAGATCCAGGGATCTTCATGAAAGCAGCAAATGCAGTTTGTCAGTTGGAATCATCTGGTGGAAGGACCACCGTTATACTGTTAAAAGAGAAAGATCGGGAGAAGGAGAAAGAAAAGTTGAAAGTAGCTGGTACTGAACCTTTATTATCTTCCAGCGAGTCTGTTCGGATATCTGAGAACAAAGCAAATGACGGACTGGTGAAGTGCTCCAAAGCTCACAAAAAGGTTCCTGTAAATTTGACTCAGGTAGTCGATCACCTTCTTGAAATCATATTAGCTTTTCCAGCAGTGAAGAGTTGTGAAGATATTACAGATCAGAATGCAATGGAGGTAGATGAATCCACGACCAAAACAAAGGGAAAGTCAAAGGTTGACGAGACGAGAAAGGAGATGACTAGTGCATTGGAGAAGTCTGCAGTGCTGGCTAAGATGACTTTTGTCCTCAAGTTGTTGAGTGATATTCTTGTTTTGTACGTACACACTGCTGGAGTAATATTGCGAAGGGACTTTGACATGTCCCAGCATCGGGGATCTAGTCAATTGGATAGTTCTGTTCAGGGTGGGATTGTGCATCATGTTTTACACCGGCTTCTTCCCCTTACAATCGAGAAAAATGCAGGTCCTGAAGAATGGAGAGAGAAGTTGTCTGAAAAAGCTTCGTACTTCTTGGTAGTTCTCTCTAGCCGTTCAGGTGAAGGACGTAAGCGTGTTGTTAGTGAACTTGCGAAAGCATTATCTCCTTACTTAATTTCAGAAAGCAATTCATCACGTAGCAGCTTTGTACCAAATAAGAAGGTGCTTGCTTTTGTTGATCTGGTTTATGCTATTCTATCTAAGAACTCATCTTCAAGCAGTTTACCGGGCTCTGGTTGTTCACCTGATGTTGCAAAATGCATGATAGATGGAGGGATTGTACAGTGTTTGTCTGGGATTCTGCGGGTTATAGATCTTGACCATCCTGATGCTCCCAAAATAGTGAACTTCATCCTGAAGTCCCTGGAGAGCCTGACTAGAGCTGCTAATGCTAGTGAGCAACTCTCAAAATCTGACTCGCTGAACAAGAAAAAAGTGGTTGGCGGTAGATTGGATGACAATCTTGCTACTTCGGGCTCTCATACAGCTGAGCCTAATGACATTGGAGACAGCCAACAGGGAACTATTGATGCAGCCGGTTCAGCATTTCAGGCCCCAGAAAGCTCTCAAAATGAAAGTGATATAGGTAGAGATTTGATGCAATCCATGGATAATGAGATGAGGATTGAGGAATCTGGAGCCGCCAATCCACCTATGGAACTTGGGCTGGATTATGCCCGTGAAGATATGGAAGAAAGTGGTATGATGCAAGGCAGAGATCAAATTGGGATAGGCTTTCATGTTGAGAATTCGGTAGGGGATGATGAAGATGATGACATGGGTGATGATGGTGAAGATGATGAGGATGATGATGACGGGGAGGAAGAGGATGAAGATATTGGTGGGGACGGTGCTGCTCTAATGTCTCTGGCTGATACTGATGTGGAAGACCATGATGATGGTGGCTTGGGAGATGATTATAATGAAGATATGGTTGATGAAGAGGACGATGATTTCCACGAGAATCGGGTTATTGAAGTTAGGTGGAGGGAAGCTCTAGATGGGCTGGATCATTTACAAGTTCTTGGGCAACCTGGAACACGGGGTTGGCCCCTTGATGTTACTGCAGAGCCTTTTGAAGGGGTAAATGTTGATGATTTCTTTGGTCTCCGCAGGACTTTTGGGTTTGAGCGCCGCCGCCAGGCAAACAGGACATCATATGAGCGATCAACCCCAGATGGGAACAGTCTTCAACATCCTCTCCTCTCAAGACCTTCACAATCTAGTGACTTGGTTTCAATGTGGTCAGGACCCGGAAGTTCATCTAGAGATGCAGAGGCTTTCTCTTCTGGAAATCTGGATGCATCTCCTTTCTACATGTTTGATGCCCCTGTTCTTCCCTTTGGTAATACTCCATCTAGTCTCTTTGGTGATCGTGTGAGTGGTTCTGCACCGCCAACACTGGAAGATTTTACTGTTGGTTTGGAGTCCCTGCGAGTGCCTGGGCGTCGGGGATCAGGTGATGGCAGATGGACTGATGATGGTCACTCTCAAGCTGGTGGCGAAGCTGCTGCTATTGCACAGGCGATTGAAGGACATTTTATATCTCAAATGACATTTAATACTTCTAACAATCCTCCTGAAATGCTGTTGGAGAATACTGGACTACCAGGAAGACCGAATGCTGATACCCCTCTGTCTGTTGATGGTCAATTGCCTGTGGATGGTGGTAGCACTGTTGCTATTCAGAATGTACAAACTCAGGAGAATGGTCATGGGATTGATCAATCAGTTGAGGGTGATAATTTGCAGGAAGGGGCTTTTGTTTCTGAACAAGCTGGTGGAGACCATCAATTAGGTGAGCCTACGAATAACATCTCTTTAGAAAGTAATCCAGAAGCTGTGGATATTATGGAAATTGCAGAAGAAAACGGTGGTCCCCGTCAGCAGTTAGATACACTGCATAATCCTGCTGTTTCTTCAACGGGTTCTCTGGATGATCCATTTGGATTTAGCAGTTCAGCTGCAGTAACTAGTCCTCATTCTTTGCCACTTCAGAATCCAGCAAGTGATAGCCAGTCCAGCCATCATGCACTATTAATCACTGGGATGCCGGATTCTGCTGTTAATCATACTTCTTCAGAAAGTGTTGATGTTGATATGGGTGGTGCTGTGGAAAGAGATGATGCTCATCAATTGCTATCTTCATCCGAAGTCAACCAAGAGCCCGCGTGTAGGCAGATTGAAGTTATTCCAGAGGCTGGTCAGACTGATGAAGCTAATGCTAATAATGAGGGTTCTAATGGAAATGGTATTGATCCGACTTTCCTGGAAGCACTTCCAGAAGATCTTCGTGCAGAAGTTCTTGCATCACAGCAGGCTCAGTCTGCTCAACCTCCAACCTATAACCCCCCTACAGCTGAAGAAATAGACCCTGAATTTTTAGCCGCTCTTCCTCCAGATATTCAAGCAGAAGTTTTGGCACAGCAACGAGCACAAAGAATTGCACAGCAGGCTGCAGGGCAGCCAGTTGAAATGGATAATGCCTCCATTCTTGCCACTTTCCCTGCTGATTTGCGTGAGGAGGTGAGAATCTTTAGCTTTGTCTTGTTTTTTTTTTTTAATTTGTTTTCAGCAGTAACGTAAACTTTGTGTCGACCAGGTTCTTTTAACATCTTCAGAAGCAGTTTTATCTGCTTTACCCTCTCCACTGCTTGCTGAAGCCCAAATGCTCAGGGACAGAGCAATGAGCCATTATCAAGCTCGTAGCCTCTTTGGAAGCAGTCACAGGTTCACCCATAGGAGAAACGGACTGGGGTTTGACAGACATGCCGTGATAGACCGTGGGGTGGGTGTCACTATTGGTAGGAGGTTGTCTTCTGCGGTTGCCGAGACTTTGAAGTTGAAGGAACTTGAAGGCGAGCCACTCTTAGATGCTGATGCATTGAAAGCATTGGTTCGTCTTTTACGAATAGCACAAGTAAGATATTGCCTACACACCTTTCTTTATCTTTTCCCCTGCATTTTACCTTTTACTTGAGAAGGTTGTCTTAAAAACTATATATATTTGCTTTCATGCTTTGAAAATGTTTTGAGGCACTAGCTCCCTTTCTGTATTTGGTTTAAGAGTATTTTGCAGTTTACTTGACATTTTTTAACCGTAACTAAGCGATTACTTGTCATGCTTTCAGCCTCTTGGAAAAGGTCTATTGCAGCGGCTCTTGTTGAATTTATGTGCCCATGGTAGTACCAGGGCCAATCTTGTTCGTCTTCTGCTTGACACTATCAAGCCTGAAGATGAATGCTCAGCTGACAAATTGACCAAGTCCAATTCACTCAGGCTTTATGGTTGTCAGTCTAATGTTGTTTATGGCCGATCTCAGTTATTTGATGGTATTACTTTCTTTCCCATAAATGTAAGCTTTTTTAGTCTCTTAAAATTTTAATTTTATTGGTTGAATTCTTTTCAGGACTTCCCCCTCTGGTACTGCGCCGGATTCTTGAGATTTTGACTTATTTGGCCAACAATCATTCGGCTGTGGCCAGCCTTTTATTTTACTTTGACCCTTCTCTTGTTCAAGAATCTACGAGCTTGAAAACTTCAGAAACCAGGAAGGATAAAGGCAAGGATAAATTGTATCAAGGAGACAGGGATTCAAAAAGTTTGGGGTATTCGGACAAGGGGGATATTCCTTTGATATTGTTTCTTAGACTCTTGAGTCAACCTTTGTTCTTGCGTAGCATTGCTCATCTTGAACAGGTTGGTTAAGAATCTTGGGAAGTCGAGCTCTATACGTTTTTTCAAGTTGCACAGATTCTCATTCTATGTTACTTCCTGCTAATAACAGTTTGCTCTTTATCTGCAGGTCATGGGTCTCCTTCAAGTGGTTGTCTATACTGCAGTTTCCAAGTTAGAAAGTCAATCTCATTCCAAGGAAGCAACATTAAACACAGAAAATCCATCTGATGGTGGAAATGCCAGCATCATTCAGAAAGATGCTTCTTCAGAGCCAGCCGACTCTAGTCGGCAAGAAAATGGAAATACTTCTTCTGAGAATACCACTTCGCAGAGTGAGAAAACTGTTAACATCTCCAACATATTTTTAGAGCTGCCTCAGTCTGAGCTGCACAATCTGTGCAGTATTCTTGGTCGTGAGGGGTAAATTTTTCTCCTTGATGGCTTGTCTTTTGTGAATTTGATTATTCTCCACTAGTCTTTTATTGGTATATTAATTTCTTGATCAACTTTTTTAATTTCACTTGATGACTTGGTTAACTTTTCTTTATTGACTGCCAGAGAACTGGTTGTGGAAGAAGATGCTAAAAATTAATGAAAGAAAAGGGATATAGCAGGTATTTCATAAGCATCAAGTTTAACTAACGAACTTCTTGTTTACCAGGCTTTCGGACAAGATTTACATGCTTGCTGGTGAAGTGCTGAAGAAGCTGGCCTCTGTTGCTGCTCCACATCGCAAATTTTTCATTACTGAGCTTTCTGGTTTAGCTCAAGAATTGAGCAGCTCTGCTGTAAACGAGCTTATTACACTTAGACAGACAAACATGTTGGGCTTAAGTGCTGGTTCAATGGCTGGGGCAGCTGTCCTTCGAGTATTGCAAACATTAAGTTCATTCACTTCCGCAGCCAAAGAAAATAGTGGAGATACTGCAAATGATGCAGATCAGGAGGAGCACGCTACTATGTGGAAGTTGAATGTTGCATTGGATCCATTATGGCAAGAACTTAGTGAATGTATTAGCAGGATGGAGTCAGAGCTGACACAAAACTCTTTCTCATCAGGTGGTGCAAACATTAACATGGGGGAGCATGTACAGGGTTCTTCATCTGTCTCTCAGCCTCTTCCACCTGGGACTCAGAGACTATTGCCTTTTATTGAGGGTTTCTTTGTCTTGTGTGAGAAACTGCAAGCACATAATGCTCTTGTTCAGCAAGAATGTGGAAATGCAACTGCAAGAGAGGTGAAAGAATCTGCTGGGACATTAACTTCATCTAACAAATGTGCTGTGGATTCTTACCGGAAAACTGATGGCACTTCAACATTTACAAAGTTTTCTGAGAAGCATCGGCGCCTTTTGAATGCTTTTATTAGGCAGAATCCTGGCTTATTGGAAAAATCTCTTTCTATGTTGTTGAAGGCACCGCGGCTGATAGATTTTGATAACAAAAGAGCATATTTCCGATCCAGAATCCGGCAACAGCATGAACAGCACCTGTCTGGACCACTACGCATTAGTGTCCGGCGGGCATATGTGTTAGAAGATTCATACAATCAATTGCGGATGAGGCCAACTCAGGATCTGAAGGGTCGGTTAAATGTCCATTTTCAAGGTGAAGAGGGTATTGATGCTGGTGGGTTGACAAGAGAATGGTATCAACTACTCTCCAGGGTCATATTTGACAAAGGAGCTTTGCTGTTTACCACTGTAGGAAACAATGTCACGTTCCAGCCAAACCCTAATTCTGTCTATCAGACAGAGCATCTCTCCTATTTTAAGTTTGTAGGCCGTGTGGTAATTTCTTGACCCGCCTTTGTTTTATTGCTTTAAATCGTATAAGTGTTTCTTCCGTTGTAATATTTCCTTCAGTATTTTAGCTATAACTATTTCTGGTGTAATCCTTTTGTAGGTTGCCAAGGCGCTTTATGATGGGCAGCTGTTAGATGTGTACTTTACTCGGTCCTTCTACAAACATATCTTAGGTGTGAAAGTGACTTATCATGATATAGAAGCTGTTGATCCGGATTATTATAAAAACTTGAAATGGATGTTGGAGGTGAGTGGCGAGATCACTAAAAAAATTGCAGTTCTTTGTAGTTGTTATTTACTTCTGGCAATTTATTTTTGCATGTTTTATTTCAGAATGATGTGAGCGATATACCTGATCTCACATTTAGCATGGATGCTGATGAAGAAAAGCATATTCTCTATGAGAAAACTGAGGTAATGAAAGAGCAGTTGAGCATCAGTTTCTGAATTTTCTATGAGTGTTCAATTTTGTATGAGTGAAACATGTTCTACTTAATTGTGTTTCCTAGGTGAAATAGCTTATCATCTCTTTTTTTTTTAATTCTGATGATCAAAGGTAACTGATTATGAGCTTAAACCTGGAGGAAGAAATATAAGGGTTACTGAGGAAACAAAGCACGAGTATGTGGACCTTGTAGCTGACCATATTCTAACAAACGCCATCAGGCCTCAGATTAATTCTTTCTTAGAAGGTTTCAATGAGCTAGTCCCAAGGGAGCTTATTTCTATTTTCAATGATAAAGAGCTCGAATTGCTAATAAGTGGTCTTCCCGAAATCGATTGTAAGTCTTTTCCTTACAAATGCTTTCCATTTAGATAACTTTAATTTTTTACTTATTTGTTTATTTTGGAAAAGAGTGCTGACGGGGTTTATTGTCCTTCAGTGGATGATTTGAAGGCCAACACAGAGTACACAGGGTACACTGCTGCATCTGCTGTTGTTCAGTGGTTTTGGGATGTTGTGAAAAGCTTCAATAAGGAAGACATGGCAAGATTGTTGCAGTTTGTAACTGGTACCTCAAAGGTAATGTGCATTACATACTTTTCATCTGTTACATCTTTAGATGACATGTAGAATGTAAATGGTCTTATCACCTGTGGAAGTAAAGCCACTTAAATGACAGTTATGGAAAACTGTTCATGTGGAAATTCTGCAATGTTAAAAATTAATTAGATATGTTGGCCAATGATTGGATTTTGATAGTCGCATAGGAAAATGTGAAGCTCAACGATATTGTTTAAGGCGCAAACAACAACTTCTTTTAAACAGCAGAGTTTGAAAGTTGGGTAAAGTTTACTATATGAAATAGTGGATGAGGGATAGGTTGGCGATTGCGAAAAACTTTTTACTAGAACTTTTATGTTTTCATATGTGTTTCATGTGCTTCTGGGCTGGCCTTCTTAATATCTGTTTGTCATGGTTTAGGTTCCGTTGGATGGTTTTAAAGCGTTACAAGGTATCTCTGGTCCGCAGAGATTTCAGATTCATAAGGCTTATGGAGCTCCCGAGAGACTGCCATCTGCTCATACATGGTAGTACTAGGTTTTTCGTTTTCTTCTTCTTCTTTTTTTTTTTGTGTGTGTGTGTGTGTATTTAGGAGGATCAATGTTTGTCTTGAATGTATGTATATTGCTTATCCTCATATCTCTCTCCTTTTTCTCTTTTCGTTTTCCAGCTTCAATCAATTGGACCTTCCTGAGTATTCTTCTCGCGAACAGCTTCAAGATCGCTTGCTTTTGGCTATACATGAAGCTAGTGAAGGATTCGGTTTTGGTTAAAATAAGTTCACAAAGAATTACTGTTCGGTAAATGGTGGAATTGAGCCCTTTCTATTTTGATATAAACGTGAGTTCCTTTACTATGATGATCGATTAATTAATTTTGCACTTTTGTCGCATTTACCAAAGCTTTTAGAGCATGTGGACTTTATATAGCTGAGTTTATGAGATTGAGCTGAAATCTGGCCCATCTATCTGATTGCTTTCTGTAATGCCTTGTGCTTCCTCTCATCCTTGTTATGCTAATGTTTTTATCTACTTGCTCGTTCAAACACGTTCAGAAGACGTTACTTTGATGAATTCAGCATTGAATGCAGATAACTACATCATGTGGTTGAATTAAGACTGAATTTAGAGATTGTCTTTTTGTGTTATGAGATTGTTATGAATTTTTCTGCGAGAGAACAACTTGAAACCATCATAGTTATCGTGTTTTTAAACCCAACTACTACTTTATAGGGTTCTGTAGTCTGATTCTCTGAATATTTTATGTTTCCGCAGAGCATGATGAAGCATCCAGCGTGCGATCAGTTTTTGTAGTATTGATGAGGAGAGCTCCATAGAGCAAGAGGGATGGACTATTATCAGTGAGCCAAGAACCCATGTGCCCTTTTCTGAAGCCGAATTTTTGACTTGGGTGGCATGCACGTTGGTTTTCGAGTTGCTGGAAATAGTTTTTAGCAACTCCTTTTGCACATACTTTAGGTTCTTTTGAGGCTTCCTGCTGCTAGGAAAGCGGGGTACAGATGTTGTAGATTTTCTTTTGGGAAAGAAGGGACCGGTAGTCATTTTTGACTGTGTTCCTTCGAAGCATTGATTGTACTTATTTTTCTGTCGTGCGTATACATGAATAATGTAAATTTCCTCCCAACAATTTATTCATGTTTGAAACTTGAATCTCCGTGCATTTCTTTGTACAATGGATGTTCGGTGGGCTAATCCATCTGAACCATCGCGCACATTGGATTTTGTTCTAATGGGGAAGTGGTTCAGGATAGAATTGTGCAACAGTTAAACAATCAATATAAAATCAGACTCGTTTCAATCTAATTTTTCAATCAGACTAATTGATGGTAAACTTGAGGTGATGTTACTAACATTAACACAAGCACTAATGAATAACATCATGTGTGTATAGTGCCTTTCCAAGACAACAAACGTGGATCCATCAAGGTCGAGACTCCACGGAAACTGCCATTGATTCCTCCTCCAGAGTAATCTCTTACTGGCAAGTTGAATATCACTGCCGATCAATGCAGATGGTAACTTGGAGATTACTCTGGAGGATTGCTAGTTATAAGAAATTATAACATTCGTTATTCAATTGTTATTTCAATTCAACCAGCTAAAAATTGGAATACCTAGAGGATGCCGTATTTACAACCAGCAATTACCCTAGAAGGTTTTTCTGCGTAATCTGCCCCCATGGAATCTTACTTGTCTTATCTATAAACCTTGGGAACACACATTTTTACATATGTGAAGGCCAAAATTATAGTATATCGTAAATGTAATGTACTTGAAAATTGGGTTTTCCTAATGTAAGGGATCTTTAGAAAAATTAATAAAAGTTTTACATTTTCCTAAAGGCGAACTTTAAACGATGCGAGAGAAAAAAAAAAACTCTGAACTAAGCTCTGCCCTACTCGAAATAGTAGAAAGAGAGAACAAATTGCAATCACAACAACTCTCAGTTCATTCTGCTAATTTCCAATGCTTTTCGAGTTCTAAAGGTCTCAGCAATTTTGGGATTTCCTTGTTCTAAGTTGCTCTTCCTTTTGAGGTAATAGGAAGGATTGTAAAGGACACTATTCTTCTCGATAACATGCCATGCCTTGGTGTTTGGCAAAAATTTGTTCACCTCTTCCACGAAGCAGGGTAAAAATTGGATCTTTTTCTCATTTGTGTGCCTTGTCTAAAGCATTTCATGGCAATCCCAGAAGCAGAACATCACCAAATTCACATACTTCTGGTACTTCCTTCTACTTTTTTCTGTTTATTTATGCTAGCCCAGGCAAACGAAAACTTAATGTAGTCTTTGGTCCATTTGTTTCAGTTGGATGGTGTTGGCAATAGCTATTTTTGTTCTTGGTTTGTGTCTTTGAGTGGTCTAAATTCCTGTGCTTTTTTGGAAAACAGGCGAGGAAACGGAGAAGAGTATCCATTCAATTTTGACAATTGACCGTTGGGAGTCATTGAATCGGATGGGTTACAAAATGACTTCATTGAGACCAGTTCATGGGAGATTAGCTCTGAAAATTTTGAATTGGGTCATCAAGCAACCAGGTTTGGAGCTCAGCCATGTACTTCATATGTATTGTATTACAGCCCACATACTTATTCGGGCTGGGATGGTTAACTCAGCTAAGTCTATTTTAAGGCATACATCTGAATTGAGTTTTTGTTCAAGTGATGTTCTTGATGCTTTGATGAACACCTATCGTCTTTGTAAGTCCAACCCTTCAGTTTTTGACATTTTGATTAGGATTTATTTAAAGAAGGGTTTGGTTAAGGATGCTTTGGAGACATTTTCTTTCATGTGCTTTCGCAAATTTAGGCCATCTGCAGATACTTGTAATATGATGCTAAGTGTTATTATGAAGCGCGGAGGCATAGGTTCTGTATGGTTGTTTTTCAAGGAAATGATGGCGAATAGTGTGTGCCCTAATGTAAGGACCTTTAATATACTGTTACAAGCTCTTTGTGTGGAGGGGGAGTTTATGAAAGCAGGATTTTTGTTGAGCAAGATGGAAGAAAGTGGTTATGCTCCTAATGTAGTTACTTATAATACATTACTCAACTGGTTTTGCAAGGAAGGAAGATACAAAACTGCTTCTGAGCTGATTGATCGAATGAGTTCCAAGGGTCTTCAAGCGGATGTGTGTACATATAACATGCTAATATATGAACTTTGTAGAAAAGGTAGGAGTGCAAAAGGTTATTTGTTGTTGAAAAAGATGAGGAAGAGGATGAAGTTACCAAATGAAGTTACCTATAATACACTTATTAATGGGTTCATCAAAGAGGGAAACATTGGAGTTGCTACTAAGCTTTTCAATGAGATGTTGAGTTTTGGCCTCTCACCAAATTGTATCACGTACAACTCCTTGATTGATGGGATCTCACAAGGAGGATATTTAGACGAGGCTTTGAAACTTCTAAAGAAAATGGAATTAAGAGGCCTGCAAACTAATGAAGTTAGTTATGGTGCCATTCTGAACGGAATGTCTAAGCATGGTAAGTTAGATTCGGCCAGAAATCTACTTGATAGAATGAGAGTCAAGGGTATTGTAGTTAGTCCACATTCATATACAATGCTGATAGATGGGCTATGCAAGAAGGGAATTCTCGATGGAGGTCTAGAAGTATTTGATATAATGTGTGAAGATGGAGTATATCCAGACGTCATCACATACTCAGTACTTGTAAATGGATTTTGTAGAGCTGGAATGTTCAAAAACTCGAAAGAGATAATTTGCAAAATGTACAAATCTGGATTGTTTTTAAATAATACTATGTACAGAACTGTATTATATCATTTTTGCAAGCAGAGAGACATCAACGAAGCAATGAGAATCTATGAAGTGATGCATCATATTGGTCATGTTCCTGATCTCTTTGTTTGTAATTCGTTAGTTTCATCTCTTTGTAAGTCTGGGAAGGTGAGAGAGGCAGAAAATTTTGTGCAGCACATGCGTAGTATGGGCATAATTCCGGATGCAGTTACTTTTGATACCATTATTGGTTGCTATGCTGCCAAGGGTGACGGGCTGAAATCATTTTCCCTTTTTGATGAAATGATTGACTGTGGTACTCATCCTAGCTTTTACACATATCAGATTCTTTTAAAGGCACTTTGCAAAGGGGGGCATCTTGAATTGGCTGTACAGTTTTTTGATAAACTTCAACATATTCCTTTTATGGTAGATACTTCAGTATATAACATGTTACTAGCTGAGACAAGTAAATCAGGCCATCTCCAGTTGACATTTAGCCTTTTAGATGAGATGATTAAAAACAATAGGCTGCCTGATAGTTATACGTACACCAGTATTCTTGCAGGATTATGCAAAAAGGGCAAGATTGTTCCAGCGATGATGTTGTTTGGACGAGAATTAGAAAGAGGAACGTTTGATTCATGTGAAGCAATCGCATATACCTGCATAATCAAGGGACTTTTTAAGAGTGGCCACACAAAGGCTGCAGGTTATTTCTATGATCAGATGGTAAAAGAGGGTGTTGAGCTTGATGTAGCTTTATTAAACACAATGATTGATGGTTATTCCAGAATAGGACAAGTTGAAAAGGCCAGCAGTTTCTCATCAATGATGACTGACATGAATCTGTGCCCTGATTTGGCTACATATAATGTTCTTTTACATGGGTATGCCAAACAAAATAACCTGACAGAATGCTTTACCTTATATGGCACCATTATGAGGAAAGGACTTCTCCCTGATAAATTGACATACCATTCTATAATTTTGGGACTAAGTGAAATGGGGATGTTGGATGTTGGAGTCAAGTTCTTTAAGAAAATGATTCAGGAGGGGATTTTGGCCGATAACTTGACATTAAACTTGATAATTGCCAAATTCTGTGAGAGGGGGGAAATGGAAAAGGCCTTTGAACTTTTGAACATCATGAGTTCTATTGGGGTTTCTGTCAATGGAGATACTTTTAGCTCCTTGATTAAGGGCTTCAGAAGAACATTAAATTCCCAAGGATCTCTTCTCATTTTTAAGGAAATGTTGGAAAGGGGTCTTACACCTACAGGAAGACAATACAGTAGCCTAATTACTGGCCTTTGTAGAGCTGGAAGAACGCGCGAGGCATTCAAGCTCAAAGATGAGATTGAGGCTCTTGGCTTGAGCTCCAGAAACATAGCTGAAAGTGGTATGGTTAGAGGCCTTGTGAAACGTGGAAAAACAGAGGAAGCCATGTTTCTTCTGGAATGTATGCTACGGGCAGAGCTTGTCCCATCTGTTGCTACATTTACAAGTCTTATGCATCAGCTTTGCAATGAATCTAAGCTTTCCAAAGCATTAGAGTTAAAAAACCTAATGGAACTTCATGGTAGGAGGCCTGATACTGTTGCTTACAATGTTCTCATTACTGGGCTCTGTGCTGGCTATGACTTTCTTCAAGCGTTTGATCTGTATGAGGAAATGAAGCAGAGGAGAATCTGCCCAAATATGAGAACCTTTCTTGTGCTTCTAAATGCTGTTATTTCTGTAAATGACCAAGTGAAGGGTGAATTACTTTTGCTGGATATACAGAAAAGGGGATTAATAAGTGAAGTTTCATCTGATGAAGATTGGCACAAAGCCTTGATGGTTGCAAAGGATAAATTAAACTTCTTACACCGAAGAAAAAAGTGATCATGCCGAGAAAAATATCTGGCACAGATAGTAGGCACAGTTCAGCCCTTCTGGAAAGGGTTGCCCAATTATCCTCATTTTGCTTTCTCATTTCTTACTAGGTATATTTCTAATACCAAAACTTTTGATTTAGTTGATAAATTTATATCAAGAATTGATAAAGAAGTTGCTAAACTTGTCTGATGATACTGTTGTATCTGATGTTTGCAGCTTCTGAGTAGATATATCACAAGGATCCCGATCAAGGTGTAGTTTGCATCTTGGAACAGAAGCTTTTACTAGTCGAATGACTTCATGGATATGCTGCGTATGGCAGTGAGTCTTTGTTTTATAAGAGATAAAGCAAATGGTGGTTCTATACTATCATCATTATCAATTAACATGATCTTGATTCTGCTGCCTCTGGAATTTCTGATTTTCAGGCTTGGCTGTTTTGAGTTGCAACTCATACCGAAAGCTTGTGCTGAGCAGGTCATCATTGAGTTTCTGGAATCAATATCAAGTGGCAACTAGCATCATAGTGTGATTATTGATTACAGCCATTAGTCAAACTTTCACTGCCTCTGGTTAGCAGGCTTCTAGACCAAGGTACTTCTCAATAATGTCTTGTTATATACCTGCATTTTCGATTGACCTCTTATTTCCTGGCAGACTGTCTAAAGTTCCAGCTTCTTACGCCGTTTGCCATTACAATTTCGATCATTGGCGTTTTTTCAACAAGACCATGTTTTCTGGTGCTTTAGGCAGTTCAGGTGTGAACGAATGAGCCATGATATGTTATGCAGATCAGATATGAGGACCTGGTTTATCATATACTATGGAAAAAGTTTTAAACTTTGTGAGCTCTGATTATTGTTCTTTCTGATGTTTCCCCTTTCACCTCCCAAATAAATGAAGACAAATAAGTTTCAAGTTGCGCTTAGGATTAAAACAAAAAAACTGCCGAAGCCATGGTTTGTTGCAGTAAAGATAGCCATTCTGACCTTGATGTTGGAGGAGCTCTATGGTTGGTGGGAATATAATTGTAAGCAGTATTTTGTTGCAACTTCTTCAACATCATTGATGAAAAGAATAATTTGGTGGTTTGTTGGTGTTGGTGGACAGGAATATGACATTAGCTGTGGGTATAAAAACTCTTGGTAGTTGACCTTGCATCACAAAATATTGTATACGCTGGTGTACTGTCCATCCTTTCATTATTACATTAGTTTGTTCCCTTATGTCCGAACCCATCATTTCCATTGATTTGATGGTTTGTTTTCCCTTTTTCTATGTTCCACCTTCTTTAATCTCAGCACAGTTATGATGGCTGAAAAATGGCTTCCCCCACCCCCTCATATTGAGTGTGTTTTCAGTTTTTCCCACGATTCAAATCTAACTTAAAAAGTTGAGTAGTATCGGTACCAATGTGACACAAACAGGAATCATGTAACAGGATGTTGTAATTTTTGTGGATTAAGAATTGTAATTGTAATTGTAAAACACGGTTCAGTTGTAACTTAAAATAACAAGACAAGAAATATATATATATATATATATATGTAGTATTGAAAAGCTAGTGTAGAGAGTAAAGTATACGAAATTCTTGTAACATTTGACTTTTCATCATGTTGGCCATGTTTTCTGTTCATTGATAATACCACTACGTGATAAATATCTCCAAAGTCTTGGCATAGGGTTTCCAGTTAATCACATCATGGAAGGAGAAGAAGAAGAAAAAAAAAAAAAGAAAAAGAAGATTATGATTAAAACCTTATATGTGTTCAAACTTCAAACTCTTATTCTTTCCAAACCCAACCGTCTCCAACCATATTCTTTTGGACGATCGCTTATTTATCTCTCGTGTTTTGTAAGTATAAAACTGACATTTTATTTAGAGAAAAAAAAAATTCGATATATTTTAACTTGTTGTATCGGTAAAACATTCTTTTACAACTTTTTACATTTTATTCTTTTTGTTTTTAAAAAAAATTCTACGTTAAATTTTGATTTATAATCAGTTTTGATACGTAATCCCCGAATAACAATATATCATTTTTGTAAATTCATGTATATTTAGTGCAGATGATTCATAGTATGTGATTCTATCTTATAAGCATATCGACTAGTCATTAGTTAAAAAACTAAAAATGTACTATACCTGCAAATTATTTGTTATTATTGTGATAATCATAGTTTACTCCGGTCTCTTGTATAAAACTATACTCTTAGATATAGTTGGGAGAAATGTGATTACTAATAGATTTGGAAAAGAAATAATTAACGGATAACACAAACAAAATTGGCGTAAAGGAATGGTATAACCACCAGCTCATTTTCACCAAATAAATAAAACTAATAAATCCTTTTCTTTCCTTGAGAAAAAAAAAAAAGAAAGAAAAATCTTCCAGATTGGCTGATTTTAAGACAAATCACGAAATGATTAGAACTAGGCAGTCACGAAAACAAAAAGCGATAGAAAACAATAAACAAATTGAAAAGGCTGACAAAGGCCAAAAATTCTTCAGTTCACATGGAAGTGGGGACACATATATAAGAATTATTTATAAAAAGCCCACACCAAGAAATTTCTTTCATTTCGATCCCTTTTTTTTCCCTTCTCTTTTTCCTCTCTTTCCTCTCTGAAAAGTTTAAAGGTTTTATTTTGGGAACGATTGATTTGTCATTTCGGTGAAAGGAACAGTATCTTTCTTATTGTGGATTCATGTCGGTATGTGAATTTTTTTGTTTTGCTTCTTTTTAGTGGAAAAAGATTGAGTTTTTGATAACCCTACGCGGACCGTTCTTGTTCGTTTACTTTTTTTTTTTTTCTTTTTTCTTTTCCCTAATTTCAGTCGATTTGATGCTGGGATCAATTGAATGTGATTGGGTTCTTTGATATTTGATGCGGCCCTTTTCTGCTTTTTTGATTTTGTTGGTATTACTCTTTTTACGTTGGTGATTGCTTAAACTATCTTAGCTCGTAGGGAATGGAAAAATGGGAAAGTTCTTGATTCTGTGTGTTTACCGTTGTTTGATTTCACGCGTCCTGGGTTTGATTGCTGAAATGGGGTTTTCCTTCTTTTTTTTTCCCTGTTTTATTGTTTTAAATGATTGAAGTAGTTAATATAAGGTGGAGTTTTGAAGAAAATTCAATCGGTTCGTACTTTGCCCTAATAATCATACTCTTATTCAGGTGATCAATCATTCAGTTGACTGATGTTTGTAGGTAAGTTTGTGCTGTGTAGTAACTTTTATGCTTGAAGGCCTTTGGAGAAACCTTTTGGTGTTGTCTCCATAATTGGAAAGTTTTGAAGAATACATATGTTGATACAATTTTAACATTCTAATTGGTGAAAAAGGTTTTCACAAACTGAGATTTTTAATTACTGATTTGCAAGTTCTTCTGTTGAAGTTACTCTTTTTAACGGCTGATGGGCTTTATCCCAGATGTTGATTCTCCTTCTTCATTTTTTTTATATTTCTTTTTTTTTGGTTTCTATATTTCCTTTTAAGGTTTTGGTGGATTTTGACTACATGTGTATTGTAGCTCCATGTTTCTTGAACTAGTGGAGGCTTACATTTAATTTTATCACTTACATTAAATATGTTGCGCTTAGCATCTGTCATAATTTAGTCTTACATTGGAGAAAAGTGATTTGTGCTCAACTGTTCTAATTTCCCTATGGTGCAGAATTTTGCATTATGACTTTCCTGGCATGTTAAGAGTTTCTTTTCTTTTCATGCTTCAGAGAATATTGTTGCTTAGAAGACCTTATTCCTGTACTGAATTAGATTTGCATAAGTGTGGCTTGCTGTATGATCATTCGGATACTTTGTCATGAACTGTCATTGTCTACGATGTTGTTTGTCTTTAGATGCTTTTTGTGAGTAGGTCCATCTACTCTAATCCATTGAACTAGGTTATGAGACTATGAAGTCTTTAACGTGTGTTTTATGCTTTGACAGGAAAAGGGTCGGCCGTTGCCAAAGTTTGGTGATTGGGATGTTAATGATCCAGCTTCGGCAGAGGGATTTACTGTGATTTTTAACAAGGCCAGGGATGAGAAAAAAACTGGTGGCAAGCCTGAGTCGCCTTCAAAGGCTGATCCTGCCGCCAGACATGGAGGAGTAGAACCAGGGAAACCTCAGGGTGTAAGTTTCCTTTTGATTAGTTGCTCGTGAAATGGTTTTTGTATTATTCCTGGAGTACACACTGTTAGTAATTGTAAAATCTTTATAGAGTGTTCTTACTTGATTTATTTACAGTTTATGATTTGTTGCTGCTAAGATAAAAATGAAACGAAACTATTTAAAAAAGTTACAATTTATTCTGAATATACCAATGAAGGTAGCTGTTTTGACCGAACATGGTACAACATACTATCCTTATAACTGACCTAGGTGATAAGAGGAAGGCTTCTTTTTACTAATAGTATTAGATTTATTGAATTTTGTTTTTACTTCCATTAAGTGTGATAAAACTGATAATTTGATCTATCTCTAGATTTTTTTCTTTTAGTATTCTTTTTTTTTTTTCCAATTGCTTCCTAACATTAATGCGAATGATAGGTTGAGCTGCTTGTCGGCTCCTTTAGAAAAAAGAACCCTGCTGATGTATGGTTATGTGTTTTGATTGCAGAAGAAATGGTTTTGCTGCATGCAACCAAGTGCAGAATCTTGAGATGATTGGTCCAAACCCTCTTGGAGCTGAAAATTGTTTGGAGTCATGTGCATATTCAACCAAAAATGTATTTTCTCATTAGATGAGAGCTGCAGCAGTGTGGTATCAGTTGTCACTGCTGGAATCCATCTTGTGTGCTGTATAATTATGTTGGTGTGGGGGAAAAGAAGAAGGTTAAACACATTGAAAACTCAATATATTTGTATGTTATATCCTGTTGCTTATTTGTATTGGTGGGAGCTTATTTTGGTCTTTTTCGATACGCGTTTTGTAGAGCTGTAGTTTGATTATCAATCTTCTTTTGTGTTTAATGAATACTCAAATGGTTCTTTCTATCACTGTCTTCTGCGATACATTCATTGTTTTCTTTTCTGCTTATTCTTTCTGCAACTGAAGGTCTCAAATTGTATGTGCACATAAAACACAACATTCTAAACATCCCTTGCCTTGCCACCTATCTACCTTTGTGCACGGCAAATAAATAATGATTTCCAAAAAAAAAAAAAAAAACTAAAACTGTTCTTGCAGCCTTGGCCATTTGCTAGTTCCTTTTCTTTTGAAGTAATCGGTGACCTAACGATTTTCTTCGAGATGATGATAGAGCTGAAAGTGATTAAGATAGCAAAAAAAAAAAAAAGAAAGAAAGTTCTTCAAAGAGACTCTCTGCTCAGGACAGCAAAAGACAACGCAGTTTTCAGGCACAATTGGTAAAAAATTCTCGTGAGTTTATACAGCACGGCCAACATTTGATGTTTATTGCTTCCGTGAAAAGAGCACAAATTGGTAAAACAAAGTCAATAACTTAATAATTTCCAACTTTCTGCTACAATACAAATATGCTCTGATAGAAAACTGAACTCTACACTCTGGACATTCCAAGCTTCCTGTCAAATAACCTTCGCAACAGGTAAACTTGCAGAACACTGGCACCAATTAGGGCCGCTGATTCATACAAAGCTTTGTGCATTGCTCTTTTGCTCATTTTCTCATTTACTGCAAAAGCATATAGATGGTCAACAGCAAAACAAAAAGCTAAAGAACAAAGCATAGCTAAACATAGGCTTTTACTCTGAGTTACTTCATTTTCGCATACTGGTTGAGTATATATACTTATTAAGGGACAAGTAGGACATCGGTTCTATTATATCTTCAGAAACTCACAAAAAGGAAGGATAAGTCAATGAAATACGCCTAATTTCAGGCAAGCGCATACTGAAGCCAAAAGTAATGAGTGAATTTTTTTATTCTCCGTCGATATACTTAAACGTTATGCATCATGCTACACAAAAAGGTAAATTACGATGTTTTCGAAGTTAAATAAGTGTTCCCAAAGCCCAAATAGAAGTTAACTTTTTTACCGTAACTCAACATCATAAAATTCACGGGACTTTAATGCTAACTCCACATTATAATTTTTTTTCTACTGTGAAAATGAGCATTGGCACAACACACAAACTTCTAATCCCAAGTCAAAAACAGCAACAATAAGAAAAGGATACGGGTATGTTGTGTTAAGTAAAGCTAGAAGGACTTGTCATTATAGTTGTGATGTAGTAGATAAAATCACAGCTATTACGAGGAATCTCTAGCATAATTTTGAGAATATATAAGAAAAGCCATACCCATGGCCTGACGTTCAGTCTGAGCCTCCAGCCAGTGCTGTTCGAACTGAATGTTGTACAAAGCCTCCTCTAGCTTACTAATATGCTCAAATAATGGTTGAAAATGCTCTGGAATGATAACATCGAAATTACTAGTAAATCATCAGTGTAAATCTTGCCATAAAGAGCAGGCAAAAGAGCTTGGAAAATGGTAAAAGAATCAGCTCACCATCTTTCGCATGCTGGTCATGGTAAATGTAATGAGCTGCCATCACATCGAAGTCAATCGTTTCATGGTATGGGGACCTATTGGTAAAACAGAACCGGTAAACTCCCTCATGGTAAGCAGTGAACTCGCCCTTCTCACTGGTTTTGTCTCGGAAGTCCTGAACTTGTTCACCAGTAGGTCCTTTCACCTGACAATCAGCAGAGAATATAACAAATCAAATTTTCATCGTCTTAAAGCACATAGCTTCACCGAAGATGTACAGATAAAGAACCAACAATGGAAAGTTATCATAGAAGCTTCAAAGGGGTTCCTTAATCCCGATAAAGTTAAAAACTTTGAATCCCTAGCTACCATTACCCTCTTGAATTAGGCTTTACAAAGACTAAATTCTAGAGAGGAGAAGTCAATCAATCCAAGCAAAATTCTGAAGATCAAAACAAATTATACACAAAAAGTAGAACAGGCACGTCAAGGAGACAATAGCCAAAACCAATGCACGCAAAAAATCCTTTCTTTACCTAATCACAGTGACATGAAGAAACAACCGCAACAAATTCACAAAACAAACTGCCAAAAGAAATTAAAGACGAAAAAAAAAAAAACAAAAGGAGTGCAGAAAGACAGAAAAAGGGAAAAGAGAAAATACCACTAGATCAACTCCTTCGGTATTGAAATTCCAAGCACCCTCAGTTTTAATCACCACAAAAGAGAAATGAACAGTGGCTCCATATTCAACTTTATGGGCTAAGCATTCTTCCCTGTCTATCACTATTCTGATCCCAAGAGACCCTTTTAAGCTCGAGATTAACACCACTGACAAAACCCACCACCAAAATCTCGTCATCCTGGTCATCTGAGTACAATCCAATTCAAAAAAACAAATAGTTCCCTAAATTAATCAAACCAAGAAAAAGAAAAAGGGTGTCGACAAATCTTAAAGATCGATACTTTATATGGCGAAACGGCAATTGAAGATTAATTAAAGAAGGTTCGCATTATTACCTAAAGATTTTTCGAATTTGCTAACTGGAGCTGCGAGCAGTTCGACAGGAATAAAATTGACCGGGATTTGAACCTGCGGCTTCCTTGTACTTTAGTTTGGTACTTCTACAGTTTATCTGGTTTAGGAGAGAACGAAACAGCGACTTCAGTTGAGTCTTCGGTTGATTTGGTTTTTCCTTTTTCTAATTTTATTTCCTGTTAGTATATTGCAGTCAACTCCTCAATATTTTCAGTCGTAATAATACCTAAACGGTTGGAAAACTTCAGCAATTTTGCGGGGAATAAATAAATATTGCGTAAATATTATTGTGATAATAAGACATTTTGATTTGTCCTAAAATTCATTAATATATTTTTGAATTTGGAAAAAATTATTTTAAAAATATGTTTTCACATTCATTGTATTCTCTTAAATATTATATAATATTTTTAAGTTTTTTCTTTAATTAAAAAATATTAGATGAATCTTACGACAAATTAAAATACCTTATAATAAAGTCGGAGGGAGTAATATTTTGCATGTAAGTTGTTTGCTTCTCAAGTGGAAATTCGTCATAAGATAATTATGAGTAATTAGAAATTTAGAAATGTAAATTCTAATGATCTATAAGATAAGTAAATTTCTATATCATTCAATTTTGAGGAAATCCTGGTTAATCTCCAAAAAAAAAAGGAAAAGAAATTGTTATGCATATATGACTTAGAATATTATAATCATGATACTGTAAATTTATAAAATTAAAAATTTTGAGTAATTACTCCAAACTACAAGGTGCATTTGGCAAAACAAATAAGTTGGGAACTCTGAAGTCTAAACGGAAGCAGCATCGCCAGCGTGGCTTTGCCCAAAGCATCAAATCAGTTTATTCCACGTGGACCATTGACACACATCTCTATTGGCATTGTTCGCAGCTTAATGGTTTTTCCTTTTTACTCCGTACAGCCTGTGAAAAAGTCTAAAATACCTCTGAACTCTGAACTCTAAACTCTTCAAATTCTTTTATATAATCATATATTTTTACAATTTCATACATATTGTTTCAACATACATTAAAATTTCACTGATTATTTATTGTTTACAAGTCAAAGAACCAAATAACATATGAAAGAAGAGAAAATGAGATAATTTTTGGGTAATTTTTTGACTTTTTTTTGTGTGATCATTTTTATTTTTTATTTTTTTGGTGTGATCATGCGGCTTTGGTTAAGACGACTCCCACCGACCCCATGGTTGTTGAGACTTTCTCGGTCTGTTGTTGCGGTTTTGGTTCAAAATAAATTTTTCATCCTGGGTGTTATTTTGTTTGAAACCATTTTCAATAATTATTCATTTAGGTGTAAATTAATTTAGGATATTTTGTTCCTGAATATTTTTTTTTGTTTAAATTTGGTAAATATGACTACGCAATTTCATCCATGGGAAAATAATCTGTTTTTTGCCACTGCTGAAGAGGACTATGAATTCGCCGACAGCCAACAGATTTGAATCATTTTAAGATTTTATTTCGTGCAGTTTGATTTTACTTTACGCAGTTTCATGGGGATATTTTAGTCAATTTTACAAACTGCGATGAGGAAAAATAATCTGTTTTTTGCAACACCCTTTGTTTTATTCATCAAAGTTTTGCCTGAGAATGGTTGGGAAGAGCATGGCCAGTGAAATTGTATAGATTATCTGTCTTTAGCGGCAACTTATCAATTAAGGCTTTAAGACTGTATAGAATCTAGTCTCCCAGCCATTAACTTTTTCATGATAATGTAAAGACTTTGTATCGCCTCAACATCATTGTGTAATTTGTTGCAGACGTTGAACCGACATTTTGATCCAAAAAGAAGTTTGTCAAAATCTGTATATGTATAGCACGAAGCCAGCTTTTGAGCCGAATTAGAGCCTTTATGGTGTAGATTACGGAGATTGAAGGAGTTAACCAGGAGTTTCATATTCATATGACTTCAAAACAGTGATATTTTATCATCAATGTCCAAATCCACCCAGAATCATATAACTACATCATCTGCAATTCAAACTCCACCACTTAGCACATCATCTAATGACAAATACAGATTATTATTGTCAAGCAGACACAATATGGAATCATGACAGCTTCTGTGAAACCTCCCCTTGATGTTAGCACCATCATCAGCATCAATATAAGGATTACTGTAAAAATCACCCAACAGAGAAGGCCCTCCTCCAGGACACGGCGGGAGCTTTCCGATCAAAAACCTATCAAACTTATTTGTGCGATGATCACCCAACAGGCCTGGAGACATGGCGGACCTGATCTCCCATACTGGAATTCATTAGTAGCATTTCACCAGTAGGAAGTTTCCCAACTACAACAATAAGGTTGGCGGAATCTCCAACAAGTTGTTGGGGCAGTTGTATACAACGTTTATTCCATTTCTTCCCCTGATCATCTTCTAATACAAAGAGTGTAAATTTTTCAGGATGTGTATGATCAAGTTTCTGAGGAGGAAGCCAAAGAACCAGGCATCCCATGGATTCAGCGAGATTCCATCGCCCAAGACGACCATTAGTTAGACGGATGAGATCATCCGGAAGATTAATCAATCGAAACTTCTCCTTGTTAAGATCAAAAGATAACAGAGATTCTGATTGGAGCCAATACAAAAACCCGTCACCTGAAAATGTTTCTAATTAGTGGAGTTTACGCGGGGGAGGAGGAGAGAGATAAGAGAACAAGTACTCCCAAAATTAAAATTAAAATTATTGTCCCAAGTACTCCCAAGTAAATTAAAATTAACAGAACTAGAAAACAAGTACTCCCTTTGTCTCATAATTATTGTCCACTTTGTCCAAAAAATTTTGTCCCAAAATTATTGTCCAATTTGACTTTTTATGGATCAAGTTACACATTTGTCCTTAGTAAAAAACATTATCCATAAAATCTTAGTGGTTAAATAATTACTTATGTAGGGGTATATCCGGTTATTTAAGGTAAAATATAGTTAAGTTTGACTAAAAATAAAATTTTTCATTTTAGTAAAACTGGACAATAATTATGAGACAGAGAGAGTAGTTCTTATCAATACAGTACCACAACATTTGATCGATCAATGTCGACTACCTCTCTTTTTCTTTTTTTTTTTGATTTTTGTGTTTGCAATAAGGTCTACCTCCTTTAGTATTTCACCCAAAGGTAGATAAAAACTTCCATTATTGAATAAACACGAAAACCATGGACGGTTGCCCTTGTACATTTTGGGTAGATTCCCAACCAAAAATTGATCAAATTTTCTCCCGCCGTGATTATACAACTAAACAGTAGAGGACGCATATTTTTCTTTTCCATCTTCCACAACATTGAGATTCATCAGTAATATCTCACCAGTAGGGAGATTCGCCGCGACGTAATCATCTCCAATTTCACCGGGGATTTTCATAACATGCTCAGTCCGTATTTTCTAACTTTCACCGTCTGCTTGTAATTCGATGTCGTCTTCTTGTACAAAGAGGATAAAATTATCATCATCAGGTTGAGGCCCTTTCGAATGTTGTCCTGATAATCTAGCAGGAGGATGCCAAAGAATCAGGTGTCCCATTGATTCAGCAAGATTCCATCCTCGGAGTGTACGATATGTGGAACTCTCGGGAGGATTAGTTTTTCGAAACTTCTCATCCTTCAGATCAAAAGACAGTAGAAATCCTGGTTCTTTGAACCAATACAAGACCCCATCTCTGGATGCTAACGTGGTTGGATATCTGTCAACAATGTCATTACCGTGATTATTGCACTCAAGCTTTCTCCATGAGGATAAGGAAAGATTAGTGGCCACAGAGATGTCGACAGCTAAATTTTATTATAGCACAAGATAGTTCACATTATTAGTTGTGAATCTTACAGTATGAATTATTTTATAGGACGGAAGGAGTAATTCATAAATTAATAGAAAGTTTTATAAATAAAGGTAATTTCTTAATTCTCTTTTTAGATGATGATGAAGGCTTCTCTATCTTGCCACTAGAAAATAATTTGATTCATGCACAATCGTAATGATGTAAACTAAATCAAAAGGAGAATATCACAAAAAATATGATCTGAAATATGACCATGTACATGTGTTACACTGTAAAAACTGAAAGCCGCGGCACAAAGAAAATCAGATCATTGCACCAAAAGTGTAGAAATAGTGCAAGCTAAGAGGGCAAAGATCACTGATTTCGCTGTAACAGAGCTTGGCATTCTGCCTGGATCTTTCCGAACGAAAAGGCCAATGTACAAAGGCAAATTGATGGCGACGAAAGCCCCGGACACAAGAATCTGCAAAGCCATTGTTTCATACAGTGATCCTAGACTCGAAATCGAGCCGAGTTTGAGCAAGATCCCAATCAAACAAAATAGGTTAAGCAGGGCTAATGATGAGATCAGTGTGAACATTGGTGAAGTGATTCCAAACTCCATCACTTCTTCTTCGAATCTTCGGGCGACATCCTCGTCGGCAACTTTGCTTGAAATCACAAATTTCATGTCTGAATACCCTAACAGCTTTAAGACTGTGTCAACAAAGGCTAATAGGTAAGAGCTGGTTCTCTTGTAAAGCCATATCCTTTGCTCATTCCACCACCCAACAAATGTTCCACCACAATAGATGAACTCAAAAGCACTGTATACGTGCACCGCGATAATCACATAAGCAAATGGTAGAAACCATACACTTGATACCTTATAAAAAAAAACAATAGAAGCAATATCCAAATCATTAGTTCGAATATATGTTTCGAGAGTTCGATATGATCCATATGTATTAGGGAAAAACTTTTGAGTACCTGAGGAAATAATGAGATGGACTTGAGTAGATAAAGAGGTGGAATTATGGAGTAATATACCACTGCCAAGGAATTAGGAGACCATAGGCAGTAAGTGCTGTATCCCATTATTAGGCCAATGTTAATTTTGCCTAGTCCATACAAAGCAGGACAATACTTTGAGAGATAAATCTGCAGATCCCCCTCAGACCATCTTTTATGTTGCACAAGTATCTGATCAAGACTTGTCGCCGCGACACCTAGGAAGGCTGGTCTTGCTGGATTATAATAGGCTGATCTCCATCCACTACAATGGATCGACAAGCCAGTTATCACATCTTCCACTGGAACACCATACTTCAAACCAACCTGCACGTCAACAAATCTAAGTAGGTTATACCATTCATTTTGTCCCATAATGATATTCAGTGTTTCAAAAGCTGAAAATAGGAGTATAAAACAGACCTCTTTCCCCCATTGGGAGTTTTCCTCATAAGTACAACTTGCAAGGTTCTTTAGCCTTTCTTCCAGCTCATGCACATTACTAATCTTGCATTCATTATTCTGTCTCTTCAAGTCATCAATCCTCCTTTCCTTGCTGAACTTTCTTCCGCATAAAACTTCTCTTCTGTGAAAGCAGCCGGTCCCAATGTACATAGGACCTCCATGACCATCCAACCCATGGAATTCCACCTGAATTATATAACCAACATTATTCAAGTTTATTCAGGGAAAGTAAGAATCACATAAAAGATGTGGTACATTCTTTAGTAGTTCAGTATTCTGGATGGAAATATCTAACCTCCGCGATCACTCTCAGTTCGTTACCATACAGATCATTCCTGGTGGTGTTCTTGAACTTCTGTGGAAACTGCACGAAAGCGAGCTCGTGGCCTTTTTGCTCATCCATGAAAAAGCAAAGAGCATCACGCACTGATTGCGAACTATTTGAGTACATGTCACAGTCTACATTCAGTATTATTGGTGCATTGCTGATCTCAGATGATACCCTTATCTGCACATTTTAAGTTAGAAAGGTTTCACTGAACTAAATATTGAAATATTTTTCCGACAGTTCGAAATTTGCAGGGAGGTAATGAGAAAAGTTTACAGAATTACAGAGAAGAAAGCTGACCAAAGCATTCATAGCTCCAGCTTTGAAGTTGTGGAAATGCTGGGGTCGTTTTTCCCTGGCCAAGTAGACTAGATAAGGTAGTGTACTTCCTGCAATGTCTTTTGCTTCTGGATCACTTCCGTTAATCAGAATCTGATCAAACAACAGAGCTCAGAGCCAGGTACGATCTTCACAAAGTTTATGTAAATTGAAACTGAAACCAAACCAAAAAAAAAAGGGATGTCAATAGAAAACCTGCAGAATAGTATCATGATTTCCACGAGATGAAGACGAATCCCACGATGCAAATCCTTTATGTTCTGCTTTATTTGGGATTCTTCCAATTTTTGTGACGAGTTCAATCCTTCCCTCCATTTCCTCGTACAGTTTCTGCAGTTTCATCAAACAAAAGCATCTACTTAAGCCTTTGTATGGGTACTTGATTTTTATTTTTATTTTCTTTTAATACTTTCGTCACCTTTTCAAAACAAATAAGATAATGTTGACCGTACCATCAGTTATATCACTTAACCATAGAATGGTGTGTGAATTGAAATCTTTCGTTAAGGGCTTCAAACAATTTAGGTGATAGCTCAACAATGATTATAAATTTCTTACTATTTGACCTCAACAATGATTATTTTTGTCGTGATTCCTTTTTCCAATTGCATATATACATTCATTACATAACTAGTTTAACAAGTCCACTGTCACATCAACACCATCTTGAAAGTCAACAAAAGTGGAAATATCCTACCAAGATATGTCTTAAAGTCCTACCAATTACAAAAGATGATTAATCAATTATAATATTGGTTACTTGTGGGAAAAAGTCTCACCAAATCCCTTAAACTTTATTTCCTATTTTCAAACTGGTCAATGATCGAACCTCCAAGGCGGCTGCCCTCAATTTCAACTTGTTTAGCAGTATGTCTATTTTTTTTTTTAATCTAAATTTACCTTTTTTCTCAAAGTTTTCAGTTTGTTATTCAAATTTCAAGATTAAAATCTCGTTGTCATAAACAGAAATCAGAGGGGAAAAAAAAAGGTTTTTTTCTCTCACCATTTTATTCCTTCGATCACTCCAACAAAAACAAACTAAATATTGCTATGCATACCTTAACAGAAGCGAAATCCTGAGCATAATTTGCATCAGAAACTTGGTGCTGTGATGGTGATCCGAAATAGACAGCAGGGGACCTGGGTTCAACCTTGTATTTCTTACAGAAAGGCAACCAATGCTTAGAGAAACGAGAAGCCTCCAGAAGAGCATAAAATGTGAGCTCAGAGCCACCATCATCGGACAAATAAACACTGAGTTTGTGAGTTGGATAATCATACGCCATCACTGACAAAACGGTGTTTATAACCAAAATTGGTGGCTCAATTGTCGGGTCCGCCGTGCAGACAAAAATGTCTAATTTTGGCAACTCTTCCTCGTACCTAAAAAAATTATATGTAATAAGCTAGGAACCCAGTAAATTTTTTTTTGGATTAATGATGTTGAAAAGTTGACGAAACTGAATAAAGCTGGAATTTGTACCTCTGGGAGAGTGTATCAGGGAAAGTTTCATGATACACGAGATTCCAGCGATGAGATTGACTGAGAAACCAGTAAAATCCGAACCAAATTTCCGCTCCAAGCAATCCAATCCAAGCCCATCTCCCATCTTCCCCAGGTTTTGGGATATGAGTTGCTCTGTAAATCCAAATCAAGAGGATGCCTACAAAAATGGCAGCTGCGTACAGCCTGTGAAATAACCTATTCCCGGTTCTGGTCCGAAACAGAGGAAGATACTCAGTTTTGTTGATATTGTTACTTCCCATGCTGCTTTCCCCGAAGTGGAAACTAGAAAATTCTTTGTGTTTTTGCCATTTCAGGATAGTTTGGCGCTGCTTATGTACTCTTTTTTTCTCCTTTCAGTAGTGAGTGGTCAGCATATATAGTGCGCTGAAATTTTTGAATGTCAATTGGAACAACAGCCAGTTAGCATTTTTCCCAATCATGCGGCATTAGCTGAATGGATCATATATCATTATCGTGCTCCTCTCATTTAATGAGATATTTTTGTTTGAATTCAACATATATGTTCCATGTGAGTTGTAGGACCGCAGATAGACTTTACATGGGTGGAAACGTAGAATGGGGGCTGAAAAACAGTGAAAAGTAGTAATGTGAATTTGTTAGGTCATCATTATTTCAGTTTTACGTAGTGGATTAGCTGAGAATCTGTGATGGGATGAATCAGGGAGGAAATAGAGGATTCATGGTCGAGATTTGTTTACTAAGAAGGTGATAGAACTGGGCCAAAGTAATGATTTTTATACTCTCTGTCTCATAATTATTGTCCAGTTTGAGATTTCACTTTTAGTACAATTTGAATTAAAAATGAAAAACCCAAACTGGTCAATAATTATGGGACGGAGGGAGTATCATTTTTTGGTGGAGATTGTCAATTTTTAGGCGGGGTTGGGACTTGGGAGATATGGATACCATAATTTGGTCTTAGTTGTCCGTTAATAGATAGGATATCTTTTCTTCTTTCTTTTTTTTTCCTTTTGTTTTTTTTGTAGTTTGTTAAATTTAAGCTCTGAAACTTCTGATACAATTATCAGGATTGAATGATGACGCACTCACAAACGCAATACTATCTTCATATCCCGTAATCAAGTCAGTCTGCTACTTTTTCGATCTCGCAGCCTAGGAATGATCGAGTCTTAATCAACAAAGGAATTTGGATTTGGTCAACTCTTGATAATATGTCCAATATTTTTCAAAAATCAAATAAAGAAACACTATGTATATTGACATAGCTCGATTAGAGATTAATCTGACTCCTCCGCACCAGGAAAAAGCATGCAAAGGATTAGCTACAGAAGGCCGGAAATGGAATCTAATAGCTCTCATAGCAACATAGCGGCAATTTTGTCGATGTAGCTAGCTATAGTTTTATACCTTTCGTGCATACTTTATGTTGTTAATAACTTTATGAAGCTAGCTGTTTATCATCAGTTTAGTTGGCTTTTAGACCGTGGCTAATTATCCTAATTAGTCTTTTAGATTAGTTGGATAGCAGCCGTATACATTTACTAGCTTGCTGTATATCGCCATTTTATAAATACACATTCCGGATCATTTACTAATCTATTTTGTTACATTATCTTAGCATAAGTTGAAACCTTAAAATGAGACGAAGTGATTATTATGTACGCAACTTATCAAAAATAATAGTGAAGGTGTGAAAGAGAAACGAAACTATTTGCTTCGTTTTACTGTCTGCCAAGCTCAGTTGCAATTCACTAGAGCTTCAAATTCTTTCTTATGTATACACATGAAATTACCAAGGACCAAATTTCAAGAATTTACCAAATTCTTTTTTTTGTATAAAATGGAGGCCTTTGAATTTGATCAATGCATGGCCTCAAATCCATCGGCTACGGTGTTTTCTTTACAGAGTTTAGAGCTAAAGAACAGGTAGAAGAGATGCAACTGAGGCTAAAACAACAGACCTCCACAACACAGAAGATGGTAAGTTTCCCTCATCCGTCCGGAAGAATAAAGCTATATACACAGGTAAATTCACCATTACTAGTACTCCAGACAGGATGATCTGTGGGATGAACTGTTCAAGCATTGTTGTTGCCATAAAAATTGTCTTGATGCCCCACAGGAGACCGAAAAGGTTGAGCAACGCGAGCGTTGTTATGATGACGAACATAACTGATGAGCTCCCGAATTCAAGAATCCCATTCTCATATCTCTTCATTACCTCGTCATTAACCACTTTGGCTGTAATGGTGAATGTCATCTGAGCAAGGCCTAACTGTCTGATGATCGTATCTGTAAAGGCGAAAAAGTATGAACTAATTCTTCGAAACAACCATATTCGTTGCGCATTCCACCATCTTTCGAACGTATCACCACACACCAAGGATTCAAATAAGCTGTATCCATATTTTGCGATAAACACGTATGCAAATGGAATGAACCATGGACTTGACACCTGAAAAAAGAAGCAAAAGGTTTATTAAAGATCAACTTATCGAACACTACAGTGTTCCTAAAATGACTTAGATGTAGAAACTCCAATGTAATATCTGCTACTTCTAATCAACATTATTACCTGTGGAAAGATTTGGATCCCATGGATTAGGCAAAGCGTTGGAACAGTGGCATAACATACCGTCGCTAAGGAAATAGGAGCCCACCAAAGATACACACAATAGCCCATCTGGGCACCTAATTTGATCTTGCCATAACCATATATGAAAGGGCAATACTTTGACAAGAAAATCTGGAATAAACCTTCGCACCATCTTTTATGCTGAACAAGAGCTTGATCTAAGGTTGTAGCAGCAATGCCCAGAAATCCAGGTTTAGGTGGATCATAGTAAATTGGTCTCCATCCTCTGCATTGAATTGTTAAACCTGTGACTATATCTTCCACCGGACATCCATACACCAATCCCATCTGCAAATGCAAGAAAAACTCACAGGTTTTATGGTATTTTCTTTGCCAGACTGATCCTTGCATTCATATAAATGATGCATGCATATCTATAAGAGTAATGATGCAATGACAAAATTGGTTCATGAAATCAGAAAGTGAACAAATGAACTTAGATAACAAAAAAGAAAAAATGATCAACAATGTCATTAGATTGCAATGCAATGAAGGATTGTTGTCTTTTCACTATGCCACATTATCCATTGTCTCATTTCACTGAACCAAAGTATTGTCTCTAAGCTTACTCATGTTGTAATATGCTCAATGTTTTCCAAGGATGGTGTACCTTCTTTCCCCAGTCTGTGCCGTCTTCGTAGCTACAATTTGCAAGGAGTTTTGATTTCTCCTCCAACTCTTCAACAGTTCCTTGAATTTCATCTTTTGCACTACTCAATTCAGCTTTGTTTTCTTGAGAGAATTTCATTCCACAAAGACTTGCTCTCCTGTGGAAACATCCGGTGCCACAATAAAGAGTGCCTCCATAACCATCAATTCCAGCGAGTTCAATCTTCTCAAGTAAGAAAAAGGAGCTTCTTCAGTTCATTGAATTTCTTTGGATTATAAGTATGAATAGAGACAGAGAATTTATCCAGGAAAGTCTCAGGAAGAAATACCTTGTGAGTAACTCCGGCCTTACTGGAGTAAGTATCGGCTTTGTTTAAGTTATGGTAGCGCTGTGGATGCTGGACATAGGAGGTTTTGTAGCCTTGCTTTTCATCCAGGAAGAAGCACAATGCATCCCTGATGGCATCTGGATCATTAGAGTACATGTCGCAGTCCAAATTGAGAATGATTGGTGCATTACTTATTTGTGACGAAACTCTAATCTGCACAAAAAGAAGGTCGACGAAATGACTGGAATGGTACTGAAAACTGCTCACTTATCTGCACTGAAAATTTTGTTACTTCTGTACCAGTGCATTCATAGATCCAGCCTTGAAGTTGTGTGGCTTCTGCGGTCTCTTTTCTCTGGATAAGTATACCAGTCTAGGCAACTTATTTCCATCAATATCAACATATTTCGAGTTATTTCCACCAATTAAGACCTGAAATTAAGGGGAAAGAAAAAAGAGACACAAAGATGTTGTCAACTCCTCCTAGCTGGTGCATTACAGGAAGCTGCATGCACATTTTTATACCATACATGAATACTCTGCTATGAATGTGATCAGTAAGTACCTGAACAATAGACTGATGATCATTCTTTGTGGTTTTCGAGCTCCATTCTGAGAACCCCTTATGTTTTTCCTTTACCTCAGGTGAGATGCCGCCATTCTTTAGAGCTGTTTCTATCCGAATGTTCATATCCTCGTATAATTTCTGCCGAGAAGCACAGCACAGTTCAATCTTAATTACACAACAAAAAAGCATTAGGCAACTTAGTCTTGCACCAATTCAACCTTAATTACCTTAACCTTGGACCATTCTCGAGCGAAAGCAGGTGATTCATTACGAAAATCAAGATTCCTCTCAAAGTAGGCAGCAGGTGCCCGTAGTTCCACCTTGAATCTCTTACAAAAGGGCAACCAATACTTGGCGAATTCCGCCGCCTCCAAAAGAGCATAGAAAGTGAACTCTGAACCACCATCATCGGAGAGGTAAATGCTCAATTTTTCAGTAGGATAATTGTATGACATGACAGACAGGACTGTGTTGATAACCAACGTCGGCGGTTCAATAATCGGATCAGCTGTGCATACAAAAACATCAACATCCGGCAACTTTTCCTCACATCTGAAAACATAACAAAAAACCTTGACAGTGGTTAAAATATGATCATTCTTTAGCCTGTTCTATTGTTTCAGACTAATTCTCAGAGCAACTTCTCAAAATATCCATGGCGCAAAACACAAAACAACATCAATTTAAACAGACAACTTTCTACAATTTCAAAATTAAAATCCCAACTCAAAAAACACTTCATTTGTAACCAAAAAAAAAAAAAAAGAAGATTGGGTCTTGCACCTGAGAGAAAGCCGGTCTTTGAATGGAATTCTCTGAACAACATTCCAGCGAACAGACTGAGTGATAATCCAGTAGAGACTGAACAAGAGCTCTGAAACAAGCATACAAATCCAGGCCAATCTTCCAGGTTGTCCAGCAGGAGGGATATTAGTCAATCTGAACAACAATATAAGAAGAATGCCCAGAAAGATTGTTCCAGCAAAAGCCTTGTAAGTAACACCTGCCGTTATCCTTACTGGCTTAGTTTCAAACAGAGGAAGATTGGTGATGGTTCCATCTTTAGCTCCATTTTCAGCACTCATTTTTTGTTTGAGCTCTGTTTCCCTTCTGCAGGGGAAGTTTAGTTCACCAGAAAACTCTTTACTTTCTTTTAAGTAGAAATATGATCTAAAACGAAACTAAGGGCGTTCATATTAGTAGTAGATTGTGGCCATGATGGTCCCAATCTTTACTCCTCCAAACCTCGCGCATTCAAGAATTTCAACACATTGTCGTACTGCTCTCGAGTCCACAAAAATGGTGCGATTGCCATAGCACAATAGTGACATATAATCGATATATAATATGAGGGTGATGAAAAATATCACTATACAAAGCAAAATGAGATCCTTACTGACCATATATAATAAATAAATGTTACGGGGTAAACTTTTGTTTCCTTTTTTATTAAGAAAAAACTTGATGTGAATCTAGCCGCCAGAGAAAATCTAGTTCAATTACGATTATTTTTACTATTATATTGGAGTATAAAATATGGTAATTGCAAGCCAATGTCAGACTGCTTTGGATTTACTTTGATATCATTCAGCCGAGCGTGACAGAAATTGTCCACAAACTTTAAACCAAGTCAACAATCACTTCAAATTTTTAATATTAAGACCCATGGGCGCAGCAAATGCTAATTTTACGTTATTCAGAAAGGCGGTGCATTAAATTAATTATTAAATAATAAATTATAAAGGGCGTACAGATCAAGGCATTGTCCACATTTTGACGACTCCTTCTCCGGACGGAGAGACGATAATTTAACACCTCCTTACCCTAGGATCCAATTACGTAAGTCCATATCCAGTTCAGTTGGGGGGTCTGATCTTTACAGATATGATTTTTTCCTTTCTTTTTTTTTTTTTTTTTTTTTTGGTCTTTTGATTAACGCAGATATGATTTCCATAACCTTAGATCCTTAACGATATGCCATAGTTCATGAAAAACTAAAAGGTGTTCTCATGTAACCTATATTAGTTTTGTACTCTCCAGAAAAAGTCTACTCAAATTTATATTAAAATTAGTACAAATTTCAAAATTCAACGTAACTTATTTTTTAGGGACGGAAGTGGTAAAAAAATGTGCTTAAAAGTTAAAAGAATAATAAAAAAACATTATAAATCATTATGGAAAGATTGAATTAAATCCATGTAGCCGACAAAATCATCAATGTTGAAATCTACTGATTGTCCTATACAACGGAAGGAAGAGGAGTTAATTTTTAGAAGGAATTGTCCTCCAACCCCACATTATGATATAAGCCAGATTTTGTTACACGACAACGTAAATGTGTATACAAAGTGGATGGAAATTCGTGGATCTTCGATACGAATCAGAAAGGAAGGGGATGTCACATTTGGCCAAAAAGAAACCAATAATTAGCAACAATTTTTTGTTTTCTAGGAGTATTCTTTTCGTCTTGGTGCATTAGAAAGGTCAATTCGTCCATTTTGACTTTTTTCCACGATGATGCAAATTATAATTCTCCATCTCATGGTTCTGGATAGACTGTAAATAGTTTCCACCAAAAAAACTTTGATATGTGTGGCCTCAGGCCATCAGTCCGGCCCGGGCCGAAAGAGACCCAAGCTAAGGGACAGGCCCCAGAAACCAATTTGACATCTACATAATCCCTGGACATCAATACTTGATTATACCGGAAAAGTGGCTATTTGCTGGTAAAATTTTGCTTCCCAAAGAGTATTGAATCTAGATTAGTGTTTTGGGAACATAATAGTGGCATAATAATATGCCCAAAAAAAAAAAACGAACAATACGAATTATGTTATCGAGCCAAACACGTACTTGCGAAGTCGAAACCGGTTTTTTTTGGATTAACAAAACACACTGTAACTTTTATTACACGGTCCCTAATCACACAGAAACACCACTATCAAAAACAACAAAAAGGAAATAAAAGGGAAACAACAACATAAACGAGGCAAGGAGCAACTATATTACTACTACATTAGTGATGCTTGCGTAAAGCACGATTCCTCCGAAAACAAGACCAGGCCATCCAACGCTTCTTTCCTTTCCATAACCCTCGAACCGTGAAAAACCTTTCGATTGCAGCTCCGAACCTCCCCATATGGTCTTATTTTTAATGAAAAAAAAAAGAATCAAATTGTTGCAAATATAGGACGAACACGAAATTAAATCAAGCACACTTGGAATGATGAGCCTGCTGAGAAATCCCGTGACATTTCTCGGTCACATTTGATGAACCATCGTCGTAGTTATTGGCATCGATGGTTGGTTCTCTTCTGTAAGTGTGTGCTCCAATCAACTTCAACCTCGTACTCACCGCCTCGTTTTCTTCTCTTTCTGATTGATTTGAACTTTCACCCTTCTTCTTCGATGTTGTTGATTCCTCCTCCTCGTTCTTGACTACTCTAAGGTGCTGGTGATGTTCTTCTATTTTTTCACTAGCCATATACGCTGTATATTTATTGTGTTTATAATGTTTGATATTGATAGTGAAATGTTATGGATAATGTCTCTCTTTTTCGGATATGATAATATATTCGCTTGCTTTTATGTGGATATTTAATGTTGGATGATCGAAGTAGGATGGTTTTCTTAAGTGTTGGAGGGGGTAGTGATGTGACAGGTGTGTATAATTACTGCTACGTAGGAAATTTTGTGACACTCTCCGTTTGGTTACTTGACAAGTGTTTGAAACATGTCATGCACTACTATTTCTAGAGTTTTTTTGGTGTGATCAACTAGAGTTTGTGCCAACAAAGGGTGGCCCAGTGGTTTTGGTTTTAGCATCCAATCTGGGAGACCCAAGTTCGAATCCCGCTAATAATATTTTCAGTGTTCAAATCCAATCTAGTCTATTACTCGCATGTAATAAATTAGATATTTGTAATTGTATGTAAAAAAAAAAAATTAGAGTTCGTAATTGTATAATTTATTTATTTATTTTTTTTTAAAGAGAATGAAAATAAAAAATACACCATTTGTTTTATTGAGTCCAACGAGTAATCGAGCCCAAACCCAATTTAGTTGAAGATGGGCTGTAAGCGATTAGGCAGAATTGAGATCTCTACAAAGCGGCCACATTTGTTATTTTTTCAGAGGCACCATTAAGTAGATTGATGATATTTTTTCAGGGACGATCAACCCGTTGTAAATAGTAACATGTGTAGCCGAGTTAGAGATCTGTTAAACCTTAGATGGTGTGTTAGCATCATTCATGCAAAGCGTCCACAGAATGAATTAGCAGATGTGTTAGGCAAAATTTGGTTTTGGTTGCCCTTTCGGCCGCCAAATTTTACCAACCCCTCCTGCTAAAATCATGAATACACTAGAACTAGATAAGATTAGCATCATCTCTTAGCGTTTGAGATGTTTTGTAACTCAGCCTATGGCTCCCCTTTTATATATATATATATATATAAAGATTGATGATGATCAATTCAAACAACCAGCCAAGCAGATCCTTGAGGGCACCGTAAGAACGAGTAAGAGGTATCCATAGTTACCTTTCTATTTTGACGTTTCAAAAAAGCACAATAGCTAAAATATTATATTTTGAATATTGTAATAACGAGATGATGTGTTTTGGATGTATAGAGTGTCGATAAATAAATAGATAAAAATATAAAAGAATCAAAATTAATATTTCTTTCGTCCGAAAATTATTGTCTAGTTTTAATTTTCACTTTTTATTTATTTGTACTAAAAATTAAAATCCAAACTAAACAATGATTTCGGAAAGAATAATTAAATAAAAAGAGAGAAAACCACATTCCGTCGTGACATTGAGCCCAACAAACTGTAGGGAGCCTAGAATAGGTTATTTCTACTTTGACGGGCTTCTGTATCTTTGCATTGTTCGCCCCAGTGAGGAAATTATGTCCACAACCCTCCAAGAAAGAAGGGGCTAATTGGTAACCGACATTGGGCCGCCTCAGCAATTCAAAACCGAGTAGAATTCGGAGTCCGTTTCCATGCCTATATTAAACCGGGTACCCTCATTTTATTTAAAGTGAGTTGCTAAATGTAACTTAATTTCACTTCGCCCAACTTGTACAATAAATTAAAATATCTCTGAATCTTAACTCTCCCAAATTCTATTGCACGATTTTTTTTAGAACTTCTCACAAGTTCTTTTATTATATTGCCAAAAAATCATTGATTCTTGATGGTTTGCAATGGCGAAAAATCAAATAACACGAAAAAACAAAATAAAATAAGACATTGGTTTCTCAACAAGTAATTTTTTTGCGAAGTTCACTTTCTTATTAGTGTGATCACCATCGTCATTTTCTGACGGATTTTTTTTTTACAAAGAGAAATAATTTGCGCGAGATTTTATGACTTTAGCATGATTACTGATTGGTGATCGTGTTTTTTTTTTTTATATCATTTATGTGTCTTGATTTTGTTTCCTGTAATTTAATTTTACTTTGTACAGTTTAATTTTGTTTCGTGTATTTTTATTTTATATCGTGTAACTTAATTTTATTTTGTGCTGTTTCTTAAGAGTATTTTAGTCTATTTAATAAGCTGCACAAAGTAAATTCAAGTTGGCAACACCCTTATTTAAAAGATGAACCCTACCCTAACCGTAATAATCATCCCTCGCGGCGGTACTGTAAAATCTCTCCTCCCGACGAAAATCCACCAATCTCTGCGAAGATGAAGGTTATCGCCGCTTTTCTGTTGGCGGCTTTGGGGGGAACCACCGCTCCTTCCGCCGATGACATTAAGAAGATTCTCGGCGCCGTCGGTGCCGAGGCTGAGGACGACAAGATTTCTCTTCTGTTGTCCCAGGTCGCCGGAAAAGACATCACTGAATTGATCGCTTCCGGTAGGGAGAAATTGGCTTCGGTTCCATCCGGTGGTGGCGTTGCTGTCCCGGTTGCCGCTGGTGGTGCTCCTGCCGGAGGCGCTGCACCTGCTGCGGAGGAAAAGGAGGAGGAGAAAGTAGTAGAGGAAGAGGAGTCCGACGGTGATATTGGATTCGGTCTGTTCGATTAAGTGTAAAGGGATTGATTTCATGCGAAGTTGGTCTTTTTTATTTTAGTTGTTTATGATGTAGATTTTTAGTGCTGGGCAGTTGAATTTTGGCTTAGGAAGAAATTTTGGTTGGTGGAGATTGTTCACATTGTTGTTATTATCTTATTCTGAATTCTGACTTAATGCTATGTGTTACTACTTTATTCATTAGTTCTTGTTCGTTTTTTATTTTATTTTTTTTCTGGTTATCAGATTTTGGTACCCACCCTTATTTGTGTTTGTGTTTGTGTTTAGGAGAGCCGTTTTAAGTTTTGTTAATATTCCTCCATGGAGGAGGGTTATTTTTCTATAATGTTTGGCAATGTGTATTCAATTTTCAAGAGTTGGGAGCAGTTTAGGATCACTATGACAGGTGAATATGCAATTGTAGTTGTAGATCACTGGCCAATGGTTGCTATTTGAAGGTTGATCAATTTACAGGGTCTCAATCCCTGAGTGAGATCACTTTAGTTCTATAAAATCAAACAGGTTGGGAGGTCTTTGTTTATGGTTGATTTGTGAATCTCACATTAGACTTCTGTCTTTGTAAGCTTTTGGTCAAAAATCTTTTAAAATTTTTTTACATGGGTACAATTTATGTAAGTTTTTCACTATGGATATAATTTGATTACAAACTTACTAGGAACATGATCTTGAGTCTTTGAGATTGTCCGTTTGTCTATTGTGAGACCTTACCAATTCTCTTCAACCTCTGTTTATGTCGTGTGTCTCACGTTGTTTGTGTCTATGATTTTTTTTGGTCATAATATTGTGACAAATTATGCAAAACAGATCCATACAAATATATGTTTCCTTCCCAACATAAACAACCCCCCATCAATCTACCATCATTAAATTTATTTAGAAGCGCTTCCTTGTAGTGTTATTAGTTAAACAAAACCTAACAAACTTAATTAAAACCCAATAAACCATTTTAAGAGAAAAAGTTACTATATAGTACATCTTATATTTGTGTAAAAAGTACTTGTATATTTATTTTCTTAATAATATTATCCTATTGACATCATTTTCACCTTTTACTTTTTTTGGTTTCTTGGCCAACAGATGTACGACGTTTACGTGATGGCCTCATTTTTTTTTTCCAAGAGTCCAATCTATATTTGTTTTGTATCCCCTCTGTGATTGTGATTACTGAAGTATCCTAACGATAAAAATTTGCAGAAAAGAATCCAAAACCCAAAACCATCAAACTTTACATACTAGTCAGCCCATGGACGGTGCCATTTGCTGACCTGGCTTCCCCACTCCCCCCCGGCCCCTCGCTGATTAGCTCATCGATTCCTCCTTTTGTTAATTAGCAGCTTTCATTTCAAAATCATATTTTTCAAACTCCCGTGTCAAGAAAAAGACATTCCCTTCCTTCTTCTCTCTCCACGGTAAAATTCCCATCTTTTTTTTCCCCCAAATAAGCGTATGCGAAGTACGGACAGCCCTTGTTGAACTAACTAGGAAAGAAGAAATTTTTCGATTTCTTTTTAGCCCAAAAATAGTTGTGGGTTATTTTTTTTATTTTTTTTAATCTCATTTTGTGAAGAGTAGGGTGCGGTTGGGAATTTGTTGGGTTCGTCATTGAAAGTGTTGGTGGGTTGGTTTTGTTTCAACCTGTACACGAGCTTCTTGGTGTAAGGGTTTTGACTTTGGCAGGAGGACTTTTGAAGTTTGCTTGGAGCTGATCAAGAACATTGCTGCTTTTCCGGTACGACCCCTTTTGGGGTTTAACAGTTTTTTTTTGTGGGTTTTAGGTTTTTCTAGGGCTGATGCCTTTTCTCTTTTAATTATTGCTGGGGTTCTTCTGAGTTGTCATTGATGCTCTGTCGTTCAGTGAACTTCATAATCTGGTTTTCTTTCTTTTTATTGTACTTCATAATCTGGTTTTCTTTCTTTTTATTGTAATGATGGTGTTATTTTGACTCGACTTTGTGATGGCTTTTCCAGTTTGATGATTTGAGAAGAATCAAGATTAAGGGTGTTGAAGCTTCTAGGTTGTGAATTAGTATTAGGTTATCAGGCCACCATTTAATGTATTTACTTTGTTCATTAGTTTGTTAAACTCTTGGTGTTATACATGATAGAATTAGGTTGTTAGGTTAGTGATTGGAAATTTCCCTGAGTCATCAATTCCATGGTAGAAGCATCCCCTGTTGATGATAAGTGTTTTTAAACAGTTTGGTTGTGTCATCTGTTTGTTTTGTGAACTTAATAGGATCACTTAGATTGTAGAAAGCGTTTAAATTGTCTATAGACAGGTAACGGAAAAAGGTGACTTGTCCTGAAAATAGCCATGGGCTTTTGGTTGCAATACCGTTTTGATAAACCAAAAACAAAGTACTAGCTTAGGCAGCTTTCTGTCTAAACGTCTAGTGAACTGATATCCTATTGCAAGTTTAAAGTGCTCTGTTCTGGAAAGTTGTATGGGGGAAATTGTAGTTATAAAGAGGTTAGTCATTGACATGTTTCTATAGGGTTGGTTAGTTTTGTGGAGGAACAAATAAGCTTGGCTGCTTTCATAGTTTATGCATTTTGGACTGAAATTTTCTTAAGCTGAAGATTTTATTATAGACTTGCATGCTTTTGTGTGAAGTAATTTACTGCTTTTAAGGTTTTAATATATTGGTGTTTGCCTTTTAAAGCATTTTGGGTTGAAAGTTTCTTAAGCTGGAGAATTTATGACAATCTTGCATGCTCCTGCGTGGAGCAATTTGCTGCTTCTAAGGATTTAATTATCTTGGTGTTTGCTTTTTGAAAGCATTTATGTGCTATAGATTTCGTCTTATTATATGTTGTTTACTTAGATCATGAAATGGAAGCACCTTGTAGCTTTGTTTTGTGCTACATGTATCAATGAGTCCTTTGGTGATTGAGAATTTCCTCTCGCGTGCTCTTAAATATTTATACTGCTCTTCATGTGTATTCGCTAAAGGTAACATGCCAGTGATTTTTGGTTGTTTTATTACAGTGTCAATGATTCATGAAGCAGGAAACATTTTGAATTTGTGAAGGTTAATATGTTGCTTTTACTCTTGTGTGACCGGGATTTCTTTGGAAAGTATTAATATTTTGTGTATTTGGGTGCAAGTTTACTCATTTTTAGTGGTGAGTCGTTTGAAATTTGCTTTCACATCCAGCTTTTGGTAGCATACTTATGGCACAGGTTTTATAGGCTGTTTACTATTCATTCATTGTAAATTCCTTTTCGAGTTTCTTACACTATTCTTTTTCACCTTGGTACTTTTTTTTTAGGCTGTGTATACAGTTGCATTTCAAAGGCTTGAGTAAGATGGTTGCGAAAGATCGACAGAAGAACACAGGATCTCCTAAAGTTTTGGTAGGCGAGATAGACACAAGTGCCCCTTTTCAGTCTGTTAAAGATGCTGTCAATTTATTCGGCGAGGGTGCTTTTTCCGGGGAAAAACCAGCAATTAGGAAGCCAAAGGTGTATTCTGCTGAGGTAATTCTGATCATTCTATATCATAGGCTTCCCGAGTGTGACTTTACAAGTCTTTGCTGTTGAGTGATTAGTCCAAGTTTGACCAGTCAATGTATAGAACTTTCAGGGGCTAATGGGCCTGTTATAATGCATTGCAATTTCACTTGCTTTACACTTACTCAATTACTTGCAACTCCGTGAAATTATGATTATGTAAATGTCATGTTTTTTCCCTGTAACTCATGTAAGCATGTTTATTTCGAGTCAATTCTCTGGACCTCAGATTCTTGTTCACTCTATTTTCAGAGAATATTGGCAAAGGAGACTCGGCTTCACATGGTCCAAAAAGAGCTAAATAAGTTGAAAGATCAATTAAAGAGTGCTGAAACTACTAAAACCCAGGCACTTTCAGAACTTGAAAAAGCTAAACTAACAGTTGAAACTTTGACTAACAAGCTCAAAGAAGTCAGCGAATCAAAGGAATTGGCAGTTAAAGCAGCAGAAATGGCAAATCGTATAAGGCAAATGGATAATGGCAGTGATGGTTCTCTTGGAGCTGACCGAGAACAATATACAGCCATCATTGGGGAACTTAGTGCTGCAAAACAAGAGCTGAGAAAACTACGCCAGGAATATGATTCTTCTAAGCAAGCAAAAGCTGCAGCTATCCATCAGGCAGCAGAAGCTGAGAACGCTGCAGAATCAAATAAAAAGAGAGCTGATGAGGTGGTGAAAGAAATTGCGGGTGTACATGAGTCAATTGAGGAAGTGAAGCTTGAAATTGTACAAGCACGAGAAGAAGAAGCAAAACTATATGCTGATAAGGATGCTGAGAAACAAACTTTTAGAGCTAGGCTAGAAGAATCAGCAAATAAATTGAGGACCTTGAAGAAAGATATTGATCCCGAAAGCACTCGAGAATTAGAAGCTCAACTGGCTCAGACTATGTCACAAATTGAAGAGCTAAGAAAAGAGACGGACAGTGCAAAGGCTTTAGATATTGATTCGGTGAAAATGGTCACTGCAGAGCTGGATGATGCAAAGGGGTCACTGCAGAAGGTAGCAGAAGAAGAGAGCTCCATCCGGAGCTTAGTGGAAGAACTCAAAATCGAATTAGAGAATGTGAAAAAAGAGCATGCTGAGTTGAAGGCTATGGAAGCGGAAAAAGAATCTGTGGCTGGGAATCTGCATGTCAAGCTTCGTAAAGCAAAGTCCGAGCTTGAATCTGCCCTTGCAGAAGAGTCTAAAACAAAAGGGGAGTCTGATGAAATGCTCTCAACCCTGCATCAGCTCTCGGAAGAGACTAAAATGGCTGGAAATGAAGCAGAAGAAATGAAGAAGCAAGCTGAATTGTTGAGAAAAGAAGCCAATGACACTAGAATCATTCTAGAAGAAGCAGAAGGGAAGTTAAAAGTTGAATTACAGGAAGCTGAAGAAGCAAAGGCTGCCGAGGCAAGAGCCCTTGATCAGATCAAAATTTTGTCTGAAAGAACTAATGCTGCACGTGCCTCAACCTCCGAGTCCGGTGCACAGATCACGATATCCAGAGATGAATTTGAATCATTGAGTAAAAAAGTTGAAGAATCTGACAGATTGGCAGCTATGAAAGTAGCTGCTGCAATGGCGCAGGTGGAAGCTGTGAAAGCAAGTGAAAATGAGGCTCTTAAGAAGTTAGAAGCCAGTCAGAAGGAAATAGATGAAATGAAAGCTGCCACACAGGAAGCATTGAAGAGGGCCGAAAAGGCGGAAGCAGCCAAAAAAGCGGTGGAAAGCGAGTTAAGGAGGTGGCGCGACCGCGAGCAGAAAAAGGCTGAAGAAGCAGCATCAAGAATCTTAGCAGAAACAGACCTGACGTCTTTTGCATCAGCTTCACCAATCAATTATCGGTTTGAGAAGCCGCAGCAGAAAACTCCTCCAGAACCACGGGTGGAAGTTGTAAGAAAGCTGGAAAAATCGAAAACCTCGGTTTCAAAGAAAGTGCTGATGCCAAGTATTACAGGCATATTTCACAATAAGAAGAAAAACAACCTAGTTGAAGATGTGTCGGGTGGCTATGCTTCGTATCTGCCAGGAGAGCGGCCTTATTGAGAGAAATTTGGTAAAGGAATAAAATGAATGAATGAAGCATATCCTGTTTGTGTATATGGTAAACAACTTTTTTCCCCTTGAGTTGTTTGTTCTCTCTATCTTTGAAGTATGGTTAGGGATTAGGGAGGGGGGTTTAATGTTCTGGAGGCCAAGAAATTTGGCTGGAAAGTGGGCATAGAATTTGTGTGATTGTGCTGCGATGCATTCGAAAATGGATGCTGGGTGGGAACTGAATGACATAAAAGATCTGGGAGATATGGTTTCCAGAACTGATACTTCGTATGGTTGCAGATGAATGCCACATCCTTTATTTGTACATTATATATGGTTTCAAACATCCAAACGAAGTGTCACGGTCCCCTGTTGTGTACTATTTATATCGGATTTTTACTCTCTAAACGTATAATTGCAAAACAATGTCATCAATAATAATGATTAAAAAATTTAAATATATTTTGAGAGAGTTTTGTATTTCGAATACTGAGTGAAATCTGAAAAGAAAAAACAAGAGGAGCTCCCAGCTGTAATGGGGATCACTAACTCGTGAATATATACTAAACAATTTAGGATAATGACAGGGAAGTAGAGAATGTGACATTTAGTGTAATTCTGTTACAAATATACATAAACAATTTACTTATTATACTCTAATTTCTTGTGTTGATAGTACCAAACATGATGAACTCTGTATGGCTTTCGGCAAAGAAACAAACTCATCTAAGCTACACAACACAGTTAAAAGGGTTGAAAGACAAGTACACCACTGAGATACAATCATCTATCTAAAACCCAAACCCAAACCCAAACCAAACTTTTTGAGACAATATCAGTAAAAAGAGACACTGAATTTTTACCACCATTTATTTCATGGAAATGTAAAGAGTAAAGTGTGGCCTTATGACTCCCCAAAGGACCAATTTTGACCAGCATTACACACATATAGACAGCTAGCTAGCTGGCAACAACAACAACAACAATCACAACCGGTCAACAATAACAACGTTGTTAACCTATATCCGTTCCGTTCCGTCCTTCACTTCACTTCCATGTTCCAAGTTCCAGACTCCCAACTCAGTGGAAGAGAGTCAAACGGGAAAAAAAATTAAAAAATAAAATAAAAACCCTAAAAATAAAATTTGGCCCGTTCATCATCTTACTTACGTCTTACTTCTTACCTCAACACAAAACCAATTAAAACAAAACAAAAAAAAAAAAAAGGAAAAAGGGGAAAAGAAAAGAACCCAAAAACATTCATTTTCAACTTTCATTCAACCTCCCCACTTTCATTTCTTCTTTCTTTCTTTGACGACATCCGTCGAACACTTTTTTTTTATGAAAATGGCGAGTGGCACCATTCGAGACAACGATGCACTCTCCTTCTTAAACCCTACTTCCTTAGCTTCTTCTCCGATTCCCGTTTCCGACGCCGATAGTTACCTCCTCGACGGTGCCCAAATCAGCAGCGCCTCCGGTAGCTTCCAGAACGAGGGATTTCTAGGTGGGCTAGACCCTGGACCAAATTTGAATATTGATGCCGAGTTTGGTTTCTCCCGGCCCGATTTTAAGCAGATTCCGCTTGTTGGCACGGTTGATTTCTATGAGCGACACGTGTTCCTATGCTACAAGAACCCTCAGGTTTGGCCTCCTCGCATTGAGGCTGCTGAGTTTGATCGCTTGCCTCGGCTTCTTTCTGCTGCTTTATCCTCCCGGAAGGCTGATATGAAGAGACAGGTTGCTTCCTTGCTCTTTTTTTTTTTTTTTAAACTTTTGATCTGGGTTTTTTATTTTTCTGTTTTTTTCCCCTTCTTGCTGTGATTTAAAGTGCGGTTTAATTAAATGCTTCATTAATGGGGTTTTGCATTAGAGCCATTTTTGATGGTTTAGTGTGTTTGGCTCCGTATGGATTACGTTTTGACAATACTTTTGAGGAATGTTCTTGAAAATACCACTTAGACTTGATTGAAGTTGTGATAAATGCAGTTTTTGTTTCGCAACTTGGGGCCTGTAAAACCCAAAAGTTGAAACCTAAATGTATTTTTGAGAATGTTTTTCAAATAATGAAGTTCGAACTACAATGTTCGTTTCTAGAAAGATAAATGTTAATGGATGTTCATAACCCGCCTGTTCTTTTGGGTTTTGGCACTCCTTTAAATGGCTAATTTACTGTTTCTATATTTTCTTTCGAGGTCTTTTGATGCAATCATGGTTATGCTTTTCTTTCATATGTAATTTACTGCATATTCTGTTGGCCAAGTTTGTGCAAAGACAGGATCTTAAAATCGCATTCTCATATGTAACAGTCATGGTCATCATGCTATTTATTAGATTTAAAAGGTTGATCTTTTCTCATTTTTTTGACTTCTTACTCATAGTTCTCTTAGTGCCTAGAGGACTACGGATTGGATACCAATTTAATGTACTCTTTGATTTTATAGGAAACTACTAGTAGTCTTGTTCAAAGGTCGGTTTTACGCTCATGCACGGGTGTGTAGTCGTGGATTAAATGCACATTCATATTATATTGGACTATTTCAGTGTGGCTAGTATCGTATTAGGAAAGTAAATTACTTTGACGGGAAGGCCCCATAAATAGCTAGTTTTTGGGCTTTCTGAACCATTGTCAAATGCCAGGCTGCCAGCGATCGGGATGTTGACTGCAGCCATGCATGCTTGAGTGGGTCATGGTTGTCAATTTTGCTTCATGAGTTCATTTGCAATACTTCCTTTGTTATCTGTCCCTGATCTCCATTTTTCTTCTTTTGTTTCTCAATGTTGCATGTGAAGATTCGGTTAACAATATGCGAAGGGCATGACGGGACAGAGACATCTAATGGAGATGTATTAATCTTTCCAGATATGATCAGATACAGGTAAAGAAAAATTTAGCTACCTCCTGCCTTGGACATGGTTTTTTTTTCCTCTTTTTCTGGAGCACATTATGATTTGAGGAAGTTTATGCAGGAGATTGACCCATTTTGATGTAGACACATTCGTTGAAGAAGTGCTTGTAAAGGATGGTGAATGGTTACCTGGAACTCCAGAAGCTCTCAGGGGATGGTACATATTTGTATGCTGTCACGGTAGTAGGGATAGACGTTGTGGTGTATGTGGGCCCACTTTGGTCAGTAAATTTAATGCAGAAATTGAATTACATGGTCTTCGGAATAAAGTGTCTGTTAGTCCATGCTCGCATATTGGTGGTGATAAATATGCTGGAAATGTAGTTATATTTGGACCAAATCTCCACAAAGAAATCACCGGTCACTGGTAAGGAGATTTGATTTGAAGTTTTGAATCCACTTAGTAATTGAAATTGATTTGAACTTCTCATTTTATTGTGGGTTGAGTAGTGGCTATGCTCATGTTCTTAAAATGTTTTATTTATATGTGAACAGGTACGGGTATGTGACACCAGAAGATGTATCGATTTTGCTTGAGAGACATATTGGCAAAAGACAAATTGTAGATCCGCTCTGGAGGTTTTTCCCATGCCTTTACCTTTCTTTTTTGGCATTTTCATCTTCCTCTTTAACAGCTAGACCTTGTGATTTAAATCTTCTTCTATAATGTTTCTCGTCCTCCTATCAAAAGTTGCGAAAATATCCGTTGTTCCTCTTAGTCCATGGCAAAACAGCAGAGAGAACAACCACAAATCGGTGAACATAATATACTAGTTTGTATCAATTATGATTTATTCATCTGGGGATGATTAATGGTTTCCAGTAATTACTTAATTTGCCCTTTAAGTCGCACTTTAGAATGGGAACAATCTTTTTCACTGAGAAGTTGGCAAGTCTCATTATTGTTGATCAGGTTTGATGAGGGATTTTTTTTGGCTTAGGTGGGGGGGTTGTAAAGCTATGTTAAATATATGCATGATCTTATTAGTCCTTAAAGAAAATGCGGGTTGGTGATGTGCTTTTTGCACACTGAAAATTAGAGACTTATCAATAATGAAAAGGCGAAGGGATGTGTACGCAAACACTATTAGTTTCTACGCTTCATTGATGAATAATTTTGCTTTTTGCATCTTTGGTATGCCCTTTAAAATATTGCTTAGATGTTTTTTAGGCCTAGAGGCTGGGTCTAATATTTGTGGTGTTATATCAATCTTTATGTCCTGTATTCAGGGGGCAAATGGGATTATCTGAGGAAGAACAAATATATGCACAGACACAAAGGATTCAACTTAATGGTGGGACACATAACTCAACCCAAGCTAAAGATTCATGCGCCCATAGTTGTGGATCCCATGGCGAGGGTTCGTCATGTTGCCAAACGAATGTAGGCTTCCTTTGCTGTCAGAACTCTCCATCAGCAGAGACGGGGGAAGCTTCTGAACTAAATGAAGAAGCTGGAAAGCTAAAGGTCGAGAAGAATAAGAGCCTTCGGAAGCAAATATCAAGACGAAATAGTCTGAAAGGGGGTTCTTCTCGTAAGGTCTCTATGCTTACTTGGTACGAAAACTGGGAGCGTGAAGATACATATGCAGCTCTTGCTGTGATTGGTGCTGTCGTCTCTGTCGCCTTTGCTTATAATTGCTACAAACAGCTAAGATGAAGTCTCGAGTGATGTTGAAATTCCTGAACTCTCTGATTCTCATCTGCCATTGAAGTCGATTTCCCTGTGAAGCTCCAGGAGGCAGATTGAAGTCTCCAATGAGAAGGATGGAAGGAAATTCCCTTAAAATATGAAATACAGACAGTGAAGGTGCAATCGATACAAATACCTGATCCTATAAACTTTCTGTTTGCTCTAGCGTCCGATGCTAATTAATGTAAATCTGCAATTGTATTGTTTTATAGTTGTAGTGTTCATGTAAGCTTATGATCTTGTGAATATCAGTTTGTCTTTGTAAAGATGAATGTTTCCAGCCTGACTAAATCTTGAAAGTAATTAAAAAAAAAAAAAAAAGAAGAAGAAGAAGAAATGAGGATGGCCTGTTTTAGATATGCCCAAGCTGTATCTCGTTCCTTTCAAACGGGAAAAACGGGTGGAAAAATCATTCCTGCAACTTATTTTCGCCATTCCTGAATTTAGAGGTTTCTTCAATTACTCCCTCCGTCTCAAATGATTGTTCTTTCAGGATTTTACTTTTAGTACAAAGAAAAATTTTATCCGGCCAGGAGTACTAGATCTTATTCTCTATTCCGATAATGCTAATTTTTGCATTCCTTTGGGGGTGTGAATGATGTGCCTTTTTTTCCCCTCAACATCTATCTGCAACTTGAAATATCTTTAACTCTTGGAGTATGAACCAAAAATTTTTATAACCATTTGTTCTAGGAAATGGAACCGCACTTCAGTGGGAGACACCCTTGACTTCCTCAAGTTATCCTTTTTACAACGTGGGATGACTTGACTAGGTTCTGTCAACCATTTAACTTGGTCATATATAGAAACACAAGTGGAACTGTTATGATTCATGAAGTCATCCATTCATTCTTTGGCACTAGACTTTTTTAAGTGCCATTTTCCAGAGCTAGTCAATAACAACAAAACTGCAAGAGATAAAGAGGGCAATGGGGAAGTGATATTGCCTTGAAGAGGAAACTTCTTATACATCGTAGGATCAGAATTTCTAAGAAATTTTCTAAGGAACAGTAATAGTGTAAATATATATACCCCAAGATTGGTGTTTATCTACTTGAGACTTAGCTTAGCTGCATGGAATACAGCTGAGATTATGCAAATACTAGAACTACATTCTCAAATTTGATTCCCTTAGGAAGCTGCTTCAAAATATCTTGCAGATGATCAATGGGCCTTACACCTCCACCTTTTTCAGTCAGCATTAATCCTCACATTCCGGAATGAATTACAAACACCATTCTGGTTACCGAGTTTTTGAAACTCTGATTCTATGGTTTTAGCAATCTTAGCGTCTTCTGGGTCTGGTTCAGGGAAATCCACGTGGAATGAGCCTTGTTTGATAGGGACATTGCGCTCCAGCAGCCTAGCTTGCTCAATTGTATAGTTGTAGAGCTGCTGGTGGAAACTATGGTCCAAGGAAAAACAGTTATCTACTGTTCCATTTCTAGAATACTTAGATGAACCTGAGCCTTCTCTTTTACAAAAATGCGGCAGAGATGCGTAGTCCATTATCTGTCAAAACAACACAGAAAGAAAAATTAGTGATTCAACAGGTGGAAATTTGCAAGGGCTGATGTTATCACTTAAGGAGAAACAATATCAAGATATATAGGATGAAGATGGATTCCCAAATGGGATGGTAGATCTCCTAGATTATGAATAGTTTCTCCTATCTTCAATTGCATCACTACATAATGCCAAGAGGTAAATGAGGCAAGACTAGCTGACTTACCTTCAGTAATTCATCTTTTCCATTTCCTGACAAAACCTGAACCTTCTTTCTTGTTCTTTCTTGCAATAGAGGTCTCACAACCTGGAATTGTAGCAAAAAGCATGTAAGAAAACACAACTGAGCAAGCATTTTCTGAACTTGGCCAAGTTTGTGTGATACAGACATTCATGTTAATTGCATGTATGCTCACCTTCCAACATGCTGAAAAAATATACGGGGCATTCACTATGAAATACGTCTCCGTTTTCTCAGGATAGTTAAGGTCATCTATTGTGGATATAACTGTCATTAACTGCATGAGGACACATCACATAATCAAAATAAGTAGTAGGAGAATAGGAAAAGTCAAGATACCAGAAGAAAGCATACAACGCATTAAAATATACAAGAAGATGTTAGAAAACTACTCCAATCCAGAAATGTGTACTCCATTAAACTGTGACGATTAGCAATAAAAAGATCACCTTAATGTGGTTTAAAGCAGAAAGCTTCAGACCAGTCATGTCCAAAACCTTTATACAGGTGCTAATATGTCGACCATATTTTTTTGATGCTGCAGGCTGAAAGATCATACTCTTTTAGACAAAACGAAATCCTCCACACTACCATAAATTTCATCAAATGAATGCATAAACCAAATTGTACCAATATCACACGGTCTCTGTATTCATTTAATTGGATATGAGACTGAACATAGTAATGTACCTAATCAAAATTAGCATATCAGTAGATGTAAAACACAAAGCTCCAAATTTCATGATTATAAAAATGATTTTTGTTCTTACAGATGCTTGGTCAAAGGTGCTTAGCCCAACTCCAATAGCAATGACAGGCAGACCCTGAGGATTTGGTAGGCAACAATAAATATCATCAGCACAGAACGAATAAAAATCTAGCCGGATATTATCTATTAAATTTATTTGCTCCAAAGCAACTTGGTCTTCCAGATCAACATAAAGGACGGTTAAATAGTACCTCTTTTGAGTATCCCGACATTCCTATGAGATTGGAATCCCGCAGTCCTCTGTACAAATCACGGGGGATAATTGGCTTCTGAAAAATCACACTATGTTATCAAAAACCAACTTCCTCAGTTTGCAGTGTTTTATTCTCTATAGTGAAAATAATTTATTCATGATGCTGAGAATATAACTGAATTATAAGGGACCAGTGTACAACTTCCCCATCAAGTTAGCAAAATTAAAAGAAAATTCATAGAATGTTAACGCAAGAACGTCAGGACCAGAAGGAAAACACCATTCTGTACATGAAAAGGTGAAATTCTGGGGAGAAACCAGACAAAGGAAATGGATTTTGAGCTGAAAAACTAAAATACACCACAATCTTCAATTCTATAAAGCAATCATAATACCATAAAACTTCTTTCACTATTCCGCATATGCACGAAAAACATGTAAACTACAACGGTAGAACAAATAAATTAGTTTAGAAAAGATCATATGGTCCTCACTTTTAGATCAAACTCACCGCTAATATACTATCAATTTCACTTGTTATCCTCCAGTTTAAACAGTCCATCAGCTGCAAAAGGGCACACTAGTGAGAAGAGGAGGCAAATGGAACTATCATGCCTAAAACAACATGTATATCCCAGTTCTGAAAGATTCAAATCAGACCATTTTATAAGCTTTGGCAACATTCCCATCTCTTGCTTTGAGAAACCTCACAAGAGTCTCGGTTGGGTTTCCTTGATGTACATTCTGCAAATTGAGACAAAAAATGTTTCATCCCCTTTAAATTTTCTCTGCATAAAGACTTGATATACAAATCATCAATGGCCATAGTTTCATCAAACTTGTTGACCATGACAACTCCCAACTTTATTCCTGACGCGTCCTAATGCACAGGCTTTTACTAAAAGTTTCTTCTTCAAACAAAATACAGTCTTTTCAGCGTCCATAACAAGTTAAGTACAGAGAAATTGCAAGAAAAGAACTATCGTCATCAGTTCCATTTTCGCATTATAGTCCAAAATCGTATAGGAAAACTTGAAACAGATAGATTATTTGACTTTGGCATTTCCTATGAGAACGACCAAATACTTCGCTGCTACATAGAATTCCTGAATCCAAGGAGCAAAAAGATAGAAAATTCGAAAATTACAACAAAATCCCAGATCAATTTTACTCCTTTGGGAGCAGATCAGCCATCATCTTACAATTTGAGCACCAAAACCTGAAACTTTACCAAAATAACATAAATGGTGTAAAAGGGCTGACCTGAAAAGTTCTCTTCAATGGCTCATCAACTGCAACCGACCAATCAAAAAAGAAAAAAAAAATCAAAAAAAATAAGCACTGGTAGATCCAAAGAAGAAGGAAGAACATCAAGTCAAACAAATGTGGGATGCAGAGAAACCAAAAACAGAAAAAAAGGAACTGACTTTGTTCCATCATAGATTGGAATTGCCTGATCATGTCTTCAGTCACTAACACCATTTCTGTGAATGTCCTCCCAAACCTTGCACCTAAAAAAAAGTTGAATAAGTAGATTCAGAGCCCCTGGATTTTGGATTCTGGGTCTTCTTTCCTTGCTTGTTTTTTACACAATTTTTTTTAATTTTAAACTAAATTCTTTTGTTTTTGGGATGGTGACTTGGTGAGGGTGTTGTTGGTTTTTGAGAAGTATTCAGACAAGGTCTGTGATGAGTGGTGACCCTTTTTGTGAAAGTACGAGCCTTAAAGCTCTTTGGTATTTGTACTGCTAATCTTTTTTGTAAATCACCTCCATCTTCTCCTCCCAACGTCTTAAACAATTGATGAAGAAGATAGGGGTGTTAATTTAAGCTTAATCTAAGTGTTGTTGGGGATTCCTCATTGAAAAATACTAATCAAATACAGTGATACTTATTCATTGAATGTTCAATAAATAAAAATCCTGTAAATTTTTCGTTGTGGTTAATATTACATATGTATATACTATTTCATTTTTTTTTTTTTGAGGTGATATAATTTGTATCAGTCGATTTATTTCTTTTCCTTTTTCTGAAAAGGAGTCGACTATTTTGACATCTAGACAAAATCCCTATATTTATGGTGGTTTTTTCTGTTTGTTGTTCATACCGACAAAATGGCAGTGCTATTCCTTTTTTTTTTTTTTTGGTAGAGTTCAATATCTAATATGCTGATGATAAATAGAATTTAGCCATTAATCCATACAATCTCGGGTTAAATCACATTAACTCATCTATGACTATTACCATCTGAATATTAAAAGAAAAATGGAAAAAAAATGGAAAAGTCATTATTGCCTATTGATTTGTAAACGGAGTACTATTTTTATTTTGGATAATAATTTGTGCAAGAAATCTTTACAGGAGAATTAACCATAACCATTCATTTTTTACACTTTTCATTTGAGATTTAAACATTTAATATTAATACATAGTTTTAATAATCAACACATCATTGCATGTAAAAAAAAATTTGTAAATTTTTTCTGTGCGTATCGTTATTCTTTTAATCTCACCAATTTTAGGTTATCGAAAAAGAGTAGTGATACGTATAAGGAAAAAATGACAAGGAAAATTTATAAGGAATAATGTGTCAAACATCAAAACTAGATCCTAACTTTAAATGCTTAAATCCCGTATAAAAAGTTTTTAAAATGAATGGATGAGATCATTTCTTTGTTATTTTTCCTTGTAATTTTTCTTGTACATATCATTCTTCATCAAAATATATATAAATGTGCGCTTAGGATTGACATGTATAAATTTGTCGAGAAGGTCCAATGTTTAATAGGCAGCATAAAATTTATCAGGATTTTCTTAACTTTTAAAGTACTGTAATTATGCTATGTAGAATTAATTAATCGATGTTTTATAGTGGTTAGAACGCGACTTGATCTGTGTTTTTTATTCACGAAATGTATTAAATTATCCACGAAAATATACACGAAATGTTTCCTTTATTGTGCCCAAAAAAAAATTGCAAAAACCATAGAGAAGATTGGGTTGACTTTATTGTGTGTATATTTGACTAGATTATCGCCTTCACCAACGTGAGGGATTGAGACGCATATTTTGCTAGGAAGCATAGCTGTAAAACTGTGGGAATTTATTTATTCATACACGATGTCAACACCCATATTACTCATTCTGTTCAATACTAAATCCTAAACTGAATTATTAAAATGAAACGTAAAACTTACTAAGGGTATGTTTGTTTGGTTTTTTTAGTGTGTGTTTTTAAGTATTTTTTATTAAAAATATAAAAAAATGTATTAGAAATGTAAAAAAAATATGCTAAAATGGGACAGTTATTATTTAAATATTTTAAAAATATCATTAAAAAAAAAACTAACAAACAAAGCCTAATATTTTATATGGCATGGAAATTCACAAAGAAAAAAAAAACAAAATTAGCTTAGAAGTTTCAAAAATGTACCGCTATCGAATATCCCACCCCTCGTGGCTTAAAATACCAATCCTTGGAGCGTCTTTTTGCACATGTTTTTCATCAGTCAAATATGCCCAGTTAATACCTAAATTATTTACCTTCTAAACTTTTTGAAATTGACTAATATGGTGTAGTTTTTTGACGTTTCTTTTTGTGTTTTTAGGAGATGGATCAATATATATATATTCCATTCAAAAATTAGATGATGATTTGACACATTCTAAGAATATATCGTTTGGCAAACACAAAATGTCACTTTCTAAAAGACGTCTTTTTTATGTTTTTAAAACGTCTGCCATTTTTTGTTTACCATTTCAAGTGACACAGATAAGGGCTATCGGTCTATTACCGTCTACATATTACAACACTAGATTAGTGAAATGCGCAGAAAAGTAAAGGAACAAAAACAAGAAACCGCATTCGGTGCATTCGGTTTTTCTTCTATTAATATCGTTGTTTTAAAAAATCATCCAAATTGTAATTTATGAATTGTACCGTTTTGATGGAGGAAATTTTTAGAGATTTGACTACTTACATTAGCAGGAAGATGCAGATTTTTGTGGCCAATTACCGATTATTTTAATAGGTTTAGGAAAGTCTTGGATTCAAGAGAATTCGAGTGGGTTTTTCATCCTCCAAATGTTATATCTTTGATTGAACCAAGATGTAGTAAGAATAGCATGTATATCTCTTGAAATGATGTAAAATCCTCTTTCTTTTTTTTTTTTTTTTTTTTGGTTTTAAAATTCAATTGAATGTAGCCGATTGATGATGAGATCGATGACATATTTGGCCGAAATTAATTACATCAAGTGATCAAAAATAAAAATGTATTAACGAAAATTCTAAAAGCATAAACCCTCTTTAAAACTGTTGTCGTCTTAAGACTATGCCACATGTTCATGTGACCAATGTGTCACATGCAAAGAACAATAATTTGGCCATACATCATACACCTACCAACTAATTAAGTTTTACAATTAAGTAAGCCTGTAAAGACAAACTAAACTTGAAACAAACAAATTAGGTTATTTTAGTATCACCAAATAAAATAATCATTTTGAAACGGAGTGTATACCAAATAATAAAGCTCAAGCAGGGTTTGTTAAAAATGCTTAATACATACGCCCAATCGCTTACATTTTCAGATCTTCTGTAATGGATCAAACCAAAAAAAAAAAAAAAAAAAGGAAGAAGACATTCTAACTAAATGCAAGAGTTTTTTTTCTTTAAATAATTCTTACCCTTAAAAAATATATATATAAAATCGCTTCCTTGTAGAGCAGAAAGTAAATGCTCAAAATCTACAATCAGCATATGGTACTATATCCTTTAGTATTAAGGACTAAATCTACAATTTTTCTTTAAACAACCAAGAGTCAAAAGTAGCACGTTGGATGAACAATAAAGGGACAGTTGTGGAGAACATTTGACAAGGATATCAAATAATGGATGATGAATATTCCACAAAAATTTTCAAAAAGAAAAAAAAAATAAAAATGATACAGAGATTTATGATCAATATGGTACCACCGGTGCGGTCACATCAAAATTCGTTAAGCCTAATGTGTAATCTTCCAAGTTCAAAATATACATATATAAGATGCAATTACTAAAGTTATTTTCATCCAAAGGAGCGTTATATAATACTCCCTCTGTCTCAAAATTATTGTCCAGTTTGAGATTTTACTTTTAGTACAATTTGAACTAAAAATGAAAATACAAACTGGACAATAATTATAGGACGGAGGGAGTAATAATAGTATAGAGTTTCGAAATTAATGATGATACTTGAAGTTGATGGAAGCTTAAAAGCAACTAATTACTTTAGCACTGGAAGCAACAAATGATTCTCCACTTGGCTTGGATTAAGATTTAAGCCTACATTGAAAATTCTATTCTCTGTTAATGAAGTTCTCCTACAAAATAATACTACCACATATTCATTCATAGCGATAAATTTTTATTTATTTTTTAATTAAAGTCATCTACAACAATTTTTGTAGTTACTCATAACTACAAAAATAACTATATTTGAATCAATTTTTTTTTTTCTTTTTCCTGTGAAATGCTACACAATCTACTTTATAGGTCTATATTTGTTTCATGCCCTACTTCAGAATTAGGCAAGCAGATACAGTCACGAGTCATTATCTATTTATTATATGCATTATACATTCCAACGTAACACTTGGCTACTTTACAAAAAGGAAGTGATAAAAATATGTAATATTTGATTCCAAATTAGTAAATGTTCCATTAAGGCATTAACTAATTATTACTCAATTCAATGTTATTTCACAAAAAACAACTAACAGCATCTTTTATTTTATTTATTCTAATTTTATTGTTTTTTGAAACGTGAGAAAGATTAGTGAAGAAGAATATTCCTGTTTCACAAAGTTTTGTTGGATGCCAAATTTTGACATTTCAAGCAACAGAAACATATACGTATTGTGTAAAAAGGGGTTGGGTTGGGGTGGAGATTGAGGGAAAAGTTTTGAGAAAAAATAAACCAAAATTTTTCCTCAATTTATTCCCGCTTTATTGAGGAGACATGTGCCGATAAGAGAATCTAAATAGTTAAACCGAAGAACAAAAATGTCAGAAAAGGGAGACTTTAAATTTACCTGTAAATAATATAAAATTGGATAAATAATTAGCTAGAATCAATGCAATAATTAATTTATATGGATCACAATCACATGCATCCATGATGAGGGTATAAAGAGCATAATGCCAAAATTAATCTCCGGTCAACTAATTATTATGAGCCACATTATTTTTATTTTCATAAAATTGGAAAAGTTAAAGATTAGTTTAACCGATTATTTTTTCCATAATTAATTTTATTACACAATTTTGTTTTTAAAAAAACACTATATTTTAATTAAAGAGAAATAAAATACTCCTTCCATTCTAAATAGTGTCATTAAACAATTTGTAGTTTAAAAAACACTTAAATAAAATAGGTAAATTATTGAATATCCTCAACTTACTCCATTAAAACAAATGTTTGGCAATAATACTATTTCACTTGTGAGTAATTTTGTATATTTGAACAACAGGTGCATTGAAATAAAATAAAAAATTTATATATTAAAATCTCTTTATTTTACAAAATTACAATTATTTCAGAATGGAGGGAATATAGTAATCATGAACGGATTGGGGAGAGCCTTAAGTGTGTGATTATTAGCAAGCAAACCATGCACATGTTGGTGTCAGAACGCTTCAATTAATTTATTCATAGTAATATACACTCACAAAACCACTATTGTAATATTTTTCTAAAAGAGTTGTGTTTTTCTCTTGACTACTTGGTTGAATTTGAAATATTTCGCCCAATCCTATTTATAAATCAGCATACGTTTTATTAAAATGAAATATCGAGATACACTATTCTTTGAAATGAATAATAACTAATGGAAAAAATAATATATATATATATATATATATAATTACACTACCTTTTCAATAATATCGACATTATTAGAGGTTGATTATGTAATGTAATCATATATTTATCTCTGCTCTAGTATATTGTACTTTATTGTTTCTTTTTTTCCCGATGAACTTGTTGTCTCTATGATTCGAAACTCTGGGAGGGGAATAAAGCTGTGAAGGAAAGTAGCTTCAAAACTTTCATCAAATGGAAATTAAGTAGCTGTGAAGGATTCAAAACTTCCACGACAGAGAGGAAAATGGTTTCTAATAATTAATAATGAGGCACTTAAAGAATTGACTGAGATTGTATGTTAGATCCTTGAAGACCTTATTAAATGTAGTAACTCCAGCACAAAGTGAAGACATTTTTCTTTGGAGAACTGAAATTTCCGCGCTATATCTGGCAGCATCACCACCGGACTACTGGAGGCACAACCGCCGGTGAGATCATACAAAGTAACTATCTATCTATTATACCTGGTGATCTTTGAGCTAGTTGCTACTCATACTTTGTGATCTTTGATTAATTAGATACGGTATATACTATCTTGTTGTATCTTTCTATGACGATGAAACAGGTCGGGCACCCCATACGGTATATATCAGAAATAGTTTGCTGAAAGTAGCGTTTGAAGCTGCGGATCAGAATAACCACCCCATACACTAATCGAATTCCACAGTGAATCTAGTAAGTAGTATTTCGATGGGGTTGAATCCCCTCTGGAATGAAAGATGGATGAATCGAAACATGTTTTTTTGCTCCTTGTACATGATCAGGAACAAAAGGAAAACTAACAATTCCAGATGCATTTTTTTTATCAATTTGTCATCAGTCTTCCTCCACAGAGGATGTCAAATTGGAAGGTCTTAGAAGTCGTCATTATCATCCCTGCTTTTACATTCAGGGCTTTATTAGACTTGTTACTATAACTGACCCAAGTACAACAAATTTTGTAAACTCTGTCAATTGGATCATGCCCTAGACTGAACGATGATCTGATGATGTAACGGTTCGGGGAAGGGGGGGGGAAACCATAGATTTATACTCTATCCACTACAAACGTTGTAAAGAATCAATTTCCTAGCCATTTTCAATAGCACATGTCAGGCAGTTTACCACTTGGGGTTGTTTGGTCGGATAAAGTATTAGTTTTCTTCAGTTAGCTATTTATGTTTCTAGTTGTATCTTTGATAACATGGATTTGCATTTGTCAATGGTTCAGTTTGAAATATTATCCATATGCTTTAGGACTCATTTCTTCACATCCAGCGGGGATAGCTCAGTTGGGAGAGCGTCAGACTGAAGATCTGAAGGTCGCGTGTTCGATCCACGCTCACCGCATTTTTATTTCATTTTATTTTTTGGGTAAACAGCTAAACTTATCTTGATTTTTTTTTAACCTCGCCCAAATTAGTTCACATTTTTATTTGAGGACAAGTTGTACTAGAAGTAAAAATAAAAAATGAATAATCATCTCAAAACACATTTGGAGTTTGAAATCGTTACTCCCACTGGGAAAGCTCCTTGAAGAGGCAAAACTGTCCCAACAGCTTGCCTTTAGCCTTTAGTTATAACAAAACTCTTTATCCATTACTTTAAAACGGTGAACTTCTGGAGTTTTTTTAACCTCCATCCAAGCAAGCTCACTCCACTCTTTTGAGCAGTCACTAACAAATCCTTTGAGGAAGTAGCAGTAGAAGCTTTCTCCCAGAAACCTAACACAAAAACTGAGGTCTAACAAAAAAGAATGAACTTTTCTCATCAATGACTAAGAGAGTAATAAGGGCACCAGAATTACACATTATGGATTGATATAGAGTCAACACTTCAAAAGAAAGTATTGGCAGTACAACAAATATGGAGCTGTTCTTTAACAACAACAGACGAATAAGAAGGCCAAAAAAAAATATATGATCAAGAAACTACAGATTTTTAAGAAGACGATCCTGAGTCTTAGCAGGCTTAAGGAAATGTTGGTCTTCAGGAAACTAATGTATTAACCCCTTTTCTGAGAGCCTACTAAAAGAAATCAAATTCAAGGTAGTTGTCTGAGTTTTGCTGGAATGGGACAGCTCCATGAGGTGGTGGCTTTTCACCAGCAGATGGGGGAGGCCCTGGGGCAGGTATCTTCTCAATCTCAAATGGCCTTGGGATCTCTGGAGGGCTTGCACATCGGATCAGAGCCCAATTCACACCCTCGAAAAAGGGATGTTGCTTGATTTCAGTTGCACCCCGTTTATACGCCAACCTATGCTGTGGCTCTTTTACTAGCAACCCTCTTATCAAATCTCTAGCTGAGAAACTGACTACAGGAGATTCAGGAAACCGAAGTGGCTGACCCACGACGTTGAATAGGGTTGCCCGGTTTCCAGATCCTTTGAAGGGAGTCTTACCGAACAATAGCTCATAGAGAAAGATACCAAATGTCCACCAGTCAACAGCACTGCCATGCCCTTCGCCTTTGATGATTTCGGGGGCCAGGTACTCGTGGGTCCCTACAAATGACATCGATCGCGCACTGGTTGGCTCGGCAATGAGCTCTGGCAGCGGGCTAACTTGGTTGCCGACTTCATTCTTGGGTTTACGGTCTTTCTTGGATTTACTTGAAAAAAGGCGAGGAGTAAAACATGACGTAGGAACCACACAGGATGGTTGGATGCATGAGGGCTCAATGCATGCTGGCTGGACACAGTATACTGGATTCTTACGAAGGGGCTCGTTTTCCAAGGATGACGATTTCACTAGCGTCGGGCTTACAGCACAACGAAGAGAGAGGTCAAAGTCTGATAGCATTATATGTCCGTCTTCCCTTACGAGAACATTTTCAGGCTTCAGGTCACGATAGACGATACCAAGCATATGGAGGTATTCCAAGGCAAGGAGTACTTCTGCGACATAAAATCTGCATATGGGAAGAACTAATCAGCAAACTCGGAATAATAGATTAACAGATAACACCTAAATGCAAACAAAAGATGGAAAAAGAATAACAAAAAAACCTATCACTTTAGCAGCACATAAGATATCCAGGTAGACGCTAATCATGCTAGTCAGGCTCAGCATCCAGGATTCATGAATTTAACTTCCAGTATTACCACTAAATGAATTTCACCAAAATGCTCCAGATTTAGAGAATAATAGCGAACATTTATATACCCTTCAATTCATGATCAATTCTTACCACAAGTACAAGATTCCCAAAAGAACATATTAACGGTGTTGACAACAGTGTGGCCAATAGTGGAGTGCCAAACTCATCATTGACTAGCAAGTTCAAAAACCAGTAAAAGAAATGCGATGTTAAGAAGACTATGCTTTAGGCAGCAAAATTATGACCCTTACAAAGTTACTTTTGTATTCAACTCATCCACTTTCAACAACACATGGTAACATAGAACCTTGTTTTTTCAAATAACAAGTAATGGGGAACTTGGCCACAGCAATTTCTAATACTGCGAAAAGCAATAGTAAAAGCTAAAACCATGTAAAAAGATCAAGCAATGCAGAAGAAAGCCTAACACATGAGGGCAAGACCAATCTGAATCAAAGGTTTCAATTATGGCGCAAGGCATTAATACCACTCATAAAAAAACAGAAGATATTACGAGGGAGGCAAGTTGCATACTTCACGGCCTGTTCGGGAAAATACTTTCCAGGTTGCCTCTGCCTAAGAGTGTGCAAGTCACCTCCTGGGCAGAACTCCATCACCAAACACGAGAACTTCTCGGTCTCAAAATGGGTGTACAAACTGGGTAGGAAAGGATGATCAAGACACTGCAGTATTTCTCTTTCTGTCTGAGCACGAAGCAATTTTTTACGACTCGCTAATGACGCTTTATCCATAACCTTCATTGCAAAATAACACTTTGTACCACACAACTCTGAAAGATAAACACTTCCAATATCACCGCATCCCAATTTTTTTAGCAGTCTGAAATGCCTCAGATCTAATACCCCTTCCTTCGCTCGAACGGCTTGGATTGCTTCCCATCTCGAATCATTCGCCTTATGAGGCTTATTAATGCTACTGCTCAAGCTGCTACAAGTACTGTCATCACTTATATTACTGCTAGTACTACCCCTACACATGCTACTCTTGCCACTCTCAACAAAATCAGCTCGATCGCTAATTTTTGCACTTCCGCTCGTTTTTGCAAGACTACTGGTTCCATCGCTAACTTTAGGATAAACAGAGCTATCCTTGGGAGTCCCCTGTCCAGATGATTTCTTTTCCTGGTCAGCACTGTTTTCAAGCGATCCCTTTGTTTCACTACTTGGGCTGAAGCTTGCTGGCACTTGCTTAATGCTTCCCAAATGTAAGCTCGTATCTAGTTTACCGGCCAAAGTTTCAGCTAACCCATTCGGGCCCGGATCACGGGACTTCTTTATAGTGTTTGGTTCTAAGTTAAGCTGCTTGGGAAACACATCCTGAACATTTGAAGCAACAGTACCCGATTTACTTGTCTTTGATGCTGAAAAATGAGAAGGCTTCCGATGAATTCCGTCTAAGTTATCACTTCCAAACGCTTTATTCTGCTTATCCAAGGAGCCCTTGCTAACAGATCTTGAGGCCATTGAAATGAGCTGATACTTCTTAAGTTAACCAAAATGTACAAACCCATCAGTTCAAACCCAGCTCCAGTACATTTTCCCCTTTGCTATCAAGACCAAAGCTTATCATTTCACTGTCCATCAAAAGCTGCAAGTTGTGCACCAAAAGAGAAAAGAGACAGTTATCAATAAGGCATCTTTTTGCCAAACAGAAATAAAATAGAAGGGCTAACACCAAAAAAAAAAAAGAAAAATCCTCAGAGGTAACCTAATCACAACCACCAGGAAGACAGAAAAAGAGGGTCAAAATTCCATTAGTTCCAAATCAACTGAAGTTTAGTGTACCTACCTCTAACATTAGAAAACTGCAGAGTAAGCTAATTAAATTACATTTTCTAGGCGAAATTAGAAGCAAAAGAGGACTCACAAAAACAATTAAAAAAGCAAGTGGTCTCTAACACAATCTAAACACTAAATCCCAGCCGAATCAGCTACATGCAAATGCGGATCAACTCTGAAAAGGAATAGAATTGAACATTTCTGAGAAGTAAAAGAACATAGTCTACCCTCAAAGGCCATCTTTTTCTTCATCAAAAGGCTAAAAAGGCTTCAAAGGCAAACACTTTCACCAGACTAGTGAATCATAAAGAAAAATTTCACAAAAATCTCCAGAAATTAAAATGAGAGTTTCCTTACCAGTACTCCAGAGACATCAGACACCACAAAACCCAAAAGATAAGAACGAAAATAATGGAGATAAACAAGATGAAAATGAAAAAACAAAAAAAAAAATGGTCAAAGAAAAGCACACAGATCTTGAACAAAGACCCACCTCTTTTCTTGAGAACCCTACCATGAAAATCCAAAAACCCCACAGAGTCCCAGACAGTAAAAAAAAAAAAAAAAAAGGAGCAAAAAAAACAAAGTAGAGGACATAGAGAAGCAAACCCACCAAGCCAAATCACTGGTCCAGTTCAAAAGTAAATTAAAAAAGAAGAGATACCTGAGAAGAAAGTCACAAAGATCAGAACTTTATAAGGGGTTTTTCTTTAGCTTTTCTTTCTTAGCTTTAGAAATTGGCTATGGTGGAGAAAGATTAAATGGACAAATCAAAGTATGAAAGCTTCCTCTTCCTCTTCCTCCAGCCTACACAGCCTACAATTACAATGCCTTTGGAGAGAGAGGAAAAGGGACAGTAGAAAAAAGAGTTTGGTTCTGTTGTGTGTTGTTTGCACTTTCTCTCATAACCTCCTCATCCACTACAGTCCATTTGTCCACAAGATCAATTTCTTTTTATTTTCTGTTTTTTTTTTCTCTTTATTTTTTAATGGGTTTTAAATTACCAATGTAAAATTAACAACGGTGAAGAAGAGAAAGGAGAAAGCCGGATTCCCTTCTGCCTACAAACAAGGCTAAAATAATTATTAATGTTGTTCACCACAATTTTTCGAGTAATGTTATTTTTGGTCCCTCACAATTTGGTCTTTGTATGTTAGGAGACTAGAACAAAAAGATCACTTAACTTATCGGTGTTCCATTTTTACATACAAATAGTGACAAGTAGCTGCTATTTAGAATAGTGACTAATGAAAAAAAAACTATACCATTCTCTTTATAACTACCAACAAAATAAAGAGCAATTATGTATTTATATACATGTCACGTCAGTCACTATTCTATTTTATTATACATTTTCATTATCTATATCATTTTCTAAATGAGTATCCCAAAGTCTATTTGTTAAGAGTGACAACCACTCAAACCAAACTTAACTTCCAATTACTAACAATTTCTGGTGTTGTATTCTATAAATTAAAACATCATACTCAAAGTAAATTAGAAGTTAAAGATAGAAATGTTTACTAATCTAAAAAATACTTTCTCTGTCTCAAAATTATTTTCTAGTTTGAGATTTCACTTTTAGTATAATTTGAACTAAAAATGAAAACTTAAACTGGATAATAATTATGTGACGGAGGGAGTAATGATTAGCATTATACTTGATCAAAGATGAGGGGCTGAAACCACGTTTCCTTATTCCAAGTCACCATTGCAAATTAATGAAAGTATTGTTGAGAAGCTTGATGCTATTTTTCCAACAAGATTAACCCCAATTGTTTTTTCAGATTCGAGATTACCAACGCAAATTAGTAATTAAAGAATTGTGAAAAGAGGGGAGAGAGAAGATGAACATGAAGATGAACATGGGGGGTCAAAGGAACAAAGGGAGCTAAAGTGAAGCTTTTCATGTTCAATAATTTCCATTGTATTTTGTCCACAACCCCGGCCCTCTCTCTCTGAATCAACATATGGGGCTCCACAGACTCCAACCTGTCCCTCATGCTTTGCCACCTTCGGGGCCCACATCATCTAAATTATTATTAGTAAAATTTATTTTTAAGTAATTTATTTTTTAAAATTTCCCATATTAAGGCATGATTTTCTAGGCTTAATGACCTGGTTATAATGTCCTTTTATGCCAGCATCACCATGACGTGGTCCCCTACTCAATAGTCTCTCTCATTCTATATCCCAAATTCTCACACAAAATGAAGTTAATGAGGACATTGAGGTTTGAAGGAGGTATCTTTCTTGGCTGAGTTGGGTGTATTTAATATAAGTACAACTGGATTTAACAAATATTCATATCCATTTTCTTTTATCAAGCAATCTGCTAGTGGTGAATCCAACCACGTTGTGTGGATTTTAGACTTAATTGCAAACACCTCCCTTTAAGGTTTTCTATTTTGTGACATTGAATTATTGATATGTATATATCTTACCTTCATATTTCTTTTCGATTCAAATTTTATTTTACAGTAAAAGAAGCGAAGTCTATACCCCAGAGTCCAAACACCATGTTATTTCTCTAGTGCGCTCGCTAATTGCATCATGTTAGAACCATGTCTCCCATGAAATTTATAATTTTAGTAAATCTGAGTATGATGATTCTTCAAAGTTTGTGAGATTGTTGAGGTGTGAAGTTTATAGTCAGTGTTCTAATATCTCTTTATATTTCTATCACAGCAACGTCAAAATGTCTTCAGTGAATTCCTCTTGTACAGCCATCGATAGAAAGGGTTTGACACCAGATACAACACTTTTCACTCACTATTAACAACATATAACTACTCATTTTTTTATTAACTCTTAAATTGTAGTCTTTAAAGTAACTAGCCCTACAACTAAATATGTTATAGTTAGATGATCTCTCATCGCGTGACAATAATTTTTTCTATTTACAAATTTTAATTCTTGATGAAAATTGGTCAACCAATGAGCACTTCTAGAATAAACAAAAAAACATGAAGCTAAAAGTTAATTTTGAAGTACCGTTTACTTAATTTTAAAAGTTAGAGGGAATTGTTCACAAATAACTCTAAAGTTCAACATGCAGGCAATCACTAGCCTTCTTTCTTTCCTTTCTTTAATGTCATCGTTCAGAACGAAACTGGCAGAAAAGACAATGCTGCCTTTGTTCACTCTTTATTTATTCAAACATTTTTGTGAGTTGATCAAATCGAATTATAAAAAATGTGGAAGACCATTTTCCATTTGCTGCTATTGAGTAGTATTAGCTAATGATTTTTGCAGATGCCAATAGCTTTTCCCTTTTTGTCGCTAATTTCCAATGATTATCAATCCTTCATGTTGTTGCTGAATGCCAAGTTTTTCCCTAGCTCCTGATTATCAATCCTCTAACTATAAAAGTATACGGGTTTCAATTCGTAATATATTTTGAATACTGAATTGTATGGTAACACGAGTAAAAATAAAATAAAATAAAATCAAACATATTCAAAGTTGTATATATGTTCAATCTATGCCCTGATCGCATTAGATTCGAGTCGTGTTTTCGTATTGTATCAGGCAACAGACACCTCCGTCCCAAAATTTCAAGAATAGCAAAGCCTTTGTCTCCCGAAAGCACTAAAGAATACAAAAAAAAAGAAAAAAACACAGCTCATGAATGTTTGCTTGTGAAGTTCAGTAATACGTACTAGAAAAAAAAAACAGAAGAACATGTTTAGGCAGGGGTATCAAAGGTGTAGATCTTTTTATATGGGGTTCAGAGGACGACAAAGGAATCAGTTTCCAAGTGGATCCGTCTGTGGAGATGAGACCTCCGCAGGTAAATGCTAGCTTTTCCAGTTCATTTAATGGGCTTATATCTGATTTGGTGGTTGTCAAGTCAATCTGATTTGGGGTCATAAAGACCTCTGTTTCCAAAACACATAGCTGGATCGATCATGTCATGTAAAATTGGGACTCAAAATAATTCATCATCTTTGAAGTTCAATTTTTTTTTTTTTTTAAAATCCAAATTGTTACTACTATACTATCTTTAGCAAGTAGTAAAATGTTAGTACTTTCATTGAAAATGGCAAATAAGTTAAAATGAACGTGAAAGTGTATTGTAAATTGTAATCTATCGGTACTACATTGTAACAATACTCCTTAAATATCTGACAGCCGGGATTAAAGAATAATAATTCATTGAGGTACACATTTTTTTGTGTTTGTTGCCTTAGTTGGTTAGTTGAATCCCAATAATTAGCAACCGTCAAGAGCTTAACCCGCAATTCAGGTGATTTATGACTTGTTTAACAACCTTGAATTAGTTGAAATAATGAAAGTATATACTATCTCCATTCCAACATAAGCGTCATTCCACACTTTGCACATAGTTTAAAAAACTCTTAAATATGATAATAAAATTACTTGAATATCCTAAACTAACCCTATTAAAAAAATGTCCACAATAGTATTAATTCATTTGAGGGTAATTTTAAAAACTTTGGACAAACAGAACCTTGAAATGTGAGAAAGGACACTGATTTTGAAATTTCTTTATTTTGTTAAAACGACGTTTATTTTAGAACGGAGTGAGTACGAAGGTAAAGATGGCAAGATGTATAAAGTGTGATATGGTAAATAATTAAAGGGAAATTCACTCATGGCAGACACAAATATAAAAAGCCAAAGCTGATGATGGGAGAAAGCCATTTTCCACAACTACTTTTCCCTCTTTTTGTGGTTTCCCATAATAGCGAATATGGGACAAAAAGATGTTGCAGTTCACACATGAACAAGGCAATCTTGATTGATTATTAGCCTATTTTTGCTCAACTACAAGAAGACCTATATCAAGGCACACACCACAAGCTAGTCACTGATTTCCTTCCATGGTAACAAGAAACTTACTTTGAGTTTGAGGCTGCCACCTTTTGTGCCAAATGAAGAAAATTTCAAACCATTAAGAGGGACTTAGGAAAAAAAAATGGTGTGCTAGAGTTACCATTGTCTGGAAAGCAAGAAGAATGAATCATCATTTTGCAAAGATTTTGTTTGTAAATCATGAAGATAACTTATTACACAGAAAAAAAAAAACTATAAATCCTTACTTGCTACTACAAAGTACAAATCAAATATAGACAAAAAGCTAAGACATATTTTCTGGTGTTTTTGACCAAAAAAAAGAGGGAAAATGTGTTGTAGCTAGCCTAGATCATCAGAAAGCAGGACAACCATCAACATGAATTCCAGGGGAGGTAGGGCATTTGGCCAAAGGACAATGATCACCAGCATTCCCCCACCAATCTATACTAATATTTTGGTATTGCAGAGCCACAAACAGAAGGATTCCCATGAATGCAATCCCGGCATTCATTGCAGCTCCCAAGACATAGGCGTGTTTCCCCCACCAAGCCCTATACTTCCTGTAAATGTAAACATTGAAGAAAATCCCAACTGATCCATACATGATGTAATCTATTGATCTTGCTGGTGGCATATTTGATGTTGCTCCTAACAAGATGGGCATGTTGATCAGCGCCAGCCATTTCTTTTCGGGGTATTTTTTCGACAGAAGCCAGAAGGGAATCGGAGCTACTGCGCCGAGAATGAAGAAGTAGTTCAGCTGCGGGTATATGCCTTCTTTAGTGAACATCTTCTTTGGACCAATCACTCCCCATATGATTGAAGCTTGGTAAAAGACTGTATCACCTGGACATGTCCATGGACTTCCCTCAGGTAATAATGAAGGATGGCAAATGTTGGCTATTGATGTCAGTAGCCACCAAGTCGTGACAAATTGAACCGATGTAGAGACCAGTGTTCCAATGACCTGAAAATGAGTTTGCAACAGGATGATTGTCGGGGCAAGAAATTATTTTCACGGATTCAACTTGATTTACTTAAATGTGAAAAAAGGAAGTTGTTTTGTTTACCTGGACTAAGAACATGGATTTTGGAGGTATTTTCATGTAGTGACCAATCTTTAAATCTTTAAGGAAAGCCATGGCCTGTGCCATGCTAATGTAACCATATGTCTTGAACGCAACATTTGCTAATGGCCTGCCAGGATACAGATAGCCGATGATCATCTCCGTGACCACATTGAGGCCGGGTTGCTGCAATAATAGATTTTTGATATGAGAAACAGAGAAAACAGGACAAGCTAAGAATACAAGAATCAGGTAAGTTTACCTGATTTGTGGTGGCTTGAATCAGGCCGATTGGTAGAGTGAAAGTAAAGGCTAAAACCATTGCTAGTACAAGTCCCCACCAGGGGAGTTGGAGTTGCCTGTCGAATCCTTCGCAAGCGAAGAGAGAAAGGCCAAACACAACAATCAGCAAGCCGTGAAACCACCAGCCAGGAACTGCCTTGTAGTTCTTTTTCATCAATCTGGTGTGGATATCTCCCACCCTACCTTTCAATGTTGTTGCTGTCTTTATTGTCAGTTCCCATATTGTCCTGAAAATTCATCCATTTTTCACCATTATGAACAACATCAATTTAAGAATGAATCCAATTAGCATTGGCATAGCATACCCTGAATAGAAGAGGAAAACATGGGTGATTGTGGCTGTTAAAGTCGCAAAGTTCATGCCGTAGCTCATGGCAAAAAGTATGCTCATGTAAAGTTTGCTGTAGTTATAGTATCCATCTTTATCAAACTCGAACTCCTTGTTCAGAACCCGGGAGATGTTGTACTTTTGACCATGGGAATCAAAAGTGAGAGTCGAATGGAATGGGAATTTCTTCGCTTCATAGGTATTAGTCCAATATGCAATCGGAATAATAACATAGACAATCAGGAAAAATCCCACCATAAGATTGATGATGGCAAATGCTGGAGTTGCTATAGGATTGCCCAAGAAGGCAACAACAGTGTTCCAATCCAGGGCGAACGAGCCGATTCCCAAACCAGAAACACCTGAACCTATTTGTTGTGCGAGTACTGAGTTTTTCCAGATCAAACAGGCTATAGAAATGCAGGATATTGTAGGGAAAAAGTATCCAGGGACGATGTAATAGGCGAAACTTATGATGAACATTGCCAAGAAGAACTGAAGCCTTGTTTGTGCCCCTTTTGGTCTCCTATCCTTCTCATGAAATGTTCTGCATCAACAGTTTGAATTATAAATTGGCTTAAACTTTCAATATTGTAGCGGTACATAAAAACTTGTATTGAAAATGGAGTCAAAAGAAAAAAAAAAAAAAGAATTGTTGATGATAATTAATCAGGTACCTATACAATGAAACCTGGAGAAGGTTCTCAGGCCACCACATATAAGGGGAATCAACCAGTACTTTTCTCCACATACCAGCCCAACCATATCCAAGAAACTAGCAAATCAAAAAGAATCAAACATTAATATTCTGATGAAGAAAAATCCCACTTAAAAGCCAACAAAATGAGCCCAAATGAACTGCTCCTCCTGTGAATAAATCCGAACAAAACGAAACACTCACCATTGTAGTCTGTGAGAGAATAAAAGCAACCAAAGGATTGAAGGGTCTCTTGTAGAAGACCTTGACACTGGAGACAATATGCAAGGCATAAACACCATTGGCACCACAAGTGGCAAAAATGGTGATCAAAACATGCTCTTTGAGACTAAAAGGCCCTGGATTCAGAGAGAATGACCATTTGGTACCAGGGATTCCAATGTTCTTGTTTGGCAAAGTTGCAGCCATCAGCTTTCCTAATGGGAGTGTGACAATCTGTGCAGCCACTTGATCAACCCACAATTGGTTGTTCCTGAAACTGAAAAACACGTCCACAAAGGCCAGAATTATGCATGCTGCCAATCCCAAAGTCCAGGTCCGGAATGTCAGAACGGATTGGGTCGGGTCATCTTTGGTTGATACCGTCATCCTTACTTGCTCAATTGGCGAATCATTCTCTTCTTCTTCCTCCACTCCTGATTTCATTCATGTTTGAAAAAGAAAACACAATGTGTCACCATTAATTACTTGAGCTTGATTTCGATCTTTGCGTGTAGTCATAACTAACAATGCCTCCAAGAGTCTGTGAATTTATTTCGTAGTTAGTCTGTTGATACTAACTATGAAATTAATTCGAGACTCTTGCACAATACACATCTTTCTCCTGATGTATAATATTTTTTCTGTCACACTACATGCATTTTTGGATGCAACATTAGTACTTATTTTATTCTTCCATGTATCTCTTATAGTCGAATGCAGTAACTATCTAACTATCCATCAATTTTTATGCAAGATTTAAAATGGAGGGATATACGTATATTTTGTGTAATATTTGAGGTTATTTTGCATGAAAGAAATTAATAGAGTGTGCATTAAATTCACCATTCACAAGTCACCACTCACCTGTGACTTCGAGGCTCTTTTTCTGATCCGGTGGCTGAACTGGCGGCGGATCTCCATTGTTGTCTTCCGCCATGTTTTGTTTCCTTATTTTTTACTTGAGATCCTTTTAGTCAGATTATCTGGGATTAGGATTCTCTATTACTTCGTATTATATATAGATAATACGTACTGGCTGTTTAAACTCTTTTTATTTAACGCCAGCATTTTTCTGAAGTCAAAGTGCTACCCTCTGACTTAGTGTTTTTTTTTTTTTGGGGGTGGTTGGGTGGGTGAAGGACTTAAGTATTTTTACCCACCTAGCCTAGATCATTTTCAAATTTCAGATCCTAATTTTCGATGGATAAGTAAAACTACAATCGGTTTCAAATTTTTATATTAAAAAAAAAATAAAATAATACTCATACAATCTCAAGAGATAGTCCACTTCGAGTAGGTACATGTATCAAAATTGAAATTAAAACTCCATTCACTGTCAATTTAACCTGTGACTTAGTCTCAAAAACACACTTATAAAAGATGGGAAAATTATCCATTCTGGAAATGAAAACAATATCAAAATTTGTGAATTATTGATTGAAAAATTTAAAAATCTTTATCTTAAAGATCACTAAGTTTGATTTTGTCTTCAGATTTAAAGGATATGTAATTTTTATCAGATTTAATAGGGGAAAAAAAGAATGAATTTGGCCTAATTTTACAGTTGCATTCAAAAGATAAGAACTTGTCTCCGTAGGCCATCAAATGAGGAGAGAATCTTGGTGTTGATAGTAAAATGGATGAGGATCTAAGCTCCAAGGAGAGAGGAGAATCTCAGAAAGATCCAAGATATGTGCAATGAAATCTCTCCGGTTTGAATTTTCACTTTTAATTCAATTTGTGCACAATAATTTTAGGACGGAGAGAGTATCAAATACATATTCACATTTTTTAATTTTTTTTTGTTACTAAAGATAGTAGTCGACCTTCCGCCTTAAAATAATTATCATATTATATCAGTAGATTTATTCTAGGGAGGCAGGTGGTGCAAGTAAATTGCAAGATAATCATTCTTCATAATTCATTTTGTATAATTAGATGTGTAAATGAATCATTTTGTATAATTTGATGTGTATTGGTCATAATGTCAAAAATTTTGCTCCATCCACATTTTTGAGTTGGAAATGCAATTCAAAAAGAACAGAAGATAGAAACCTTTCATTAGTTAATTCTTCACCGGAATTAATTAAAAAAAATAAAACATAACAAAGTTTAACTAATTTACTTACTACAAATAAAATGCAGACACCAATCCAATGCAAATTTTCTGGTTTTTTTTTTTTTTTCCGGGTCATAAAAGAGACAAAGATGATCATCAGAAAGCAGGACAACCCTCAACTTCAACTCCAGGCAAGGTAGGGCAAGTAGCCAAATCACAATGTTCACTACCATTACCCCACCAATCGATACCAATCTCTTTGTATTGCAGAGCGACATACAACAGGATTCCCATGAATGCAATCCCGGCGTTCATCGCCGCGGCGAAGATATAAGCATGTTTCCCCCACCAAACCCTGTATTTCCTGTAAATGTAGACATTGAAGAAAATCCCAACTGATCCATACATGATGAAGTCTATTGATCTTGCTGGTGGCATGTTTGATGTTGCTCCAAGCAAAATGGGCATGTTGATCAGCGCCAGCCATTTCTTTTCGGGGTATTTTCGCGACAGAAGCCAAAAGGGAATCGGAGCCACTGCCCCGAGAAGAAAGAAGTAGTTCAGCTGTGGATATACACCTTCTTTAGTGAACATCTTTTGGGGACCAATCACTCCCCATATCACTGAAGCTTGGTAAAACACTGTATCACCTGGACAAGTCCATGGACTTCCCTCTGCTAATAGTTTAGGATCACAAATATTGGGAATCGATGTTAGTAGCCACCAAGACGTCCCAAATTGGACCGTAGTGGAGACTAATGTTCCAATGACCTGACAGAATCAGAATGTTAAAAGAAATATGATTGCAGGTTAAGGTTCGAATTCAACCCTGGTTTGCTTTCATTGCAAAGAAAACATGATTGTTTACCTGGACTAAGAACATGGATCTAGGAGGGATTTTCATGTAGTGACCGATTTTGAAATCACTTAAGAACAACATGGCCTGAGTCATGCTAATGTAACCATATGTCTTGAAAGCAACATTTGCTAAAGGCCTGCCTGGGTACAAGTACCCGATGATCATCTCCGTGATCACGTTGAGCCCAGGTTGCTGCAAACAATACAGATTACAAAAACATCAGTACAACAGAAGAAACTCATAACGTTAGAATAAGGCCTGTAAGTTTTGATTATTCTTTTACCTGATTTGTTGTGGCTTGAATTAGGCCAATAGGCAGAGTAAAAAAGAAGGCCAACAGGGTTGCTAGTGCAAGCCCCCACCAGGGAAGCTGGAGTTGCTTTCCGAATCCTTCGCAGGCGAAGAGAGAAAGACAAAACACAATGATCAACAAGACGTAAAACCACCACTCAGGGATTGCCTTGTAGTTCTTTTTCATCAGTCTGGTGTGAATATCTCCCATCCTACCTTTCAATGTGGTTGCTGTCTTCATTGTCAGGTCCCATATTGTCCTGAAAATTCATCCATTTTTTCACCATTGCCATTTCAGAACAAAATTTACCAAGGAAGATGAGTCTCAAAGTGAAAATTGAAATTTACCCTGAATAGTAGAGGGCAACATGGCTGATTGTAGCAGTTAAAGTCGCAAAGCTCAAGCCGTAGCTCATGGCAAATAGTATGCTCAAGTAAAGTTTGCTGTAGTTGGAATATCCCTCGTTGTCAAACCGGAAAGTTTCCTCATTAAGAACCCGAGAGATGTTGTACTTTCGACCATCTGAATCAAATGTATTTTTCGAAGAGAAGGGGAATTTCTTTGCTTCGTAGACATTAGTGAAATATGCGACTGGGATAATAACATAGACAATCAGGACGAATCCCACCATAATATTGATGATGGCAAAGGCTGGAGTTGATATGGGATTGCCCAAGAAGGCAACCACAGTGTTCCAATCCAGGGCGAATGACCCGATTCCCAAACCAGAACTCCCTGAACCTATTTGTTGAGCTAGTACTGACTTTTTCCAGATGAAACAGACAATAGAAACGCAGGATATTGTAGGGAAAAGGTATCCAGGGACGGCGTAGTAGGCGAAACTTGTGATGAACAATATCAAGAAGAACTGAAGCCTTGTTAGTCCCCCTTTGGGCCTCCTATCCTTCTCATGCAATGTTCTGCATCAATAGTTGAATTGAATTTTGGCTTCATTCTCAGTATTTCAGAAATACATAAAAGTTTAACGTAAAAAGTTGTGTTGAAAATCGAGTAGGAAAAAACGAATGATTGGTATTGAAGAATAATCAGGTGGGTACCTGTACAATGAAACCTGGACAAGGTTTTCAGGCCACCACATATAAGGGGAATCAACCAGTACTTTTCTCCACATTCCAGCCCAACCATACCCAAGAAACTAGCAACATCAAAGAATCAACAAAATCATTAACTTCAGAAGAAAAAATCAATCCCACTTAAAAAACCACCAACAAATTAAAATGAGCACAAATGAACTGCTCCTGATGTAAATAAACCAACTCCAAACAAAAAACACTCACCATTGTAGTTTGTGACAGAAGAAAAGCAGCCACAGGATTCAATGCTCTTTTGTAGAAGACCTTGACGCTCGCGACGATATGCAAACCATAAACACCATTAGCACCACAATTGGCAAAAATGGTGATCAAAACATGCTCTTTGAGACTGAAAGGCCCTGGATTCAGAGAGAATGACCATTTGGTGCCAGGGATCCCAATGTTTTTGTCGGGCAGAGTTGCAGCCATTAGCCTTCCTAATGGAAGAGTTACAATTTGTGCTGCCACTGCTCCAACAGACAACTGGTTGGTTCGATATTGGAAAAATACATTCACAAAAGCCAGGGTTACGCATGCAGCAATCCCCAAAACCCAGGTCCGGAATGTCAAAACGGGTTGAGTCGGGTCATCTTTGGTTGATACTGTCATCCTCACTTGCTCAATTGGTGCATCATTCTCTTCCTCTTCCTCCACTCCTGCATTTCACAATTATACAAGGATCCTGAATTTCTTAGTGAAAATATTTGGGTTTTTTTTTTAAAAAAAAAGAAGTGTCACATATCACATTCAAATTAACCAGTCGCGCGTACAGAGTGAACTCTGATCACCATAAGAGTATAACACAAATGCTCAACATTCATGATACTTATCTATATTATTCAGGTTTTAATTGTTTTCTTGTGCAAAAAAATTAAAAAAAAAGGGCACATAAAAAATTCTTGAGAACGGAAGCTGCTATAGGAGATGACTTACCAGTAACTTCAAAACTGTTTTTCTCCAGTGGCTGATCTCCATGACCCGCCATGCTTTCTTTCTTTTTATTTATGTTTTAAAAAGTCAAAATTCTCTCAACTCCGGATTTTATAAGACAAAACATATACAGTACCTTGTCTTTTAACGCCAATAATTACTATGATTATATTACAGGCGGTCAGATTCTGTAAACTAAAATTGGAAAAAAAATTTCATTTCATTATGGAAATTAAGTAAGAATGTAATAGTACTTTCAATCACAGAGTTTGTGACTGTGAATGGGAAATCTTCCAATGCCGTGCCAGCTTTGAACGTGGTTCATTTAAATTTTGATGAATTTGTTCTAATTTTACAGTTACATTCAGACATTCAGAGATAAGGCCGAAATTAAATATGTCATGAAGCTTTTTTGGGTAGGCGAATTAAATAAGGTGGGGGGAAATCTTGGCGTGACTCACTTATGAGGACATATATATATATATATATATATATATATATTTGGAGAGGGTGAATCCTGAAATCAAATATTTGATTCATTTACTCTAACAATGGTACGTATCTAATATACTGCACCCCATGAAATGTCTATATTATATATGGAAATCAAATAAAAAAAACGCGTTTCCCAACATACAACGAAGAAGAAGGCGCGGTTACATCAAAACATGTCATACTAAAGTCTAAACCATACCGATTATATTGTTTTTAGTCGAAATTAGATACCTAACGTATAATTCCAAATCATACTCCTTTCGGTCCTTATTATAAGGCATTTTATTTAGTCCTATATTTAACTTAACATATCTTTTTAATTAGAAATAAAATCTTAAAAATATGTTTTCACATTCCTTGTGTTCTTTTAATTATTATAAAATATTTTTAAGGTTTTTATTTCAATTAAAAAGACGTATTAGGTGAAATCTAAAACGAAATTAAAATCATTATATATATTAAAAGAAAAAAAGATAATCGATACGTATCGTTAATTGAGACCATCAAGCATCACTTTTAACTTATTATCATTTTAGCCCTTAAAGTTCTATTTATGTGCTACTTTGTCTTCAATTTTATCGATTTTACATTTTCAAGGACGATTAATTGTGTTTAATCCCCAAAGTCCCCTTGCCTATAAATAAGCAATAGGCATCTAGACATACTTTACGTATTTTTTAATATATTTTTTAATCCAAACATAACATTAGTTAGTGGTGACAATTTTTATTATACAACTTTTTAAAATTTTTGTTGTAATATTTTTGGCCAGATCTTACAAATATACATCTCATAAGTAATATCAATACCTCTTATTTTGATCTAAAATTGATTAATCAAAAAAATTTTACGGTTTTAAGAATATTAATAACTACATTATCTAATGAATTCTTTTGGAAGATAAATTTTCAACATTGACAAACCCGCGCAAAGTGCGGGACACATACTAGTACCTTATAATAACAACCGGAGTGAGTATATAGTTACATTGAAAATTTCGACCAAATAATTAGCATGGGTCGATTCCTATAGATATGATTAGTATGATAAACAGTCAAACCGAATGTAATTGTGGACGTACTGTTTAAGGTCTTGTATGGACGATGGTTTGTTTTAGTTTTTGGTTTAGTTTTTAGTCTGTGTTTGAGATGTGATTTAAAATGTGTTTTGAGATACAATTTATAATTAAAATAATAATATTTTTCCACCACCGCCGACCACCATCACCACCCACCTCTGTCATTGGGCCGCCTTCCGCCGCCGCCAGACCACCGCTAACTGCTGACCGGCCGAGCGAACTCCGGGCAAATCCCGATGAGTTGGCCGGAATTTTGCCGGAATTGCGTGCGTAAATACTGTATTTGTATTATTTTTTTCTCCAAAAATAAACACGATATATAAACAATTAATAGTTCAATATTCTCCATAATATTTTATTTAGTAAGTTCTAAAGAAGCCCAATAGTTCCAGTTATAAAGAGCTCCTAGGTATACCTTACAAGGTGTATCTAGTTTGAAATTCACGCGCTCAAAAAGAGGGTAAAATAAAAAAAAAAATTCAAATTTTCAATTTTTTAATATTTCTCCTAATTTTCATTCATCATTAATCATATCCAGCCAAGTTCTTATTCCAATCCAAAGACGTCTCAAACTAAAAAATTCAAAAAATAAAATATTCTCTGCAACGATTTGTTATTATTTGCCCAATACTTCTTTCTTTTCTTTTATTTTTTTAAAAAAATTTAATTTATGAATTTTTAGTGTTAATTAAATATAACTTGATTTGGGTGGTTATACTTAGACCTGTCCGGTTATACCCGTTAAATACAGTCGTGCAACAAACTCGTATTAGTATAGGTCTCGTCCAATTTCCACGCGTCTTTTTGGAATGAGGGGAAACTTCATTAGGTGTAATGATGATATATTTCTTGACGGTCCAAAATTATTGTCTAATTTAAACTTTTATTTTTAGTATATTTAAATTAAAATTTAAAATTTAAAATGAATAGTGATTTCAAGACCGTGTCAGTAATTCACAGTTGAACTCCCACATGGAACGTTAATAACTTATGCGTAAGTGATGTAACTTTAAAGTTTCATGTTCATAATTCTTTGTTCTGATCATAATTCTTCCCCCTTTTCCGAATTGCTTTTTGATTCTTGATGAATTTAATTTAATCACTAATTATATTGCCAAATATACCGTGTGAAAGCAATTGAAAATCATGAACCTGCAGCAAAATATATAAATCCCGAGGACAAAAAAATCGGTACAAACCATTTTCAGTCCATTGAGAATGAATCAAACATATGCTCTTAGTAGGGGAGATCAATCGAGAGAGGTGACAAGCCGTCGTCACACTAGTCAAATATTAATTACCTACTTAATACAATTACTAGTAGTAAAGCAGAAAGCAGGGTCGATCCCACAGAGAAGGAATACTAATTACCAGGTATAAATTACTCCTATTATTATCTAGATAAATGATGATCTCAGATTTATAAAATTTAAACCTAAAATAAATAAATAAAATAAAAGCAAATAATATTAATTCAAATAATTAGACAAAGGAAACCTAGGACATTGGGTTCACCTACCGAATATTTGGGTTAGTTCAATTCATAACTATCTGACTTTTAACTTCCATTAATCTCACAACGATTCACCTAATTAAGAACTATACACTCTCGTGTTATAATTCTCTTACTTAGATTAACCCTATGACTACTCTCGTGACTATAGGGATTAACAAAAGCACATTAAGACCATTAAGAATCAAATATTGCAAAGGTTATAATCTTACTCTCGTAGCTTTATCACCTAAGTTTATTATTCCTACGAACTAATACTAATCTTCCACTCTCGCTACTTCAATTAGTATCTTCAGACATGCAAATAGTGGCCAATTACTTACACGAATTAAAACAAGAATAACAAATATTAATTAATGGAAAAATCAAATAAAAATAAACCAAATAAACCAAATAAATTCGGTGGCTACACCCAAGCCCTAGATTAAAAGAATTTAGCCACTAAACATTATTAAAATTAATTCAATAATATTTAGAGACATAATAAAAAAAAAAAATTAAATTAAATAAATTAAAACTTCAAAACCGAATTGACGCCAAAGACCCGCCGACGGTTGTTGCTCGCTTCGCCGGATTTGCTGCGTGGGAATGGAGGTGGTGGTGCTGCGCGGCGATGAAGAGGAAGGCGGAGAAGAGGAAGAAGGTGATGATGGTGCTCGGCTGCTTCGGCGGTGGTGCGGCGTGACCAGGAAGTTCTGGAGCTTGCGCGCTGCTTCTTTGTGTGTGCGAAGGCGAGGGACTGGTTTTGATGTGCAGGTGGAGATGATGGCTGAGTACGTGAAGAAGAAGAAGAAGGTGGAGCAGCAGTGGTGGTTATGGAAGCTGGTGGCGGTGATGGAGGTCAAGGTGGTGGCCGGCGGCGGTGAACAATGAAACGAGAAGGTGGATGACGGGGATTCGGTTTGCAGCCGTAAGGTTTTCGGCCAGTTTTCGGTCCAGTTCTGTTGTAAAAATAAATCCCTAATCCTCCTTTTATAGGCTTCCGGCTAAACCCTACTCCTTGAAGAACAAGAAAACTTGTTTCCCAATTAATATCGGGTTTAAAATTCTTATCCAATTCCAATCCCAAATCGGCCGCATAACCAACGTAACCTTCGGCCAATTTTCCAAAAATTAATTAACCAATCCAAAATTGCATCATTGGCCCTCCAATTCTCTAAACTCATTAATTTCCTCCCCATCAATTGCTTCAATCTTCAATTCTTTCCCATTGAGTTGCTTTTAATTCGATTTTAGCTCAAAACTTCAACAATTCTTCATTTGAGTACAATTCCTACAATTAAAGATAAAATCACATAAATAGCATATTTGTACTCAAAATATATTGCAAAAATCACAAATTAGGGATATAATAAATAGGTAAAATATAAGCATATCAAATACCCCCAAACTTGAATTATTGCTTGTCCTCAAGCAATCCCAAACATTAAACAAACAAAAACATTTAATTATTTAATTTGGCGGCCTCAGAGATTCAATCACATCATATAACACAAAGATTTCGACTACCTCTAGTATGGACTACCGAACAATGCAAACCATAGCTACTTTTAGCCCCCACGCTTGTGTGTGTGTGCTTCGTTTCTTAGGGACATCACTTTACATTTAACATAGAAAACAAAAGCTCTACTGCAAATATGCCATTTTACTTTAACATAGATTCACATTTCACATCATATTTCAATGCAATGGACCGCGCAAACATATTATGAAGTAGAAGGACTTATCTCACAGACAACCTATTCCCCCTCGTAACCCATTCTTCGGTCCATGCGGCTTTTCTTCAGGACTCTTTCCAACTCAGGCCACTACCCAGAGCATTTTTCCACTCCTATACATAGTGGCTCAAGAACTTAGGGCAGTCTACATATCTATTTTTCCTCACCGGGCCTGAGGACTCTCCGCTCAGGTTGCCAATTCCTCACCTCTCAAGGGGCTAGCATCAACATTGAATGCTCTTCCTTTTCTCCCTCATTAAAATTAACCTAACCTCAGAAGCATCCGCCAACACCCCTCCCCCAAACTTACTTAACACAAAGTGTCAAAGCAATAAGGTTTTTTAAGGCTGATATTGGGTTAATGCCTTGCTTTTCCTTCACAACATGATGGGTTCCACATACAAATCATATAAGTATGAGTCAATCAAACAACTTCATGGCATATCTACATCAAACTTATGCAAATATATCTCACTTTAGGCTTATCCCACAGTCACGACTAAGTGCAAAAGAAA